AGTGTAGCCTGATATGACAGTTAACCTGGAATGACAGTGGTTTTGGCAGGCATCCCTTTGACTGTCTTAACATTCAGCTGTTAATCTCCACTAATTACCTCTGATTGCTCTATTGCTTTCAATAATGCTATGGGGCATAAATTGCTTCACAGACTAATCCAATATCCAATCAATTTTGGGCTCCTTTGAAAGGGTAGTTCTTAAGGTCAATGTTTGAGACTTGTTCTGATCCCACAAAGACTCCTCCTGACTCTCTTCCCCCATCTCTCCAGAAAAGTATTTGGTGCCGGCGAGGTGGCTCATGCCTGTAGTCCTAGGACTCTAGGAGGCCCAGGCAGAAGCGGGAGGCAGAGGTGGGCGGATCCCTCAAGGTCAGGAGTTGGAAACCAGCCTGAGCAAGAGCGAGATCCTGTCTCTACTAAAAATAGAAAGAAATTAATTGGTCAACTAATGTATAGAAAAAATTAGCCGGGCATGGTGGCACATGCCTGTAGTCCCAGCTACTTGGGAGGCTGAGGCAGTAGGATCGCTTGAGCCCAGGAGTTTGAGGTTGCTGTGAGCTAGGCTGACGCCTTGGCACTTGCTCTAGCCTGGGCAACAAAGTGAGACTCTTGTCTCAAAAAAAAAAAAAGTAGTTGGCCTACAGTTTAGCCTACATCTCCAATTAATCTACCAAATTCTTCCCAATTTCCACTCACTAAAACCTCAACTGTTTTTGAAGTGTCCCTAGGCTTCAAATTTTCTATACTCTGGATGTCAGTTCCTTTAGGAAGAAGTTTGGAATTCTGTTTTATGGCCTGCTTTTTCTCCTAGGGAAAACCTCTACTTGGTAGCTGGAGTTGGGGGACAATGGCTTGTATCTCTCTGATTGCTTTAGGAGCTGAGCACTCAGTGGATGGGGAGTAGGAGACTTAGATCTTTTGGGCTGGCCTTTGCCAACAGGACATCACCACCTTGTAAACCTGAGTAAGGGCAATTGGGGTCCCAGTATTTTCGGCAGTGATGTATCCAAGGTACAGCCTGTGAACTATGAGAGGGGATTGAGTGGAAGGGAGCCCCCACGTCTTGGCTGCATGCACTTGGAATTTTTTTTTTTGAGACAGAGTCTCACTCTGTTGCCCGGGCTAGAGTGCCATGGTGACAGCCTAGCTCACAGCAACCTCAAACCCCTGGGCTCAAGCGATCCTTCTGCCTCAGCCTCCCGAGTAGCTGGGACTACAGGCATGCACCACCATGCCCGGCTAATTTTTTTCTGTATATTTTTAGTTGGCCAATTAATTTCTATTTTTAGTAGAGACAGGGTCTCACTCTTGCTCAGGCTGGTTTCAAACTCCTGACCTTGAGCAATGCACCCGAGTCAGCCTCCCAGAGTGCTAGAATTAAAGGCGTGAGCCACCCACGCCTGGCCAATATTCACTTGAAATTTAACCTCAGCAACAGGTAGATGGAGGCAGGATGAGAAAGGCTGACATTTTGTCCATCCCAGGAAGGAAGCTCTCTAACTGGGAGCTTGGGGGGAAGGAGCCCTGTGCCTTGTGTTCTTGGCTATACCAGGCTAGAGTGGAGTTTCTATCTCATTCAGCTGGGAAGAGGGAAGGACAGAGCAAATCTTGGCTCAGATACCACAAGCTCACTCTTCTTATAAAGATTTAGTATATTTTCTTGAATAAATATTTCTTCTTTTTGCTGTCTGCCCTTAGGAGCATTTCTAGAGACTTTAAGTGGTTAGGGTTTGGTTTAAAATAATTCTCACCAGTTCAGACCCACTAGGGAATGGGTCTGCAGAGCTCCTCATGCTGTCATGCCAGAAGTGGAACTCCTAAAGTCTGCTTTTGAAATGTAAGAAATATTTCTCCCATGGTATTTTAATGTCAACTCAAGAGTGGTTTTCCATCTTTGCTCATCTCACTATGACTAAGCCCATTCCCACCTGTATATTCCTCTGTCCATTCTTCCATTTTCATGAGGTTGTTTATAAAAGCTTCCTACCCTTCCACCTCCCAGGATCCCCATTCTTTCACACAGTGATTGCTATCTTATGGTCACTTAGACACAAAGGCCATTTGGCCCACAATCCTGTTTTTAGCAGGTCATGGGTATGCTTTGAAAAGAAATATGGTTTTCTTGGATTACAACCTAAAGGTCTGATATAACCCTGTTTTTTTTCTTTTTTGGTCTCAAGTATCATTGACCAAACTCTGTTCAAATTCATTTAAGTTTCTTGATAATACAAATTCTTAGGAAATGAGTTTCAGAAGTTTATTATTGACAACATGAACTAGTATTTTATTTCTTTTTCAGTAACTCTGCTGAAATTTCAAAATATGTCTACTTACCACAATATTTAGGTTTGGGTGAATAATTCATGTTTTCCTTTTCCGTGCCAAGCATAATTTTATAGCACTTGCTCGCATTCTTGACTTCTTGGCCTTCATTTCTCCCGACTGAATTGTCTCAGGATTTTCAAAATGTTCTTATGGGTAGTATCCTGTTCCTTCACTGATTTTTTTATCCTCTTCTGAATCTTTTATATTCCCCTGTGTTTTGCTTGAAACCCAATGACCTGAACTGCTCATAGTGGCCAACATGGTGCCAATAAGGTCTGTGTGATAGGTTTTACTTCTCTCCTTTTGAACAATGTCCATCCTATTTTAGTTCTAGCAGCACAGTAATCAATTTTTAGTGGACAAACCATATCATTCCCAGGTCCTTTTCCTGGGTGGTAAACTCTCAGAATTCTTCAATAGTGTAACACCTTACTCACTCACTTCTCTGTACACCCACACTGACTGCTAGGAGCACCTGGGAAGCTGCAGCCCTACACTTTTATGTACACGACACACTCCCAGGGCTGTACACAGTTCCCTTTTCTTTCTCACCCATTCAGGAGAATGTATTGCAGTAGACATGTGTTGTTTCCATTTCCTCTGTTAGCTATATCCAATCTTTCCTCTGATGAACTCCCCACTATCACCTCATCAGTCTTGTGTTTTCTGTGAAGATGACCTAATTTCTAGTTTCAGTGGTGGGGTATGGCTCAGGCTAAGCCAGTCAGAGCTCTCCACTCCTTTCAACATAGTGATTGTTCTGGGGATGGACATAGAACTCAAACCAGTCAATAAGACTCCATCCTGGAATGTCTTCCTGGCAATATTGAGAAAGAGGCTAGAAGGCAGAGCCACAGAATGAAGCCAAACACTCCTGAGAGCCATCTTTGTCACTTGGGGGAGGACCTGGCTAAGAATGAGGCCAAAACAAAGAAAAGCTGAGATCCCTGATGCCAATGTTTGGGCACCTGGATATATCCCTGAATTTATGTTAATATATTTACTTCTTGGTTGAACTAGTTTGAGTTTGTTTTTTGTCATTTGCCTCAGAAAGAATCCTAATGAACATATCAAAACGGAACTAGATGAAAGTGATTTTATTATGGGGAGATAACCTTGACTCAGTTTCAATCTATTTAGAAAAAGAAACTGTTCTGCAAATTTTGACATTTCATTACTTGTAACATCCTGGTGTCCTATCAGACCAGCAGTCCCTAACCTTTTTGGCACCAGGGACCAGTTTCATGGAAGACAATTTTTCCATGGACCAGACATGAGGGGGTAGATGGTTTCAGGATGATTCAACTGCATTACATTTATTGTGCAGTCAGACCTTTCTGCTAATGATAATCTATCTGTATTTGCAGCTGCTCCCAAGCACTAGCATCACCGCCTCAGCTCCACCCCAGATCATCAGGCATTAGATTCTCCTAAGGAGCACACAACCTACAGTTTACAGTAGGGTTCAAGCTCCTATGAGAATCTAATGCCAACGCTGATCTGACAGCAGGCGGAGCTCAGGCAATGATGCCAGCAATGGGGAGCGGCTACAAATACAGATGAAGCTTCACTCACTTGCCTGCCCCTCACTTCCTGCTGTGAGGCCTGGTTCCTAACAGGGGTTGGGGACTGTAGCACTCGACTATAGTCCACTGGGCCAGTAACTGAACTTAATTTGGATACTGCTATATTTCTAGTGCCTGTCATGGTGCCCAGAAAAGTGCTTAATAAATGAGTTGAATGAATAAATGTGTCAGGGCATGGAGGTAGGAAGTGTATGATCTACACAAAAAACATGTACAGTCATATGTCACTTGACAAGGATATGCTCTAAGAAATGCATTATTAGGCGATTTCATCATTGTGTAAACATCATAGATGTACTTACACAAACCCAGATGGTAGCCTACGACACACCTAGGCTATACAGTATAGCCTCTTGCTCCTAGGCTACAAATCTGCACAGCATGTTGCTGTACTGAATACTGTAGGCAACTGTAACACAATGGTATTTGTGTGTCTAAACATATTTAAACAGGAAAGGTACAGTACAGATCCTGTCTTATAATCTTATGGGACCACCATCATATATTCCATCTATCATTGCTCCAAAATGTTATGTGGCACATGACTGTATTCATTTCTTACTATAAATGAAGATGAGACTAATTCAGCCACAGATCTGAATAACCCTGTTCTTTGTTTCTCTATCCAAAGAAGTACATCTTTATACTTTGATCTCTCTTCAATGTAAAAGAATTTGTCTACTCTCCCACTCTATTAAAAGTAGAACTTTTGATATAAATCACATCCTAATCTTTTGAAATTGTAAGTAGATCATATCAAATACCCCTTGGCTATGTCTATTTCTCTGTCAAAGAGTGCCAATATATTTAGGCATAACTTCCTCTTGAAGAAAAGATCTTCCTTTTCTTGAATTGTTTTTGTTTGCTTGTTTTGTTTCAGTGTTTGGCAATTCCCTTCTTCATCATATATATATCTATGTTTTCCAGTATAGAAGGGTAACTTGTTAACTTTTAAATTTCTGAGACTCCTTAGCATATTCTCATGAGGAAAGGTTATATTTACATTCACCAGTCTTCAGGAAAACAATTTGTTTTGATGTTTTAAAATGTGCAGTGGGTTTATTTATAAGACATTGACAAAAACCCGTTATATTCATACCTTTATTTAAACAATATTCTATAATAGCTAGGAGAATACAGCATTAATGATACACATTTACTAAGCACAACATTAGACAACTACAAATTTAGAGCATAAATGTCATTCTGATATTGTTTTGGTTTTCATCTTAGCACTAGGTGATATCTAGTGAAAACCCATGTTTCAAAGGCTTTTGTTGATATGAGGTGAATTATTAACTTATTTTTAAAAATTTCATATAAGATATGCTAGAATGGGTTCAGTTTAAAACCAGAGTTAGTTGATAATGCCTTTCACTTCTCAGTATTTCTGCTTCTTTTTTAATGGGTAAATATTTCACTTAAGTACTTTCTAAAGATTATATCATGCTTTTCTATGCAGATCAAAGTAGAATTCCTTCTCCAGACCCAACAAGGGAAAATATATGAGAAACTGCAATATTCAATTTCATTATAGTTAAAAGGCATGTCCATTTCATAGTAAATTAATAAATAAAGTTAACAAAATACAATATGTTAAATGTCATGAGCTCATTTCTGTGCAACACTGTTAGAGCAATTGAAATTTTCCAAAGACACAAAAAAGTCAATGTTACTCTGTGATCCTACAAAAATACATAACTAGGAATCATAAATTACAACATACATATCCATGTTTTTAAAAAAACTCACCATTTTTCTGAAAAACATAATGGCTCAAATCATTTAGAAAGCCTGAAATGTAGGCTAAAATTTTATAACAGAATAGTAACAATAAGATATTTGAAACTGTTGACTCTGAAAAATGCATGAAAATGTACTGACCTACCAAGCATTGAATTATATATACCAATTTCAACTAAAAAAAAAACCCATCATTTTTCTTTCAAATATTTCAATCATTACAACACTAAGGAAATGATAGTCATTTTCCGACATTTTATGAATCCAATAATACCTATCAAGTTAAGCTAATGAACATTTTAGTTAGACCAAATTACAAAATAAAAAGTGTATAAAATGCATTTTGGAAGTTATTTTACATAGTATTTTTCAGTTCCTGATCTATTGAGAAATCTACTTTAATTCTGGGTTGGTTTGTTTAATTTCGGGCAATACAATGGATTAGAACTTATAGCACTCTTTCCTATTTTTATCAACCTTTTAGAATAAAGGGTTCTTAAAAAATTTTTCTTTTTCAAGAATGCCCATGAAAAGTTTTAGAATTGTACCCTTTACTTTTCTTAAGAAAAGGTTAGTGGAAAACAAGACATTTACGTATTACCAAGAATCTAGCCTATCTCTATATTTCTTCCATATGTTAATTTGCTTATTGTGACACAGAGTCCCACTAACTCAGGAACATTTTCTAAGCTGACATTACATTGGCTCTGAGATGGTTGCTGCCCTATAGTTCTAATCCCTGTTTGGAAAGGAAAGGAAGGAGAAAGTGACAGGAGGAGGGGGGGTCATGCAGGAAGAGGGGAAAGGAATTAGTGGTTGGAAGCCACCCCCAATCAAAACCTTCACAAAACCTTGAGAAACAGGGCAAGATATCCTTCCAGGCAAGATACCCCTTACAGAAGAAAAGTTCTGGAGAACTTAAGGCAGCTCTAGAAGGGAAGGGAGCAAGGGTTAAGGCGGCCCTCACAGCACAGCCTGAGAACAAATTACAATGCACTTAGCCACAGAGAGGCCACGGCAATACACAGAGCCTCTTTAACACGCATGCACACAGCACACCTCCTAGCTCCAAGGCCAACACCTGCAGCATGCACACACCATAGTGTCCAAATACACATTGACTTGTAGATGGTCTGTCCGGTGGACAGCTCTCAGAAGGTGCCCAGTGGCCTGCCTAGGCTCCTCTGTGCTGAGGACCTAAATTGGGAGGGTGGCCTGTGGCTACAGGTTCTCTGCAGGCTGTGCAGCTCACCTGATAGCTGTAACAGGGACTCTGAGGGGTGTGTGGAGAGTGACCTTCCTCTTAACTTTAGAAAGGCTTGCACTGCTTCCTGTCTTTTTGGTTGAGACAGCTGCTACTAATTAATGCCAAACCACAGAGTATCGCACCCTCCTAGTGAGCACCGATTCATGACAAAAGCCAAGCCTAGCTATAGCAGGTAACTATGATAAAAAAGAAAACCAACTGGCGCTGGGTACTTGGTCTCCTTAGAACAAACAGTCTGGTACTCAGCATTTGCTCAGTTCCCACATGCCAGTTGCCAACTCTGATAAGGAGAAAGAGCACCCCTGCTGGCCTAGGTAGCCCACGGGTACTAGAAGGGACAAAACATGACCTCCTTTAAAAAGTGTGACTTTTTAAAGTCTCTGCCTCACATGTGCCCACCCTGCTACTGCTTTGTATGGGAAAGTGCAACTGCTGTAGGGCTGTATGATTTCAGGAGGGTCACTGACCTTATCTCTATATCTCGGGTTACCATCAGCAAATGATTGCAGAAGCTACTCTATCTACCACCCACGCTGCTGTGAGGATGAAATGAGGTAACATAGAGGAAGAGTGCTGTGGGAAAGCACATCTGGACACAGGTACTGTTTCTGCACTACTTTCAATAGGACCATGTCAGTGTCACATGCTAATCAGCGCTCCTTGTTTTACCCTAAGCAGTTGACACCACCCAGTGGCCCCTTAACAATACCTGCTGAGGAACTCTATGAACTGGCAACTCTGTGTGTGTGTGTGTGTGTGTGTGTGTGTGAGAGAGAGAGAGAGAGAGAGAGACAGAGAGACAGAGACAGAGACAGAGAGAGAGACAGAGAGAGATAGAGAGAGAGACAGAGAGATAATATTGTGTGAGGACTTCTCAGGATGGTGGCATGTGCCCATTTTCCTAGGGTTACCAGGATATTTCTCGCAACGATCACTACACTGAAATTCTAATAAAATATTTTCATAGCTCCCTCACTATGTTATTAAAAGAGTTGATCTATATTACACATAATTACTCACCCAGAAAGGGCTAACTCTCAATTACGCACTGAAATGAAGGAATAACAAAGTAAATCATCCAAAGTGACACAAATCCCCAAATCTCCTACCAGTTGGCTTTGGAATGTATTTTGGTACTTTTGTACCCAATGAAAGAAGTGTCAGGTACATGGAAATTCTCACAACTTCCAAAGTAACCATGAAGCTACACTTTGAGGATTTTATCTCATACTCATCTTCCCTCCTTTCAGAGTTATTTTCAGGCAGATCAAAGGCTCAGCCTAAAAAAAGCTGCAAGAAGGGAAACTACTTTTAATTTTTAGCTTTGTGTTCCAAGGATGTAAGGTGACTCTGTATGTAATATGGCTGGGGAGGGGACTGTAGAGACAAGGAACTGTTGTGGCTTTTAAGATCTCTGCCTTTGAATTCTTATTGTGTGGCACAGACGAATTTTGAAAATGCCAATTAGCGATAATGTTAAAGAATGTATTGCAGAGAATTGAAAACAAGAACCTGTGCAAAGATTAGCCTGAGGATCAGCACCAGGAAGGCCAGCTGGGGCGACTGAGGACTGACTCCATCTACCTGTCTTCAGTGCACAAACAGCAGGTAAGTTTGCAGGGAACGGGATACATGGTAAGTTGAGGGAAGGAGAAGAGAACAGATACGTGGGCAGGGGGAAGGCTGGCGGGGGTGTGTCTGAAGCTGGGTGAGAGAGTGTGGATGGCAGAGGGAAAGCAATCCTCAAGCTGGTCAGAGGGAACCCTCAGTCAGCAGAATCTCGTGCACCTTCAAGAAAGTAGTATACACAGAATCATTTACTGGATCTTGGGGTTCCCTGGTTTTAAGGTATGCTTTTCATGACTAAAAAATCTTTAGGCCACCATGAGAAGTTAATTCAGATACCATCTGGGGTTCTGGGTAGGCCCTGGAGGAAGTTGGAGCCCTGGAATAGCAGAACCTTTGTGCCACCATCACTGGACCAGGAGCAACTGCATAAGGCGGCAGAGGAAGTTCTGGCCCAGGTGTGGAACAGTGGCTCCAACACTGGACAGCAGAAAGACAGGAGACAGGAGAGAGACAAAGGCCCAGACCAGAGACACTTCCAGACATGGGCTGTCTAGAGTCAGAAAAAGGGCTGCATGGCAGTGGGAGCTACAAAGTGATCTTGAAGATCTGACGAGATTCAGGAAGTGTGTGGGTCACACTACACGGGACTAAGCTGGGGGAAGGGTCCAGGAGGATTTCCAGGGCTGAGGCGGACAGCCTACCATGGGTGTGTTTTCTTAGCAACTCCCCCGCTCGTGTCCCATGTATGCTGTTAGACTCTGACACAGTCAGTACTAACCAGATGATTATGAATTAATTGTTCGGTGAAAACCACATTGACAATCAGGAAAAACTGGGAGAATCTGATTGATTCAGTAGTGATCTTGGCTGATATTGCAAATAAATAAATATACTCAAACTGAATAAAGCAGTACATGATGTAATAAAACGGACTTAAACTAATGAATTTTCAAATAATACAAATATAGTAGTACTTTTTAAAGCATATACATAAATCATGTACATTTGAGAAAGGCTGCGGCTACACAATCTTGTAATTTTATATTTCATTAATCCTATGGAATTGATAGGCACCACACACTTCTCTCTCCACCAGAGCATGGACTTACTGATTAGCTGCAGCTCTTTTCTCTAGGATCCAAATGCTGAGAGGAGAGAAGTTTAGATGTGGAAGGGACCTTAAAAATCAGTTGTCCAGCCCTCTTATTTTATAAACAAGGAAACTGAGGCCCAAATACATTGACAGTATTTATCTTTTAATAATAATCTTTATCACTGATTTGAAACTGTTTGACTTCTATAAATAATATTGCACATATTTTAATAAGATATGTCATTTTTATAGACCATCTAACAGTTAAGTTATATAATCTATGATTGTAACTCAGAACCAGAGTTTCTAATGAAAGCTAATAATTTGCTTTTGCATAACCTGAAGGATTTGTTGTATAAGATTTCTAGAAAAAAATGGTGAGTATGTTTAATTAGAACTTCAGAATGAAAACTTATAGAATCTGGGTCTTACAGAACCAAATCTTCTGTAAAATTCAACAGTCTTCTTATATTTTCTTATATAAGTTTTCTTAAAATATTTCTAATATGATGTTTTTTAAAGTATCTAGTGGTATCTGAGAACATTTATAGAAGTTGCAAAGCCTAAAAAACTGAATCATTAAATATTTATTATATACCCTCTTTGTATAATTTATAGGATAATCAATGTTTCAAGATCTGAACCATGAATATTCTGACAATCTTTTCTAGATAGTAACTGAGATTTATTCTTAATAAATTAAGAAGAAAGAAAAGCTGTTAATATTGAAAATATGCACTGCAGGAATCAGATGTAGTAACTAAAAATAAGTCATTTCACATAATACTGTACCCTGATGCAATATCCACCTATGGGAAATTAATAGCACATCAATGTAACATATCCTGAATAAATATTGACATCAACAGTAGCCACTTGGTCTAATCCTACCCCTAAGTGTCAAGCATTTTGTCATATTACTACATGACTCTCCAGTGTCTTCTACTTGTGCAGGTGAATCCATAGATATTTGCATATAATCCAGTTAAAACTGTGATTTGATTGAATTGTAAACAGTTGATAAAAGAGCTTATTGTTGTAGTGCCTAATAAGAATATCGCTGACATTTTAAGAAGATAATATATATGTAGCAGCAATTTAAAATGCTCAGTAAACTACAGTAAATGGACATCTATGCTATGTAGCAAACCAACATTAATTTAATATCTCTATATCATAGTGACACAAATAAGGAAGTTACTTGACCAATTACTTTATATATTGCCAGTTTATTTCTTGATCCAGTTTGACAATATCAACACAATTGATTCCTAAACTGATATGATATGTACTCAAGGGTGACTTTTCTTTCAATTTTTCTATTTAGCACAGAGGAGGTTCTTTCTTGGTGCCTTCCTAACAACAGCTCATATATGGAATTTATGTTTTCTATATCACTTAAATGCAGTGTTAAGGATTTTAAAAAAATGCTGGCAGCTGAAGACATATTTTCCTCCTCCTCTCCTTCTTTTCTCCCTCCCTTCCTTCCATCATTCACCTGCATGTACACTCAGGGTACCTAACTGGTCAAGGATGAGCGTTGCTGTAAAGATAACACAACACAAAAGAGCCTATATTTGTTTCCAAGGTGATGAAAGCATTCAAGGGAGATTTCCAGTTACTAACCTCTTGTTCTGTAGATAATCAGTACTTTCTCTTTAAAAATGTATTTTCAGTAGCTCACTGGAAATAATATGTTCTTATTTCAGGCAAGAAACGTATTGTCAATGTTTGCCTGGACAACACTTTCAGACCCGTGAAATGAATCCCAGGCCCAAGCTGGCTGGAATCTGGATGGTTTCTAGTGCGAGGGAGGATGGGTTAAAAGGAAAGGTGACAGGAAAGATGTGTTTAGCATCCATGAGCAGCTGAGGAGAGTCTTTCCTGTCTCGTAAACGCATCTGAGAAGATTAAGAAAAAAGAAAATAAACAGAGCATCAGTTTTTGAATCTAAAGACATTTTCCTGCCAAAATTTCTACCAAAAAATTCTCAGCTAATGAAGAATGTTTATCTTTGTTTTAAAATCACTTCGTTTTCCCAATAGTTATCAAAATAGTAAAATAAGATAAAATAATATAAAAACACATTATCCTTCAATCAATTGTAAATTTTCTGTTCAAAAGACTATTGTTGAATCAAAGAAAAAGACAGGAGCTCTTACCTGTATAGTACGAATAAATGATACAGAAACTCTTTCTTCAAACTCATTAACTGGAGTATACAAATTCAACACTTTGACAATCTGTGAGAAATGAAATAAAAGGTTTTGGCATATCATCAACTACACACTAGGTACCTATAACCTGGAAAATTAAAAGGATCTGTGCATATAATTTTCAATTCTACTCAGGGGTGGGTTGGGACAAGAAGGAAGAAAGAGCTGATCTGAAGGGCACAATTACCTTTGTTATCTGAATTTTACAAGAAATTAATGTAATGTTTGTATAATATTTTAAGAGACCATACAAATTTGGAAAAACATTCAAACAGTGCAAAATAATAAAACATGAAAAATAAGTGGTGTGCCCTACTCCCATCCTCCCAGTTTTGCAAAGTGGGAATTGTTAACTATGTCCTGAGTATCCATCTGGCTACTTTCTATACATATTCTAGCTTATGTTATTCTTATACAAATGGGGTTCATTCTATTAATACTATTCTACAAGTTGCTCTCTTAATATACAAATACATATCTAGCCACATTAAAAAAATAGAATTATATATTTTTGAATGGTTTTTTTAAAAAATATTTTTATGAAAGATAAATTACTATAAATTAATAACATGAATAACACTAAAAACCTTTATAGAAATTCTTTAAACAAAAGTCAAATTAATTTCTTTTGTAAAACCGTCATGTCTCTTTTCTAATGAAAACAAATCACTGTCTATAGAAGGTAGAAAAATATTTCCATTTTCAAGGTATTGTCTAAAGCTGTGCAGTCCAATACAATAGTAGTCTAATACAATTGTAGTCACTATCTACATGTGACTATTTAAATTTAAATTAATTAAAATAAAAGTAAAAATTGAATGCATGACAGTGTTGGTCTACAGGCAAAGAACAAATTAAACACCAGAGAGATGTGAATTAGAAAGTGGGCATGTTTATCAGGTCTGTGAGTGACAAGTGAATCAGTGGATTCACTTCAGAGGCAAGTATTAGAACATTGAAAAGTAGGACCACTTTGTTAAATAAAATTTGCTAAATAAATAAACTATAGGTCTACCTCACTCTATGAAATTAGTGCTTACAGTGTATTAAAGTGTTGAAGTATATTCTTTAAAAGTTGGATGACAGCAAACTCTTCTATAAAGTCAGGCTTCCCCCATGTATCCTTACTCTCCACATGTGGCAAAAATGGGGAGGGGCAGGAATCTCAAGATTGTTATTCAGTAGTGTGGCTCTGCTTTATTCTTAGCAAGAATTTATGTAAATACAAGTTCAGCATTAAGAAGCTGCAAATTTTGTTTCCAGTTATCTACTTATTGAATTTTAATTGTATTGGACAGAATTGAAGATGTCTATGTTATGAAATATGTGATGAACAGTAAGAAAGTCCAAGAGTCAGCACAGAAAATACCTGGGCAGAAGAAAAATGGTCATGCTTGAGACTGTGGCTTGCCTCATGCTGTTGCCATTGTTCTCAAATGCCCTTCCCACCCTCTCACTTCCTTAAATTCAATGCCCAGCTTAATGGGACCATCCCTGAACACAGTCAGCTATCACCCCCCAGTATTTCCTTTAGACTTCTTACTGTAGAATCTATTACAGCCTCTATGGTAGAGTCAGCTGGGTACATCTCTGCCTTCCCTATTAAACTGTAAGCTCCTTGAAGGCTGGGGGAGATACTTTATTGCAGTCATTTTATTGAAGTATCTCCCCCAGTGCCTTGAGATGGGAGCTCAATTAGTCATTTGTTGAATTGAAGGAACAAGAATTATCTGTCTTAAACAAAAGAAGTCTAAAAAAATCACTCAATTATCAAATAATATAGAAAATTATTTTGTGGAACCTAAGCTCCATAGAATGTATATCCCATGAAAGCAGGGACTTTGTTTTGTTTATGGTTGTATTCCAGTGCCTGCAACATTATGTGGAACACTGTAGGCATTCAATAAATATTTGCTGAATATTAAATATAGACTCACACTAAAAAGTATTAATTTCTGGTAACATCTCCTTTAAGATCTGTACAGACATATATGTTCTCTGACATAGATGAAGTCAGCTCAGAGACACAGCAATAACTACAAGACTTCTTTGCTCCCCCAAAGATCACCTTTGATGAATGTTAAATTACTTCACAGTAGGGAAAGTTGCTTTACCTGGGCAGTAGTTAAAGCATTGCACATGCAACAAATAGCTTCTGCATCATCATCTGTCTTCTTTTTCACTTGCAAAAGCTGAGCAGCCTGAATGAGAGGTTCCAGGGTTTCTTTAGCTCCACTGTTCATCAGATTCTTGTCACGTAGCCATTCTTCCAGTTGACTGACATTATACCTATGCCAAAAAAGAGAGAGAGTGAGAGAGAGGAAGAATGAGAGACAGTATGCAAATTTGCTGAATGTTGTCATAAATTTTTTAATTGTGTGTGGCCTTGTCAGGATTTTCTGTTAAAATGACAGGTAGTATTTTTGTTCAATTTTCTTAAATCTCATCAACTGTGCTTAAAATTTTATCATTATAAATAGTCATGAGGTTCATTATCATAATTATATAAGATTAAATGACATATTTAAAGAGACCTATTTAAATGACATATTTAAAGAGAATATAATTCTCTTTAATGGAAGATAGAAATGGGGGCATAATAGCAAAAGTTGTAAGACTTGCTAATTAATAAAATAGAATATATAATATGGCTCTGTCCTTATTGGTGAGCTGACCAGAAAACACTTTCTAGCCTCTCTTACAATGTCAGAGATGGGTCCCTTTCGTGTGGTGAGACCTGATAATCCTCAAAGCACTCTCTTCTCCCTTAAAGCTAATTCTGAATGACGTAACTGAATAACCAGATCCCATTCGTGTGCCTTGTGCTGAAGTCTCTTTAGGGAACTGACTGGGAGATGGAGGTAGTGGCCTGAGGGAGCTGAGGGAGCTGAGGGATGGAAGGAGAGAGGGGCAAGAGAGGGCCCTTGGAAGAGACAAAGACTTCAAATAGGGAGAAAGACAAAGAAACTAACAAAGATGCTTTCAAAGGTTTTTTTTTTTTTTTTTTTCCCACCCTCCGCAACCCCGCTTTCAAAGGTTTCACAAGGTGGCCAACCAAGTGACAGTGGTTCTCAAACTAAGACTGAAATAAATGGACCCCAATCAGAACTTAGTAATCAGGCAAACAGAAGCCATTTTGATATTACAATGGCTGTCTTCACATTTATAAGGAAAGCTTACGGATAATAAATTCTACTACCTGAGTGGACAGCATTATCTTCTTAAAGTTAATTATGATTAGATGTGGGTCAGAATGCAAAATCTGAAAAGGACACTAAGGTTTCCTGAGATTGAGTAAAGACTTTTGTAGTAGAAATCCTTTCCCCCCCTCCTGGTGAATATTCCAGTTGTTATAAAATAAATATTTGCCAAAAAAGATCAATTCTATTACAATATTGGAGGCATAGTGAGGAGTAGTTGGGCATCAAATTAAGTACAGATTTTCTTAAAATACAGAGGGGATATATTTCAAGTGTTAGTAAAAGATATATAAGACCTGTTCTTGTTGCCATAAGTACAAAGAGGTACTTTGCCAAAATATATTTCTAAGAGCACTCAAACGTTAGAAATCTTCATTATAAATTTAATATTTTCTTATTGTGTAATTAAAACACACACAAAAAGAGAGGAAGCAGCTATCTCATCTTTGTGTATTTTTGTGCCATCTCTTCACTCCCTCAAACAGGTTAGCTTCACAATGGAGCAGGGTTGCCTATCAAGCAAATCAAGCAATGTGGAGAACCTGCTGGTAAGGCACAGACAGGCACAATAATGAAGGAGATCTGGAGAAATCCAGCCAGGCAGGAGAAAGTGGCTGCGTGCCAGTTCCTCCCTTGCCGCTTGGCCTCATGGCACCAGACATCAGGTGCATTGACTGCAAACAAGTCATCAGCTCTCCACAACCTGGCAGGCCAGCTGGGCAGCAAAAAGAAGCTGTCACAGGTGCTGGCATTTGCTCACCTGATCTGCATGCCTTTACTCCAGGAGCACATGTCCTTCCGCAGGAGGAGGTTGTTCAGGGTGATAGCCCCCACGATGTAGAACATCTGCTTGACCACCTGCTTGATCAGTTCTGGGTCCATTCCATGCTGACACATGACTGAGTGGAAGGAATTGAGCTGCCGAAGAATGGAATCCAGTGTGTAGGTGCCTTCGTCAGCAATACTGGAGGTGCGCTTTCTTAGCCCGGTGGGCTTCACTCCAGACACGCCCTGAATTGTTTCATGCTCCAGCATGCCTGAGACTGCAGGAATATTTCAATTGTTAGAGAAGAAGATTTGGAAGAAAATCTGTTTCATGTGCACACATACACACACATACATTCAACTTAGGAAAATGATTTGAGTATCAAAATGGAAGGAAAAGGAACTTTACCAAAAAAGGGGTTCTGGATTTTAAACTTTAATGAAGGAATAATTCTTAAATTCAAAAACTTTCCATGAAATTAAGTAATCTTAATGGCATGTTTTCTAAAATAAGAAGCAGTATCCTTGTGTATCCTTGTGATAGCACAAGTACATGGTGTCTTGGGTGGGTTTTTGAGAGAGGCAGGTAGTGGTTAGGGTTAAGTTAAGCTTTCTCCATGATATGTCAGCCCCAGAGGCAAAATAGTAAGAAAGATAGGATGCTGAATAGTCAGTCTGGAGGAAGACTTGCGAGAGGGTATTAGTGTGGGTCTGGAGAGCTCGGCCCTTCCTTAGACTGGGCTTTCCACAATAGCAGTGAGACACTGCCTAACCTCAGTCTCCAGGACTTGGTCTTTTCATCTGTGGCACTGCTGCTCCCCCTACTGTGCTCTCTTAGCATTTGGCTTATGCTTCCTCTAGAATGTTTTTGAGATGTCCACTCCCTGACTGGGAGCCCCTTGAGAGCAAAGGCCATGTCCTTGTGCTAAACACAACTTCCTCAGAACCTGATACTGAAAATCGTTGTTGTTGTTGCTGTTAAGTGAGAGGGAGATGCAGTCCCCATCAAATTACCAAAGTTGTACCTCACAGATTTAGAAAAAATAATTCTATGCTTTGTTTAGAAGCAGAAGAGAGCCTGAATAGCCAAAAAAAATCTTAAGCAAAAAGAACAATTCTGGAGGCATCCCATTAACAGACTTCAAACTATACTGAAAGGCTATATAATAACAAAAACAGCATGGTATTGGTACAAAAATAGAGACATAGACCAATGGAACAGAACAGGGAACCCAGATATAAAACCATCTACCTACAACCAACTAATATTTGACAAAGCAGACAACAATGTACACTGGGGAAAAGGAGCCATATTCAATACATGGTGCTGGGAAAATTGGATAGCCATGTGTAGAAGAATGAAACAAGACCCCTACCTCTCATCACTCACAAAAATTAATTCAAGATGGATAAAAGACTTATATCTAGGGCATGAAACCATAAGAATTCTAGAGGAAAATGTAGGAAAAACTCTTCTAGATAATTGGCCTAGGCAAAGAATTTATGACTCAGACCCCAATGGCAATCATGGCAACAACAAAAATTAATAAATGGGATTTGATCAAACTAAAAAGCTTCTGCACAGCTAAGGAAACAACAGAACAAATAGGCAACCTACAGAATGGGAGAAAATATTTGCGAGCTACACATCTGATAAAGGGCTAATAACCAGAATTTACAAAGAACTCAAGCAAATCAGCAAGCAAAAAACAAACAACCCTATTAAAAACTGGGCAAAAGACATGAACAGAAGCTTCGCAAAAGAAGAAAGACAAATTGGCCAATAAACATATGAAAAAATGCTCAAGTTGCTAATAATCAGGGAAATGCAAATTAAAACCACCATGAGATATCATCTTACCCATTAGAATGTTTTTTATTAAAATATCCAAAAACAATAGATGCTGGCATGAATGAAAAGAAAAAGGAATGCAACATTGGTGGGACTGCAAATTAGTGCAACTTCTACGGAAAACAGTATGGAGATTCCTCAAAGAACGAAAAGTAGACCTACCATTTGATCTGAATATCCCACTATTGGGTATTTACCCAAAGGAAAAGTGACCATCAATTCATGAATGGATTAATAAAATGTGGTATATGTATGCCATGGAGTACTACTCAGCCATAAAAAGATGAATTAATACCTTTTGCAACAATCTGGATAGAAGTGGAAACCATTCTCCTAAGTGCAGTATCTCAAGAATGGATAATCAAACACCACATGTACTCACTATTAAACTGGAACTAACTGATGAGCACACAAGTGCACAGAAGGAAGTAAAACTCAACAGAAATCAAATGGCAGGGGGAAGGGGAAAAAAACCAACCTAATGGGTACATGAATACTATTTGGGTGATGTGCACACCTATAGCCGCGACTCAAACATTACAAAAATAAAATGATCCATGTAACCTAAAACATTTGTACCCCCTTAATATTTTGAAACTAAAAAAATAACAGCTGGGTATACAGAATGAGTGCACACATATAGAAAGATACATGAAATCATACATTTAGCTGAATACGTGTAAATAGAAACACACCACACCCCTCAGCTGCTTAGCCAATGAGACACTACTACTTTAAATCAAATTACCTTTAACAATTCCATAGGGGCCATGAGATGTACAACTCATATGGAATGTCTGAAACAAACCTGTGAGACCGGTCTTTGTTGCTACACTACCTTCCAGGCTACCTCGCCGCAGCCTATTAGACAAAGTGCAAACCCTCCCCAGCCTCCTTGGTTTTAGCTGGGCCCCTAGGAAGCCCTATATAGGAGTGTCCTAGTACAAAGTTTAAAGTGTTTTTGAAAATTAGACAAGCTATGAGGTCTTCTGCTAGGTATAAAGCATAACCCAATCTTAAGACAGAGGGCATTAAACCCTGGGGAAAGAGCCAGATACTGCTGTTTCAATCATGTCAAAGCAGGGATTTTGATGCATCCTTTAGCTATGGCTGGGTTTCTGGAATTCCTTAGCTAATTTTAGGCCTGTATCTTACTACTTTATGGATACATCCATATGAATTCATGTATTTATATAAATGCATATGAATACATGCTCTAAAACATGTGTCACTGGTGGTCATTACTGACGGGCACATGATCTGCAGGCATGTGGTAAGACTGGCCTTACCAATCATTGGCTGAAGGATGTTCTCTAACACTCGGACAAGCTGTTGGTAGATCTGAATGGCCAAGTCACTCAGCACCTGCCGATACTCAGCCAAGTCAAAATTGGTGAGGCAGTGTTCATTCTGGCGAGACGTATTGTGCTTCATAAAGCCCTGGAGTCATAAGGCAAAGTTAATGATATACATGGAGTAAAGTGTTTCCTTTGTCTGTTTAACTGTCTCCTGTTTGATCAGCATCTTCATGCTCTCTGTTCCTCTCTCCACAGAGTTTCATCCATCCCATGTAAAAATGCCAGGATAATCATTCTCCAGTACTGCTCTGTGTGTGTTTGCTTGCATCATACCCCCCTCCCCCCACCTTCCACTTCTTACTAGCTTTTGAATAATAGCTAAACTTGGCAATCTAGCATTTAAGTCTTTCCACTAGCAATGTCAATGAAACAAGTTGGGAGAACTTAAATAAAAAAATGAATGAGTGTTTTACTTGTGAAACAGCAGGTTTACACTAAATTATCTAAGGTATTAATCTCTCAAATTCAACTCATTAAATGTAGTCTTATGCATAAATACTACACTCAAAGGGCATACAAAATCTTCTTGAAATAGACCAATTTTTATAGAGACGGCCTCCCTGCAACCTAATTAATGACATGGTCTAAGAGAGGGGACTGACAGGACATGGTTAATGGCCCCTCTGGGGGATTCTGGTCCGATAGTCCCACCTTCTCAGGGACCATGTCCTACTCATCTTTGTATTTTCCATCATTTGCCAGGACAGTCCTCTGCATCTGGGTGCTCAGAAAGTGCTACTGATCAGCTTCTCTGCTGCCCTCCTGGCAAAGGCTGGGGAGGCAGTGGGTTAGAGCCATAGGCCCTCAGAAGTGGGCAGACCTAGAATCCCAGCTGTGCTCCTCATGGCTGAGAGGACTTGGGCAAATCAATGAGCCTCACTAAGCATCAGTTTCCTCATCTGTATAACTGGGTTATAATTTCTACTTCATAGGGATGTTGTAAGAATTAAATAACATAAATAACATCATTTATAGTATGTGCTGTCTGATACATACTCAGCAGCTCTTAATAAATAGTAATTATTAATATTTTACATAGTTTTGAAATATGTTAAAGTTTATCAAACAACTAATGAACACATCCTTACAAACAAAAGCAATACAGATTTTTGGACAAATTGAAAGAGACGTGATCTCTGATCCTATTTTATCCTTGATCACCTTTAATGTACTGTGGCAGGTCCAAATTGATTAATTTCTTTAAATAGTTCAATATTCTGATACTGGTTCTTGAAAAGCTCACTTCCAACATATTGCTAAGATGTTTCATTTCCGGTAACTATTCATTAATTGATGCTTGCTTTATTTTTCTATGCTTTCTCATAATATAGACTCTCAGAGGCAGGAAACTATGTCATTCTCCAATTTACTGTTTCATAGATAATGAACATCAAACAAGCAATGAAGTTCCAAGCCACCTCTGAATTTGGGTTTCTAAATTAACAAAGAGTTAAACATTTTGTGCTTTTAAAATTTTCCTTAAAAAGGTCAGAGAAAGTATAGCATGCTGGTTCCGTAATCAAGGTTTTCTCACCTCTTCTCCACTGTACTGCTTCAAACAGTGTAAAAATCGGCATGTGTTAGAGAGCCAGAAGGAGACAGTTTCAAAATCATCACCTCTTTTCTGAAAGAGAGAATAAGTCTAAATTTACCTTTTTCATAGGGAAATAACAACCTGGAAAAAACTGAACAGATACCAAAAGACCTATTTCTTTCAGTTACCATTATAAACAATTATAAAAATAAATCACAATGCAGTTGTAAAGTCTTACATTATTGCTAGCAGAATTTCAGCCACTGGGTTCATTGGTTGGTTGTTACTTTGCTTGGTATCCATTTTCTTACATTTGAAAATGAAGCTGATGTTAACTTAGCTGTCCCCCCTTTAAACAGAAAAAAATTCAACAAGCCACAGCTGACCCAAACTCACTTCCCTTGGGGTTAATGAAGGGAATCAAAAAGAATTAAAAGCACAAAAGGGAATGACTAGTATTGTAATAAGGAATATGAAAAAGAGTTTGAAGCACTTAAACCCAGATTAGATTAAAAATCTTGTCAAAGGTAAGATAAGATTTCTGAGCAGCGACTCAGAGATGGGATGGAGGAAGTCCTGCACGAAGCAGTACAGTCAGGGACAATCTGGCTGGCTCTTTTCCAGGACTGGGCCACAGTGGCAGGAGAAGAGAGAGACTCATTGTGCCTGAAAAGACATTGGGGCTCAGAATGTTCTCCAGGGCCTGAATGGTAGATATACTTGGAAAGATAGGAATTTATAAACCAAACCATTTGGATGAACTAATCCCAGTTTGGATATGGGAAGTCACAGAAATATCAATGTTTGCCTATACCTTATCTTAGAAAACCTTGCTTAGGAAAAACTAAAATAGTTTACCTGGGACAGGTGCCTAGCATTAAATGACCTTAGAAGCTCATTTTTTTTTTTGCATGGTATCATATATTCCAATCTCTATTACTGTATCACAACAAAACCTGGTTTCTTAGAAGCTGTATGAGAACAACTGCCTTTGGTTCCTTGGTAGTGACTTTATGTAGTAAATGTTCTAGCAGGATAAATCATGAGGAAAGATTTCCCATAAGATCTTTTTTTTTTACATAAATAAAATTTAACTCTTTAAGCAAGTACAAAACAAACCAAAGCCCTTAAATTTTAGAAAATATTTTCCTAAAAAGACTTCAGTAAAAAAATCCTGACTGGGCAGTGGCTCAATCCTGTAAACCTAAGCACTCTGGGAGGCCAAGGCAGGAGGATCACTTGAGGTCAGGAGTTCAAGACTAGGCTGAACAAGAGCGAGACACCGTCTCTATAAAAAATAGAAAAATGAGCGGGTGTGGTGGTACACACCTGTAGTCTCAGATACTCAGGAGCCTGAGACAGCAGGATTGCTTGAGACAAGGAGTTTGAGGTTGCAGTGAGCTGTGATGAGGCCACTGTACTCTAGCTGAGACAGAATAACTGAGTTCAGGTCCTGACTTTACTACTAGAGAAATATCTAAAAGATTTAGCTATAAAGTCTTCCAGATTTAGGAGGATTGCCAGAAAGTAAATAAAATTTAATGATACTCTCAAACACAGAAAATCATCCTATGGCTTAAGTGCAGATTTGACTAAAAATAACTTTACCCCTTCCAGAAATCTGGATTACAATTGTTCCTAGTGGAGGCTCTGGGCTGAGCTGACAAATACGGATTGGGAGACAATGCTAGCTACAGGCCAGCTTGTGGTAGCAGGTCATAAAAGCACTTACCTAGACTGCCTTTGCTGATGTTTAGACAAGTCAAACTGCAGAGATCTTTGGAATAGCCAGACACTTGTAATTATATCTATACTAAAGAGTTACCAGATAGGTTGATTAAAATCTAAGGAGAAGACTTTATTCCACATTTGTTCTCATTAGTGGGCCTGGACTTTGCTAAGCCACTTTTAAACAAATTAACTCTATAAAAACAATTGCTTTCAGTGTAAACACTAAGGGTGCCCTCTGTCTTCATAAAAATGAGATACTCTATATTACTTCAAAATAAAAGAATATTTACTTCTTTGGAAATTAAAAGAATTTAAAACTGAACACCAACTCTTTAGTCAGGAAGTTACTAGATTGAATTTGCCAAAATAGTATTTTTACAATGAACAAACTGTACTTGGTCAAAATTAAACAATAAATCAAAGTTAGTTGTTTATCTCATAGAGAAAACAATTAAGTTGAACTTAAACCTATTTTCAGTTTTTGATTTTTTTAAGATAAAAATGAGGTATGAGCTAAAACTGGATGGATTCTCTATATATCTTTGGCCAGTTATGCTGTTTTAGAGCCCACCACAAAAAACCAGTTGCTAAAATCAAAACAGGTGTGAGACACATGCATATTGATTTTAAATGGTATTAAAAGAATGTTATGTTCCAGTACACATTCTTTTTAATTTTTAAACAGTTTGGTATAATAGCTAAATGATGAATATCTTCTTGCAATTAAAAAGAGAAGGAGAGAACTTTATGATTTGGTAGTAGTTGACTTAAAAAGTAGCAAAATTCATAATCTAAGAGCGGTATAGTATCAATACACTAAAAATAAAATGAATTATATTTGGAAGATATTCATCAATTTTTAAATGTTAAAATTTCAGAAACTCTATGCCTTAGTAACCACTGTAGAATGTAATGACATAGAATATCTGCACAATAGGGACTGAGTGAGAACCAGCATTTGTCGAAAGTTCCAAGGGCTGGGAGAGGGAGGAATGGGGAGTTAGTATAATGGATAGAGTTTCAGTTGTGGAGGATAAAAAAGTTATGGAGTTGGATGGTGGTGATGGTTGTTTTACAACGATGTAAATATACCTAATGCCACATAACTGTACACTTAAAAATGGTAAATTTTGTTATGTATGTTTTACCACAATTTAAAAAAAAAAGCTTATGAAAGACATCTTAGATTTGAGAGGGTCCACTAGGTATGGTAACTATCCATTTAACTTCATTCTAAAAGTTCCCATTAAGTTCAATAATCAGAAAGCAAAGTAGCTACAGACACTATCTTAGCTCCCCACAGAAACACTTGAGTTAAAACAAGTATGATGTTCATTGTTTCTGTAGAGTCAAGAGGAGGATTATGCAAGTGACTCAGTGATGACTGAGTTACGTAGGCCTTTCCACTTGGTTATATAATTCTGCTGTCTTTCCTAAATCTTTCCTCTCTGATTAGCATCTGTGTGTGTTGCTTCTCACATGGAACCAGGCATTTTAGGTAACTGGGAAAATTTATGGGGTGAGTTGGAGAACAAAGGGAAGAAAAGATGGAAGAAAAATTTTCATGTTTTATCAGACATCTTTTTATATGAATGAATTCAAGTATTACTGAACTTATTTAACATCTATTTTAACTTTGGCATCATGTTCCCTATTTATATTAAATATTTTAAATTTAATTCCAAGTGAATTTCAAAGCAAATCATTTCTGTCCATGAAGAAACTTAATTTACTATACAATTAAATACACTTATATCAAGTTCATTTTGATTACTGAACAACCTGAGTCCTGTTTTGAAAGAAGGCATACAGACATGTTCAAGAAAGAATGTTTGCTCCAGTGGAAGTTTTCACACAAGGCTGGAAAGTGTTCATAACAAGCAACTTCTTAAAAAATAAAATAAGATAAAAATAATTATTAAAAAACCCCAAGCAGGGGGAGGAGGGGAAAGGGCATTTTTTGAAACCTTAAAATTTGTACCCCCATAATATGCCGAAATAAAAAAACAAAAAACAAAAAAACCAAGCAATTTAGCTAAAGTCGAAGGAAGGAAAAGCACCTCTGTGCAGATTCTGTCATCATCAACATTTATTATGAGAATGTTGTTGAACATGAACTGACCTTCAATACTTTTTTGATGCTGTTAATTGTTGATGTCAGCAATGACCTTACTTTCTGATCATCATTCAGGTAGTCAGCATGTCGAACACACATAAACAGGATATATGCTGGTAATCCTGGAATCAAATTGACTGCTACACCACGTGGCTTCAGTTCTGAAAAAAGGAAAAATAATCTTACATAACATTGAAAGTCTTCATGAGGCATGTTTTATGAGATATAAAAAAGCACAGTTGTCACGTGAGAGTTCAATCATTCAAGGTAAGTTGGTCATATAAACAAAGGTATTTTAATAGCTCATTAAGTAGAGAAATTCTTGAGTGTGCGGACATGTCTATATAATGACAACTCCCAAATTCATATCTACTGCCCTGACTTTTCCCTTGAACTCTAGTCTCTTGTATCAACTGCCTTCTTGACATCTCTGCTCAGGCACATCGAACTGAGCCTCTCCCAAACCAAACTCTTGCTTCCCCACGGAACCTGCTCTTTTGGAAGTATTTCCCATTTCAGTAATCAGCAGCTCCAGTCTTCCAGTTTCTTACGTTATAAACACCATCTTCCTCTTTGACTCCTTTCTTTTTCTCACACCGCATCCAATCCACCAACAAATCCCCTTGACTCTACCTATAAAATACAACCCAAATCCAACGATCTCTTCCTTCCTGTACTAGCTGTGGCCCTGTCGAGGCCAGCGCCATCTCCTGGATTGCTGCAACAGCTCCTGCGCTGGCCTCCCTGAGTTATCCTCTGCTCCCAGTAGTGCATTTTCCACACAACACAAGTCATTCTTTAAGAAAAGGTATGTCAGATTATGTCACTCTTGTTCTGAGAATCCTCCAAGCAGCTTATTTAACTTATTTATAAAATCTGAAATCCTTACCATAGTCCATGGGATCTGACCATTCCCCTTCTCCAGCACCAGCTCACTCTGCTCGTCAAATGGGCCTCCTTGCTGTTGGTGGAATGTGCCAGGCATGCTCCCACCCAGGGCCCGTGCACTTACTGTTTTTCTGCCTCAAATGTTCTTTCCGCAGACACCAGCATGATGTCCAAAGACCACCTTACCAAGCCCTGACAATCTGATATAAACCAGTATACCTGCCTTTACTCTTTTTACTCCATTATATATTATTTTATTTCATTTTCTCTATTTCTCCTCTAGAATGTAAGCTCTATGAGAATGGGTACTTTGTTTTGTTCATTATCAGTACCTACAAAATGCTTGGCACATGGTTGGATTCAGTAAATATTTGTTGAATTGATGAATCTTTAACTCTATGCTTAAAAAACAGTGGCTCCTTAACATTTTTACAATCATGAAGATCATGTTGAAACTGAAGCACCTCTGCACCTATATATAGTACCAAATTAATGCTAGGAACATTAAATCACGTGTAACTGCCAGTCACATTGCTGTCACTCTGGTACCTGGGGGGAGGAATGCTATGCAAAGGCTGAAAGGAGAGGTTTTTAGGTTTTTTAATTCGCAACTTACAGTGCGTGCACTCTCTAGTCGTTTGCCACCACTCCCTAAAAAGTCTTCTTGCAGAGCCAGAGGGCTCACATCCAATCTGAAAGGCCTAATGCTACTCTGAAATGTTTCTTTCACTCCCATCTCATTTGTTCTGTCCTGTCCTTCCTTTGTTGGAATCTTTTCCCTAATTCTTTTGTTTCTTCCCTATTACTGAACTGTTGTCCTCACCATATTTAGTTGTAAACATTTCTAGGGAACTAAGGAAAAACAGAAACTCAGGAACCTAAACAGTCTACAGTAATAGTGTTCAACTGTGGTTATACTTGAGAATCCCTTGAGAGGTTTTTAAAAAAGTACTAGACATTGCCAAGCTCTTCTCCCTAGAGATTTTTATTTAACTGGTCTGGTATGTGTGTGTGGGGTATACATCAGTACTTTTCGAAAGTTTCCCAGGTTATTCTAATGTGTAGCCAGGGCTGAGAAGGCTGCTAGACACGTGTCCCTGCAGTTTGACTGATGAGACATGGTATGGTCAGGACACTAGTGCAGCACCAGAAGGTGCACAGTATGTAAGGATGCCTAAAGAAACTTTGATGTTGAATATTTCAACAATTAGTGATTAGTTTTTCCAACCATTGACACATGTACCAGAAAGGCCTTTTATCCCACGCAAAAAATACTTGCCCAGAATCAGGTTCTTGACAAGTTTTTGCTCATCTTCCTTCTTGTATTCCAGCATTCCTTGGAAATCCTTTTCTTTCCTGGGAATGTTGACTGGACGGATAGGTTCGTCAATGATCTGTCCTGGAGATATGTTCTCCATCTGGCCCACTTCATGAGAAGCAAAAAAGGAGAATAAAATGTTTTCCAGATAGAAAAGATGAGAGGGTTCCATGTTCATATAATTTTGAATGAACTCTGTAACAACAGAAACTTGCCATATTTGCCACTTAATTGTCCCCTCTTAAAATATTTTTTGTGCTAAAATTGAGTGGCTAGATGGCAAAATTATATGGTAATATTATTCTGACAGCCACTAGAGCCTCACTACAATTAACATCAAATAAATTTATGTGATTCAAAACCTTTTAATTTTTTTGTAATAAGATTTACTTTCTAATGATATTAAATATTCCAAAAGTAAGTGTTTTAACATATTTGTTAACAAATTGACACCAATCAGAAATGGTTAAATATATTTAGACTTTAAATCACAGGAGGAAAAAACATTAGTCTACAAAGGGGCATCAAGAATATAAAAGATTCTTTCCCCTTTAGCTCTATGAACCTAGCCATTTAAAGCAAAAGAACATTTACTTTAAATGTATCATTATAATCCGTTCAAACCACATCAAGACATCTGGTAGAACAGTGTTTCTTCATACCAACTGATGTGAAAATATATGATTTTTCACAAAGGCTTCATAAGGGAAAGATCTAACTTTCTCCTGCCACCCCTCATTCTCAGAGAAATCATGAGCAGATAAAACACTTTTATTTAATAATTCCCTAAATGTTATTACTTTTTGTTTCTTTTTAATAGAATGCTAAAAATTCTACCATGAAGTTGTGACCATTAAAATTCAACCACCACTGTTTAACAACACTTTCAGATGTTAAAATGGTCCCTATTGTCAATTTCAGCAGCTAGAGGAGAATTATGCTAATGATAAAAAAAAAAGTCTCCAATTTCATCTCAAAATTAAGAACTGAATGGGAAACACAAGGAAAGGAAAGGGATCATATGAGTTATTATGGGTGACTCTGGAAATACACGCCAGGAAGCAGGTTTCTTATCTTTTTATCCTTAGGAAGGCGGAGCAGTTAAGGTATCTATTTAAGTGCAGATTAAGTTTGAATTCCAAGACTATTATTAAACCAAATGCAGATTAGATGCTAAAACATTAGAAAGTTTAATGGTGCAGACTCCAAGAGGTAACAGTAGTGCTTCTTGTGTCACTCTGGGCAATTTCCTGGGTTAGTTCTGAGAAGCCAGTTCCACAGGAAGAGGTTATCAAAGAGAACATCAATACCTGCCAGAGCTCTTGCTTATGTGGCACGGAACCTGGGGACACACCGTCCACCTCATGCTGCGGCGTCACACACTGGGACTGAAAATTTAGTTTAGGTAAAGTCACCACCATCCAGCAACACTCTGATGTCTAAAGAGTGGTCAGATTGCAATTGGACAGATACCATAATCTAGTGTTTCATATGCATGATTGTAGTCTGAAAGCTACAGGACTAGTTATAAAATGTATTCTCTACAAGAGAAGAGGATACTCAAACTATTTTAGTTTTATATAAATTATTTCTAGAGTCAGTTTTAAAACAATACCATGAGCACCTCTGAAGCTACATATAGTGGCCTCTACAGCTTGTGAACCTGCTGCTGTGTATAAAAAAACAAAATAATAAATTCCTGCCATCTATGTAACTAGTAACTTTAGCCACAGAGATAATTCCAAAAGGGTAGATTGGGAGGAAGCAAGGTCAAGATATTGGGTTTATCAATAAATGCATACATTTGGACTTTATGTAACCCAAAGAGGATGTTTTAAACCTACTGATTTGATCAAACCTAAGATGCCATTGATTATGAAAGATATCATTTTATATAACACTAAAAAAGAAAAAAACATTGCCAATTAAACTATAACCCATCAATAATTATAAGACACACCCCAGTTTTAGAGCTGTTAGAATGTGAAACATTATGCATCTCTAAGCACATCTCTAGGCTGTGTAGGTGCATAATGTTTCATAGAATTTGTAAAATATGATGAGTATTTTTACTTAGTTTATGTTTTAAAAGAAGGCTGCTCTCTCCTTTTGCAAAATCTCTAACCAGGATATTTTTGGTTCTTTATAAAAATGTCAGACAAAATCTGCCATACTCTCATTAAAAGTTTTTCTTTCTGCCTTTGAATTCTCCCTAGGGAATTAGTCTTTACAAAGGCTCACATATGAAATATAGATGTCAGCTCAACATAACCTTAATCTATTTAGCAATATTATCTACTAATTAAAATAACATGTCAACCTTTATGTAGCATCAGGAAAATACAGTGCTGCAAGAGATAAGCCAGGTCACCACCCCAGTTTTCCAACACTCAAGAGACTTGGCAGTTACTATAGTTGAATGTTTGTGTTCCTTCCAAAATTCATGTTGAAACTTAATCCCTAATGCAACAGCATTAAGAAGAGGGGCCTTTAGGTGATTAGGTCCTGAGGGCTCTGTTCTCATGAATGGAATAAGATCTTACAAATGGGATTCCAGGGGACTAGTTAGGCCTTTTGCCCTTCTGCCTTCTGCCTTGTGAGGACACAGCCTCTGTCCCCTCCAGAGGATGTAACAACAATGCGCGCCACTGCGGAGACAGAGACCGCACCCTCCGAATGTGCTGGTGCCTTGATCTTTGCCATCCATCCTTTAGAACTGTGAGAAATAAATTTCCGTTCTCTACAAATTGCTCAGACTCAGGTATTTTGTTTAGCAGCATAAACAGCCTGAGACAGTGGTCATTTAGTCCAGTACTCTAATATAGACACCCTTCTAGAAAGACCTGAAGCAAGAATCTATTTTCATTTTCTAGATTCCTTTTTTTTTTTTTTTTGAGACAGAATCTTACTCTGTTGGCCAGGCTAGAGTGCCATGGCATCAGCCTAGCTCACAGCAACCTCAAACTCCTGGGCTCAAGCAATCCTCCTGCCTCGGTCTCCTCAGTAGCTGGGACTACAGGCATGCACCACAATGCCTGACTACTTTTTTCCCCCTATTTTTAGTAGAGACAGGGTCTCTTCAAATTCTTGAGCTCAAGCAATCCTCTTGCCTCGGCCTCCCAGAGTGCTAGGATTACAGGTGTGAGCCACCATGCCCAGCCAATTTTCTAGATTCTTTATAAACTTGAGGGGAAAAGATTCCTGAACCTTTAATCCTGGAAAAGGAAAGGAAATTAGAAGGTTTTTAAAAAATTTACTTTTCCTCACTTTGGCAACAGGAAGATCTTGATCTCAGGTTTAATTGAGACATAAATTCATATTAAGTAGAGAAATTCTGTGAGAAAATATGACACAAATGAGAGAAATCAGTGGCCCTCAGAAGGCTTGGGTTCTAATCCTGCCATCTAACTTGCTGAGATGTTGGGTAAATCACTTATAATTTTCAAGCCTTAGTTTTTCCTCTTATGAAATAATTAACTGATTTCTGGAATCCCTTCAGTTCTAAATTTCTTGATTCTATAAAAATTGAGATGGAATACTCACTCCTGGAACAAAATGTAACATGAAGCAGATCAAATTTTGAAACACTCTCCATTTAGCTATATAATTTCTACTAAAAATGATATATGTTGGCATTTTTTTTAAAAAAGTCTTTGTTTGCTTCTAAAACAGTCTTCTTAATTAAATGTAGCCCACAGGAAGAGGCAAGAGTCGTGCTATTTTAAACCAAAAGGATTTAAGCGTGTTGAAATATATTTAAAGAAAAACATAAGAAAACTTTTAGTTATCATAAAGTGCTTTGTTGTACAAAGTTGCTAGTATTTTCTGTATAACAGAGAGATATACAGGGATGAAAAGAAAAGTGTTAAAAGAACTTGTCACCTTTATTCCCTAATTTAGGAGAAACAACTTACTGCACTCAGCAAGTCACATAAATCTGTTTCATTTTATCCTCTACATATTTATCAATTAACTCAAAATATAACTCTTCTTAAGAACTAGAACATTTTTTTTTGTTTAATCAGTAAATTGTTATTCTCAAATGCTATTTACAGCTATATAGCTATCAGGATAGTTTAAGTCATAAGGTTGATTTCTGATTGATAATGGCTTAAAATCAGTAAAATCTTAAAATATTCTAACCTATTTCTTCAATTAAAAATATACATATCAAAGAAAGCTGATTTAAAAATGTAAAATAATGCATGTCTTTTTTATTTATTAAAATTTACTAAAGTATGGCAAAGGAACCATTAGGAATTTAACAAACAATCTCACAAGTTAAATCAGTTAAAATCAGTTTCTTTCAAGAAAATACTCTGCTATCTGATTATCATGATATGATCAGTGCAGAGTTAGGTACAGAAAGTTCTCTGAATAAAGATTTTTAAGTTATACCAATAGACATTATAGCCCATGTGGGAGTGTGTGATTTGGAGATTCAGAAGTTTTAATGTAATATATAATCATGTAATGCTAAAAGATTATATATAAAATATTACTATGAAGTAATCTTTCTGATTTCTAAACAAATATTTCAGTATTTTTATATCTAAGGGAGTAATATCCTGTTGACAGTAAAAATCCATGTTGCCATGTTCTAAATACTTCTGAAACTTATTTATTCACTCAACAAACATGGAATGATCATGATAGGTCAGACACTATACCAGGTGCTGTGAAAACAAGAGGAAATGAGAGGTGGTTCCTATGCTTAGGAAGCTCACAGTCTATTATGGAAGACAGTAATTCAAACAGAAAAATTGCTAAAAATATGATACAGTGAAAACCACAAAAGATTGGAGCCAAGTTGTGGAGCACAGAGGGCAAAGCCATATGGTCTGTCTGCGTGATCAGGCAAAGCTGCTCTTGAGCATGTAACATATGACTCTGGTCTCATAGGATGAGCAGAACTTGCCCAGGAGGAGCAGGAAGATCAAACAGAAGGAATAGTTATGGCAAGGCCTGGCATGTTGAGGGAATGAAAACCACATTTAGAGTCAATCGTGACAGAGCCCTTTGAACATCCCCAGTGATGGGAAATCTTTACCCTTTGAGCCAAGCAAGAATTATGCAAAGTGACACTGAGACAATAGGCAGGTAGTCAGGCTGAGCAGTATCATTTTTAGGCAAAATGATAACAGTTCACAGAGGTTTGAAAGCAATTCCATAGAGTGTCTCTACAATCTCTTAAGCAGGGAGAGTTGTTGGGATGAGGATAGAATTTGGCTTTAGTCCTAATTCTTATATAAGAATTCAAGACCAGATTCATTTGTATGTAATAACTGATATTCGATCATTTCTCAAGGAGTTTTCCTATCATATGGAAATGAGACTTTTGAAAAAAATTTATTTCTTTATTATCGTAATTCATATTTTTCTTACTTCTTTTTTTTTCTCTGTTAGACTGTGAGTTCTTTGAGGACACAGACTCTGTTTTACTCATCTTAGCATCCCTAATATTAAAAATAACAGCAATACTAATAACTAAGTTGTATGTAGTGTTTACTATGTATCAGGAACTATTCTATTACACACATTAACTCATTGGATCCTTATAAACCATGTCAGGTAGATACCATTATCATTCCCATTTAACAGGAAAAGCTGAGGCATAGAGAGTTTCAGTAATTTGTTTGCCTAATATCATATGATTAATAAGTAGGAGACCTAGGATTTGAACCCAAGAAGCATGACACCAGAATCCATGCTCTTAACATCTATGATATACTGCCTAGCACAGTGCCTGGCATATATTAATAGAGAATATTCACTATATGCTTGCTGAATAAATTCTCTCCCTTTGTATTATTATTATTATTACCACAAAAAGAACATTTTTCCTCATCTAGAGAAATGGAAATTTCCACTCCACAGAGGTCAAGTTTGCTGAAAGTCATTTTTGTTATTATCCCTAATATTTGCATATAAACCTCTATTAGGCCACATATATAGCAAGACAAAACCAAGATTCAGTAACTGATAAAAACATGTTTATATACCTTCTAGTTCACCAATTTTTTTGGCAAATACTTTCAGTTGTTTTTTCAGTTTCCGGACAGTCTTATCTTGTTTTTCAAGTTGTTCCATTAGATCCTGAAGATCAAAATGAGAAATAACAGAAAGATTAAAATAGGCCTTCTAAAATGCACTCAGGGAAAGCAGACACAAACTCACAGAAACAACATTGTTAGTTTTACATAAAGCTCCAGAAAAGCTCGCTGGTGGAGCCACCACTGGGCTAAAACTGGCAGGCATGGGAAAGGCAGCTACAATAAAAGCCAAATGTTAAAATATAAAATGCAGTAAAATCCTTTACAGCGTGATGGATAGGCAGGCTCACTGTGGAGTCTTTTCTAGTAGACTCCATGTAGGAAAAACAACTGCATGCTTGTTAAATGTCTTGTTATTCCGGTGGAATAAATTTTGATGAATACACAAAAAGTTCTGCAGGGAGATTTAAGAATGGTTGAACTTTGGTAAGGACTGACATTCCATGTGCGTGAAGCAGTGTGTCTCTTTGAGACCCACCCTTCTGGAGATGCTAAAATTAGCCCTGAAACTCAAGAAACGTTTAGAAGTTTTGGGAATTAAAAGGTAAGCTGAAAAAATAATCTTAGAGAAAAGGAGAAAGAGTGGTCTGTTGACCTAGGTAGGACCAAAGTGGTAGGTGGCATAAGACACCTACAAAATCTTGCAGGTGATATAATTTTGCTTATGTAGAAGAAAGGAAGCTGGGCAAGGTGGCTCACACCTGTAATCCCAGCTACTTTGGAGGATCACTTGAGCCCAGGAGTTCAAGGATAGAGTGGGCTAGGATTGTACCACTGCACTCCTGGGCGACAGCAGACTAAGACCTCGCCCCTAAAAGAAAAAGAAAAAGAAAAAAAAAAAAGGAGGAAAAAGAAAGGAAAGGAAAATAAGGGGGGTAATTATGAATGTTTCATATAACAAGAGAAAACAAAAGCAGTACAATTAAGGGGGAGGGCATAAAAAAGTCTGAGATTGTTGGCTCTCTAGCTAATAAAGAATTCTCTCAAATGACAAGCATAGTTAAAAACTGAATAATTAAGAAGAAAGTGGACAACAGAAGGCTCAGAAAGAGCTTAGAAGGAAAATGAGTCAGTGAAGTGTGTGGTTGTTATTCAGGTTATGGAAAAGAAAAACATTACAAATACAAATATTTATTCATTCTCCAGTTTAGGCTAGAGTGGATTTAGATACTAGGCCAATGACTCAAAGGGAAAAGTTGCTAACATTTCAAAGTGTTAAGTTATGCTTCTTGGATTTTACTTGATCTTTCAAGCCACAATTTGCTTCCATCACACTGTAAGCCTAGTGTTAATGACAAATCAAACGTGACAATGGACGCAGTAGGACACTGATAGAGGTGACACCACTGGCTAAAACACAGCTGTGGGGAGAAATAAGTTTTGTGAAAGTTTTTGGAGAGACTTCCTGGGAAGGAGCAGGCAGCAGTGTGCTCTTCAGTTACAGAGGGCTAAAAGTAGCAAGGAAGACAAAGGAAAAGCACTATGGTTTTACATACAATCATCCGTTTGTAAAGTGAAATCCGATAGGACTGATACTTCTTAGGGTCATCTGCATATAATTCCTCAAAATACTGAAAAAACAGGCACAATAGATATTTGTTTTTCTCTGTGTCTTTGAAGGCAATGCTACCTCTCAGCAAAATCAATTTTAAAATATTTTAAGACACAAACAGTGAAAGTGAATAAACTCAAAAGCTCTGATTTGTCACCTGCCATTACCCTTTTACCTTTCTAGTATAGATGATTCTAATTACATATATACAGACATTTCTTTCGTGATTAAAGGAAACAGGCTGTGGCCAAGATGCCATCAGTTAGCAGGTAAACACATTGCCCAGATAAGGCTCTCACTTCACTCAAGCCTCCTTCCTGCCTTTTACTCCTAGCCTCCCCCGTACATGATGCTCACCAATTGCTGCACCTTTTTTTGCTGCCAGCAGCAGCAGAAGAGTAGGGAAGGCAAATAAAGTGAAAGTGAGAATAATGGCAATGTTAGCACTCTTGTATGAAGTTGGAGAGGCTGGTGAGAAGCTGTGTGCCTTTCTTCCCTAAAAGGCAGCATGGGGGAGGCCTGTGAAACTTGTTCACTAGAGGAGGGAGAAAAATCATTTTTGTGTTTGTGTTGAGGGGTAGGTGGGTGGGAGGATGTTATGCGAGGTGAAGTTTCTAAGAACACTAAGTTCAGGTCCACTGCTGCTTTAATATTTCTGCTCCAGTGTTTCCTAAAGAAATGCACAGTTAAGACTGAGAAACAATGACTTTGAAAAAGTACATCATTTCCTATACTTAAGTTTGTACCCATCCTCCTGAATTAGTAGTCAACGTAATGGCAGGAGAAGCTGCTGATCTACAAAGTGTTTTCCCAAAACTCAATTTCATTAACTAGACTCTACCAGCTTAGAACGTGGGGGCTTAGCCTATTTTTGTATTAGCTATGAAGAATTGCCAAGAAAATTAATATGGAAAACAAAGTTGCAAGGCAAATGCTTGACTAATTTAGTGAAAAAACTCTGGAAATCTGCCACCCAGAAGCATCTTTATTTCACGGTTTCACCTTGTATTTTAAGGCAATCATTATAAGCACAGAATTTATATGCCGATCAATCATTATTATTATTCAGTACATTTATTGATACTTAGTCATCAAAGCGCTGTTAGTTTAATTTAAGCAACAATAGACTTGAGAGTTATAAAATGAAATTTCAAATTTATTTTATGATTCAGAAGATTTTCCCAGCAAATTAGTGAGATTTCAGTCACTTTGGAGAGAATCTGAACACTGTCATCACCCTCCTTCCCCCATTCCCATGATGGAGCTCCATGCAGAGCAGCAGACGGGGAAATGAATACCTTTCGGTTTTGTTTCTAATTCATGTAAAAGATGGTTCAATAAATGACACTAGAAAACTATTTTTAATATAATGGAAGAATGATTCAAATTGTTAAATTTCAGGGAAAATGCTATTTTATTATAGGTCATTAAAAACCTTAATTTAAAAAATTAAAAAAAAAAGACACAAATCACCACCAGTCCTAAACAATTTTTCTCAAAATCAAGCAGGTACTACAATATAGATTTTATACAAAAATCTGGAATGATAACTTTTCAATGACTTTTAATATAATAAATATTTGTCAAACTTAAATAGATGTTAAAAACTGTAAATCTGTAATAAAAATTATTATGTGACTGGGAAAGAAATATTTTAGAAAATATTTTTGGTAAAAAAATAAAAGAAATAAGGAAAAAGGAAAAGAAAAAACTTGAACTCCATGCCAGGGCTCAGAATCTGGCAAGGCAAAAAAAAAAAAAAAAGGCTCCTCATTTATTGTACAAGATCTGTTTGAAAGAATAGAAAATGTGATCATCTGACTCCTAACTCCCCATCCCCCTGACCTGGGAGGTCCATCCAGCATCACTCAAAATCCCTAGCTTAGTCCTGCCAACCACCTTCCCTGACCTAGACTGTCTTAACCCCCACTTGCCTGCTAGAGATGGAGGCTAAGAGGACTCAGCGGCTTCTTGGTAAACAAAGCCTGTCCCCAGTCTCTGTTGTGACAATAACATAACAGAAGCTTCTAGAATGGCAGAGACTGCAGCTGCAGCAGAGGAAGGAGACCACCTGAGCCTCCAGGCTATCACAGCCCAGCGTGCAGTCCGTGGCTATCTTCCGGACCCTCCACGGCAGACGCTCAAGAGCCTTCTGTGAGAAACACAACCTGTGCACATGCTTTTTTCATGTCTACCAATACATTCATATCTTCCTTACCCTGTCTCTGCTAGAGTAAGAGGGGAACAAGTGTAGGGCAGTACGTTTTTCCCAGCAAAGAAAAGCTGTATTTGATCAAAAAGAAACTGGGACATCAGGCAGCGCTAGGCGTTGCTTGCTAAGGAGTGTGTGGGCCGTTGCACGTCTCCTTACCAAGTTTTCGTTGGTCAGGCGGGTGATCTCATGCTGCAGGCTGGCCTCGATGCGAGCCTCCGGGGGCAGCTGCAGGTTCTGGGCCAGCAGCTGCTGCTGCCGGTTGTTCTCCTCCTTCAGGCTCTGGATCTCCCCACGGAGGGCCTCGGCCTCGTTCTCGTGGCTCCTCTTCTGCGACTGCAGCTGGGATTCCAGGAGCCTGTGGAGAAGCCACACAAGTAGGAAGGGGAGATCACACTCCCAGACCCTGCCTAATAGGTACAAGGCTTTGTGCTTGCTTGTAAGAGTGAGAAAAGCAGGCACTCTTTAGAATCCGTGTGTCTTCTGACTGGATAGAAGTCAAGAAACTCAAACAAGGGCCAGAAATGGAAACGAATGCTGTCACATTTGTGTCTTTCTAAATTATATAAAGATCTCAGAGGCCCTAAGAAACAGGAGAGTTTTGGCTCTTTTGAAAAGTTCATAGTAAATGATGACTAAAATAAAAAAAAAAAATTAAAAGACACAGCCTTAATTTGACTTGCATTTACAAACTAGCATTTAACTTGGCAAAGACAGTTACACCTTTGCCACATAAAATGACTGCACTATAAAGGGCAAGATTACAAACTCTCAATCTAATTAAATGTGCCTGTAAGAATTACAGAGTTAGGGGGCTGGGTACGGTGGCTCACACCTGTTATCCTAGCTCTCTGGGAGGCCGAGGCAGGAGGATCACTCAAGGTCAGGAGTTCGAAACCAGTCTGAGCAAGAGTGAGACCCGTCTTTACTAAAAAGAGAAAGAAATTAATTGGCCAACTAAAAATATATAGAAAAAATTAGCCGGGTATGGTGGTGCGTGCCTCTAGTCCCAGCTACTCGGGAGACTGGGGCAGAAAGGTCGCTTGAGCCTAGGAGTTTTAGGTTGCTATGAGCTAGACTGATGCCACAGCACTCTAGCCTGGGCAACAAAGTGAGACTCTATCTCAAAAAAAAAATAATTACAGAGTTATTATTACTAATTCCAGGGAGAGGGTGGAACCAGAGACTCATTTTTATATTTCACTTGTATCTCTGAAGGACAGAGAGGTGAGGTCATGACTCTGAAATATACCCCAAATCTGAATTACCCAAATCTATACAGATAGTTATGAAATATCATACATATATTTTAAATTTGTCATCTCTCTCCATAAACTTACATATCAGTAACAAAATCCTAACAAGACATGGTTTTAGAACATAAACGTCAATAGGAGCAACAAAGTAGTTATTGCTTCTGCAAGCAAACGCACAGCAGCTGTACCCACAGAGCAGACCAGGGCGTTGGCAGTGAGCACACAGAGTCAGCAGCCTCCCTTTACCATGCGCCCCTGCTTCTACATTCACTCCTTTTCCAAACACAAAACAAAGTAATGGTTAAGAACTAACTAACATGAGGGAGAAAAGACATTCTTTTATTCTAATCCCATTGGTTGCCAACTGCTGGATGAAACTTTGCCATTGCAAGCAAACTGTTAACAGCAGACTAAAAACATTTTAGTGATTACAAAATTTCAAAAGGATTTGAACTGATAACACTCCAAAGTTAATGACAATGGTTTATGGTTAGAACAAAACAGGATAAGCAGAAGCCCCTTGAACAAACATATTAAGTATTTTTAAAATTTAATCATTAAAATGGAATTTTTATGAGATTTTTAAAAAACAAATATCGCTAGAGCAGATGAGTATCTATAAGCATGGTGTTGCTGTTTCAATTTTATTTTCTTTCCCCTAAACATATTTAAAGTGTTGAGTTTGGGTAATTATTCTGAGCTGTAGCAATGCAGGAAATCCTCCTGATTTTCTGTTTCACAAATTTGAATTTCACAATAACCACATAGAGTGCCAAATCATGCATTTAATATTGCTTTTAGACAGCATGATAATAATATAGTCAAATTGCCATATATATCATATGTTGATCTTTATTCCAAACAACAAGTTGCTAAGAAATACATTTAAATCTTTCCTCCAATAGTTTGTGCTCTAGTTAAATGATTTTGTTTTTCTTTCAACTCCTAGAGAGAGATATTCACAAATTTTAGTATCTGAAGGGAACTCTAGATAGCACCACTCGCTTATGGAAAGCAACTCTTATATTTACCATCGATCAATTTTAGCTGTAACAGTATCTCTTAGTGGAGAAAGTTTTTTAAGAAGGTGTTTGGCTGAATGTTCTAAGTTTTACTGAAACTAATTTACCCATGAAGACAATTAATGCACAAGAAATACAGGAATTAAAGTCAGGAGGCCACTGTTAGTAAGGAAAGCAACAAATTAACAACATTCCATTTTGAGGAGATAAATATAACCTGTTGGCTTGTTTTAACCCTTCATAAACCAGCCACAGCTCTCCATCCTCATTCAGCTCATGGCAATCCATGGCAGGTGATCTTCCATGCAAAGGAGTAACAATGTAAAACACAAAGGGACACAGGTGGCAATGAGGTGATGATGGTCAAGAGCAGCACAGAGTATTGCAATATTTTATAAGGAAGGACTTTTTATTGATTACAGGCGACTTTGCAACATTACCACAAATATATTTTTTGGTTAATTAAGAAAAAATGTGTAACATAACATCACATGTAAATGAGTGGAAATTAAAAGCAAAATAATCAAGGATCTAGAGCTACTTTTCCTACAAAATAAGAAATGACTGAAGGTGAGAAAGAGGTTCCATTTTAAACATTTTATTCACCTAGCAGAGTGCCCTATCACATATTGTATTAGAGGCTAACCATGACACACAGACAGAATGAAAACCTCAGCTACTGTCTTCGTGTGGCAATCTTTACAATCTCTTTTAAAATGAAGTTTTAAGTCTTCTGGGTAGAAATTTGTTTTAGCTTAATAAAATCTGATTTCCCAGCTAAAAATTTGTTTTAAAAATTCTTATAGGAATAGCATAAATAAGAACATGTTTAAAGTTCTCAGCTTTTATGACATAAATTTTAAAAGATGTTTTGTGTGCAAAATTAATTTTAAGACTTATTAAAACTGCTTTTAGAGATCCATATTTTATTAAAATATGCATAATTAATAATTATAATAAAGTTCATAATAGTTTTTTCTACTTATGGTATAAAAATAATATTTTTTGAGTGTTTGCTAAGTGTCACATGCTGTTCTACATCCCTTCACATGTACTACCGTGTTTCCCCAAAAATAAGACCTATCCATAAAATAAGCCCTAGCAGGATTTCTAAGCATTTGTGCAATATAAGCCCTACCCCGAAAATACGACCTAGTGATGGGCGTGGCTACGCAGTGTATCTGCACAGCCCATGCATTTCATTGAGGAGCAGTAAAGAGACGAGCAGCCCTTCTCATCTGTCCCATCATGACAGCTACTATCCCAGAGGTGACCGGAAAGGTGCGGGCAGCCCCATCAACAAGGTTGGCTCCCCCTGTCAGGTCCCGACCATCCTGTGCATGTTGCAAGCTGAGGCTTTGAGGGAAAAATAACACATCCCCTAAAAATAAGCCCTAGAGTGTCTTCTTGAGGAAAAATAAATATAAGACCCTGTCTTATTTGGGGGGAAACATGGTATTTCATTTAGTTCTTCCAGTACCCTAAGGTGAATCAATTGCCATATTGCAGAGGAAGACACAGAGGTTTAGAAGATACTTATAGAGGTTACACAGCTGAGAAGTAGTGGAGCCCAGGGTGATGTGACTCCAGAGTCCAGGTTCTTACTCCTGCTATATTGTTGTTGTTATTTACGCAATACAAATTCGAGAGAATTCTCTTCTGTTTTCCATCTAGGGAGTTTATCTCTCCCTAGAGTGTTCATCTATTTGCACGGTTTCAATTGTATTATTATTCTCTAATGACTTCAAAATTTACATCTCAGCCTACATATCTCTCCTGGCTACAGATCTATATATTCAACTGACTAATGGACTTCTTTCCTTGGTTTTCTCCTTGGCTCCTTAAAGTTGACATGGGTAACTCTACTGATCATCTTCCCCACACCCTAGTCAAGTGTCCCTAGTAGACACCTCAGAGTCACCCTTTAGGATTTCCTACCCCTCACCCCCACATCCAATAAACCACAAGGCTTGCTGACCTCTAATGTATATTTCAAAGTGTCCTATTTCTCTCAATCCTAACCACCACCAACCAAGCCCAAGTCACCATAATCAGTCGCTGGATTATGGTAATAGCCTCTCATTTGGTCTTTATACTTTCAATCTTGGTCCACTGCAATCTATTCTCTAACGTAACAGCCAGAGCTAGGTTTCTAAAATTCAAATTTCATCACATCATTCTCCTACCTAAAACCTTTCAACGGATTCCATTATCTTTGGAATAAAGCCCAAACCCTCTTAGCTGGCTCCCTAGCAGCCGATTAGGGTCTGCATTTATCTTGCTTACTGCTGTATTCCCAGTGTGTGGCACAGGGCCTGGCATCAAGTAGGCATGTGACACATATCTGGTGATTGAACAGCTGAGTGGATGAATGAACACTACAATATAGTTCTTTCTATACTAGCACATTCTTAGACATAACATGTGTTTATGATTCACATTCATTAATTAAAATTTAAGTTTAAGCAGATATAAGCATTCTCCAATCTTGTCTACAAAGAAGATAAGAAGTACAGCTATCCCTCAGTATCTACTGGGGGGTTTGGTTCCAGGACCTCCCTCAGATACCAAAATCCAAGGATTCTCAAGTGCCTGATATAAATAGTAGTAGTATTTGCATATAACCTACATACATCCTCTTGTACCCTTCAAATCATCTCTAGATTACTCACAATACCTAATACAATGTAAATGCTATGTAAATATTTGTTATACTGTTTTATTTAAGGAATAATGATAAGAAAAAAGTCTGTACATGTTCAATACAGACACAATTTTAAAAAAATATTTTCAATTCTCAGTTGGTTGAATCCACAAATGGGGACCATAAGGATATGGAGGGCCAATTGTACCTTACTTTTTGCATAGCAATATTCTTTAGTTTGTATTTATGTATACCAACCCTGATACTAGATATCAAGAAACTAGACAGAACACTGATAATACATATCTTCTGAATTATCTTTCTCTGTGATCATCACTGCCTATGTTCTTTCAAAATGGTCTAGCATATAGTCTTTTAAGTTCAGAGTTCAACAACACTAAGCCTCTGTTGGTGGGGAGAGTGGCAGTAGGCTGAGGGGGATTCCAGGTATGAGCCTTCATTCTCCCATCCTGGAAGTCATGGTACACTTTTAGAGTTACATGGCCAACGCTGATGTGATTCCAGATAACTCATCACTTCTCTTCACATTAAGTTTCAATTCTTGAAAGCTACAGTTGCCCCTACAAACCTTCACAAATAATTACCCTGAATAACACATGAGCGTGACTACCCAAATTAGTCCAAACTGTGTAACAGGTTTTCTCCTTAAGGCAGCCCCTCAAGGCTAAGACCATAAACATAGAAAAATATCTTCCTTCGATGTAAGAACATTTTCCATGACACCTTTCATCAATAATAATACCTTATATTAAAGTGATATTTTAGCTGGGAATACATTGGAAACCTTGGATTGCCCTGAAGGACAGCTGATGTCTAATAAAGCAATGCATAAACACTGTGACTGTACAAGAGGCTGGCCTGAAGGCTAAAGATCAATATAATTAAAACAAAATAAATAAAAGAATGATCAACTTACCTATTTGTTTCCTTCAAACCAATGTATGCTTGTGCTATTTCACCTTTATCTTTCATTTTTTGTACATCTTCCAAAAGTATTGTGGAATCTGTCATTGTATTCTGAAGGGGGAAATGATACATTTCCACATTACGATTCAACTCAAAAGCTTTGGACCACATATAATATATTTCTTTCCTACAATTAGAGGGGAGTTATGTGCTTCATTACATCTGTGCCCCACCAGAGCATCAGTCCCTGGCTCTTGTAACTACAGAGGAGAGTTTGGCCCAGGCAGTTCAGAGAGAAAGATAGCTTGAGTTTCTCTTCTGAGAATCCCTAACATTCTACTACAAAGGTGTTGACATTCTAGAGTACCACTGCCCTGTAAACAAAATCACTGATGGGCAACGTACGTTTTATATTATGTGAAAAAAATATATATGTACTTATATTAAGTATATAATATATAATATAGTATACATAGCACTAGAAAAGTAACCAGGCAACTATTTAATGGAACATATAAGGCTATTTTTCTACCACTTCTAGACCAGTTAGAATGAAATAAAAGCCCCTATAAAGCACTGAAAGTTTGACATAAAGCTTATTTTCCATTAAAAACTCAGTACAAACAAGGTGGTGTTCAGATGATAAATACTTCAGCAAAATTAAAAATTTTCTTCTAACATCTTTAGATATATGTAAATAGGAAAGATTTAGTTCCTTTTTAAATATCTACCATCTGCTGTTATTCAAATCTCTTTTTCCTCTGGTATAATATAGAATGGCACATAAGCTTTTGAAATAAACATCTGGCAGGTCAGAATTACTAATGATTTTACATAAAAATAAATTTTTTTGCCAACATTTTTATTTTTTTAAAAATTTTGTCTTTTTGGTATAATCTTCCTGGTAACCAATGTAATTTCAAAATCTACTCAGCTATTATCTATCTCTCTAGAACAGGGTAAGAGATAAGAATCACTGCTCTATAGCTCCTGAAGAATAATGTACTTTAAAACCCAATAGCCTATTCTATTTGTCTAAATAGTATAAGTCTGATCCTTCAGTCAACATTTACTCTTAAGTCAGGTCTCACAATGAAGTGGATGTAATTGAATACACTTCAAATATTATGATCTTAGAGACCAGTTCCAAAGTAGCTTTAATGCCAACATTAAAGTTCTAAAAGAGTTATACCATGTAGGAAGATCCCAGTAAGATCTGTCACTCAATAGCTGAAACAAGATGTGGTAGAGAAATGTGACTTTGCAACCTCATTAGGAGCCACTTTTCATCCTAGCTATATGGACTCTACATTCAGAGATTAAAGTGGAAACAAAGAATGGTGTGCTCAGCTCCTCAGGCTCCCCCTCCCCCTTAGCCAACAAATCCACAGCTGGCTAGAAATGAGAGTTCAGGAGAGCCTGTACTTCTGAGTGTTCTCCAAGTAAAGGGCTTCCCTCTCCAGCTTGTGGATAGCCTCCCATGACCACTGCAGTGAGTCACAGAGCTGACTATGAATTAGAAGTCATGGAGTGCCCTTTATAATCTAAACATGAACCTGCTACAACCATTGTTACACTACTGACTTCCCAAATAGGAAGGAATCAAATAGGAAATTAATTTGTAAATATAAAAACAGATGTGGTGGTCGGAAAGCATCAATTGCAAATATGGCAAGATACTTGTAAACTAAAATTAGGATTAAATGTAAGTATTTACTAAAAATTGAAAAAAACCTTGTAATTACCTTGTCATCCTGAAAATCACAAGTCAGCAAGCACAAAAAATAGAGAAAACAATAAACCCTTAGTTCCATAAATAAATTCCATCAATGAGTCCCCATGATAACAGATAAAAGCTAACTTTAAAATAGCCATGAGTTGCTTCTCCTAAACCTAACTCTAAATAAATTAACATACCTGGAACTGGCATAAAGTGGCTGCTAACATACATTTATGGGATGGCAACTCTTATTTCCAGGCAAGTGCTTGAAATTCTTTTTGAGTTGTTTTGTTTTTTTTTTTTTTGGTTGTAAAATATTTTTGAGCATGTGAGAGAATGACCCTCCTGTTAGTATATGTGGAAAAAAGTCCTAGGTTTGTGAGACTTAAAATACCGTCCCACTACAAGCTCATTTGTCCAAGGGAAATCTCCCAGGATACTCTGGAGGTGGAGCCAATAAATTAGACCTGGCTGGGCTGGATCATCCCCTAGCTCAAAGAGTGTTGCTCACCACTGCCCAGCAAAGGAGCTGTGAAATGATATGTCTCTGACTTGAAACTGAGCAGAAAAACAGCCCAGGGGTGTCTGGAAGATCTTAATTAGTGTCATGGGCATTTTTCCAAGGAGAGAACATGACTGCTGCCTCAGATTAGGCTGGAATCTGAGCAAGCATGGATCTCAATTGGACAGGGCCAGCCCATTAGGGGCAGGAAAGCAGTTGTCACATGGGGTATGTGAGCTGGGTGAGAGTATATGATACCACGACTATGTGCTGTATTAGCTAGATTGTTTCTATGTCCCTTGACTCATTTTTCTTTTCTTTTCTCTTAATTTTCACTTAAGTTTTTTGTGGGAATACTACATTGTACCCCATAAACATATACCATTATTATTTGTCAATTAAAACTAAAAAAAAAGAGTACCAGTTTATCACCAGGTAACCAGAGAAAGGAATCTTGATTTTGGACTGCTCAAGCTAGCATGCAGAGCCTTGTTGCCAGAGGCCCAGCCATAGTGGTACCCATGGGGACCAACTGAGACAGCCCCAGGGGAAGGTGAGACCTACACAGCCAAGCCAAAGCGGAGAGTCCTCTTCTCATTTCAGACTTCAGGGGTTTGCGATTTGCTTCAAAATAAGGAAGCCCATTTCTTTACATTACTGCACTTGTTACTGATATTTTTTTCCTCCAAAAATTATTTAGTCAGTATCTTGTTTTTAGAATTTGATATTTTTTGAATTGGTATTGATCTCTGGTGTGAGTTGCCTTTATCAAATCCAAATGTATGTGCCAGGCACAGCATCTAAACCACATACAGAGAATTTTCTAAGAGAAGTGCTCTCAGATTTTTCAGGCATCCAGCTCATTATATATCATAGATATTTTTTATATGACATGTCACTTGATTGCCTCACTTCTTGGTGACAGTCTGTTGTATACACATGGGCAGAGGCACAAGGCATATTTTCATTATGATCACTCAGAATCTCTGATGGCAAATGACAAAAAGGCCCATTTTTCATCAACATATGCCAGCATTAGGTCTCAAATTACCTCAAAGCAGGAAGGACTTCAAAGGGCCATCAATATCCTCAGTGTGGGGGTTCTTTCTGTTGAATTCCTGAACACAGCCCCTCCTATTAAACACAACTGCTTGAAGCCAGCAGAAAGTATCTCTATGTAACTGTCACTCACTGATCTCATGTCTAACCTCTGCAATATGTTACCTTTCCAATTAAACGAGCTATTTTCAACAAATAATTTTAAGGTTGTATTTAATGTCTCCCCACAACGAGACAATTTATAGATTTCTGTATTTAACAGAACTGTATTTCAGATCAAAATTTCTTGTGGCCAGATCACTACAAAAAGATTAACTGTAAAACTCATAAGTAAGACAGGAAACGTTGATGATCTTTTGGATTTCACTCACTTTTTGCTCACTCCAATTGGCATTTGCAACAGTTTTAAAACAACACTGGGATTTTTTTTTTAAATGATGAATCTTCAATTAGACTAAAAATTCACGTCAGTGTTTTGCTTCATTATTAATGAAAGAGAAGGAAAGGATAAGAAGAAATGGAGGTCAGTCTCCAAACACCTACTTTAGCCATGAGCTCATGCTTACCTTGGGTTGGATGGCCTCTTTCTGGCTCACCAGCTGAGACCTCAAGATGAGGACTTCCTCTTTGCGGACATCGAGTTCCTCACTCACGGAAGTCAGCTGCTCCATGAGGACACGGTAGGCCGGGGCACCTGGAGCAGTCACCTCTGGGGCACTTTTCTCACTAAGGGACTTGCGTAACTCATTTAGTTCATTTTTCAGTTTTTTGTTTTCTGATTCTAGTTCTTGACGCTGTATGAAGAGACACAGAAAAGAACATTGCTGTCATCCCCAACTTTGCAATGACATGCTCAACTTCCCTCAAGCTGGTAGAAGAATTCTGCTGGAAAAGTTTGTCAGAGCTACTCTAGTGAATGTCTTCCTAGTTCTATTGGAAGCTCTGCTCTGCTAATTAAGGAAGTCTTACATCAAGTGGAATTGGGCAAGGTCAATGGTAGTTTGCATCATCAACACAAATTCCAGACTTGAATTTATTCTGGCCTGCCCAGGGTGTGTTCACAGGACTGGAGAGATTGCTGAGTCCCAAGGGGTGAGTTTAGCCAGTCCTAAGGAACCCAGGTTTGTTTGCAGGAAAATATAAGATCAAATTTGAGGATCCAGCTGGTCAGGGTATTTCCAATGAATGATTCAGATGAGTGGATCCCTGAAATCTTTAGTAGTGTCCTCTTATTTCCTTTGTAAAGCAGAATGCAAAGACCACTGGAATTTTAGGCCTTTAACTGCTAATTTTGAAAAAATTTATCACATCATTTAAACTGATAAAATTCCTTTTGTGTTTCAATGACAACAAATAATGTATTTTTCAAACTTCTTTCCTGTGTGACATGCTTGTGAAGTTGCAAGCAGAGCCTTGGGAGATGGGAAAGGATGAAGGCCTTTTCTTTCATCCATCCATACAAACACATCCTTTACCATCTGCATACTTTCACATACTACTAGCTACCCTGTGCCACCAGTTAGCACCACCCTCTCCACAAACAATGGCAATAGGAACCCAGAATAGAGAGGCACTGACACTGAAACACAGTGTCACCAGATACTGGTTGGGAAACACTGAAGTGGACAGGCATTTAACAACGCCACAGTGCGTTATTTTGCACAGGACACAAGGGCTGATAATAGTAGAAGTGAGACATTTGTCTATAAAGGCTGAATATTTTATGGTTTATTCCCAGAAAAGAAATCTTAGTTTGTAGCATCATATCAGTCCTTTCAATGTATTATATTAAAACTATTTAAAGTCCGTATTTTTTCTAGTTTAATATGTAACCTTTCTTTCATGAATTAACCTATTCTTCTCTGAAAATGAATGTTCTTTGCCTTTCTCAGTCTCCCACCATTTCCATAACAGAAAACACGTCTTTACCTTGATGTGTAAGTTTCCTGAACTTGCATGTGCATCACAATCACCTGGCGGTCTTGAAAAACACAGATTATTGGGCCCCACCCTCAGAGATTTTGATTCAATTGGTCTAGTGGTGTAGAGCCCATAAATCTGGATTTTGAACAAGTTACTGGGTGATATTAATCCTGCTGGTTCAGGGACCATATTTTGAGAACCACTCATCTAATACTTTGTGACTCTGGGCTTCATTCACACTAAAGAAAATGTTTTTATTTGTCCATTTTTGTGTGAGGCGGAACATGTGGAGAGCAGATTCCTGTCCCCATCTTTGGTGTGCCCCATCACACCCAATCGGATAGCGGCAGATGCAGCATTTGGATGCAGGCAGCCCAACGCTAGAGTCCATGTCCTTAACTACCAGAATCTCCAATGGCAGCTTCTCCTATTCCTGTTTAAACTGAAGTCTAGCACACATGAAAAAGAATTTACAAAAGGAAACAACACAAAGCTAGAAGTAATGCCTGAAAACGGCTTAAGCTAGGACCTCTGGTGCAACCTCCAACCCTTAAGGATGTTCTCTGAGAGAAAGAGGCTCTGAGAGGGCCTCTTGCCAAAATAAAATATTCAGAGTCTTGGCCAGAAACTTCCCATTACCTTAAGTGACTCATATTCCAGTTCTGCACCTCTAATTTGTGGTCTTTCTTCTTCCTAGGGAAAATATAAAGTAAAACCTTTATTTTTTAAATGTCACATTTTTGCTTGTTCTATAGAAAACAGTGAAGAGTTTAGCCCTAAGTGCTTTAACCAAACGCTGCTTGGTTAGGTTGGGCTGAGTTCCCATTAAAGAAGAGACTGCAGAAATGATATAAAGTCCTTTCTCGGCTGGGCCAGCACTGCGCACCTTTGCCTTGCTGCGGAGCACCTGCTCTTCCTTGCGGTCCAGCTCATCCTGCATCACCTGCTTCTCCTGCTCCAGCTCTGTGACCCGCTTCTGGAGCTTGAGGAACAATGACATGTCCAGGGGCACCTTCCGCTCACTTGGCTCCTAAATTCCAAAAAATCCCAAGGTAGTCAGGACAAACCAGAAGACATACAGGCCAATGAGAAAATTAATTGCTCAATAGAAAAACAGGCAAACTTACAGAAGAAGAAATATAAACATCCAAAGAATATACAAAAAAAATGCTCAAACTAGCTAACAGAGAAATGCAAATTAAACAGTGAGGTACTACTTCTCCCCTATCAGATTGGCAAAGACTGAAAAGATTAATAATGCCCTGGGTGTCTCATATGAAATTGATGGAAGTATAAGTAAGCCTGTTAAAAGGGTAATTGAGCTGTATTTATTAAAATTTAAATGTGTATATCCCTTAACCTATCAAATCTATGTTTCAAATTAGTCCTACAGAAATAATTTCACGAGTATACAAAAATCAATGAAAAAGATGTTCAATGCAAGAGTTTTTTGTAAAAACTGGCAAGAACTTGAATGTCAGTCAATAGGCCAGTTGCTTAAATAAATTATGGCATAGCCAAACTATGAAATATTTTTTAGCTATTAAAAAGAACAAAGTAGAGCTATGTGAGAAGATAAATATGCCCTAGGTAAAGTATTAAGTGAACACACAAACTATAGGACAAAATATATATTATGACCTCATTTTTGTTAATAAAACACAAATATGTGTGACTTTTAAAGGTACACCTAGCATGTGCATACAAAAACCTAGAAGGCCACAGTGGTTAGGAGGATAGGAAGTACTGTGGAAAAGTTTCATTTTCAACTTTGCACATTTGTATATTAGAATAGTTTACAATAAGCATGCACATTTGCAGTCAGGAAAAAATGATTTTTGAAAAGGTGAAGTGCCAGCATAAATATATTGAGAACAGATAGAGAAAACTAAAACTGAAAACCAAAACATATACAATCAGCCCTCTGTATCTGTGGGTTCTGTATCTGCAGGTTCCACATCCTTGTTTTCAACCAACCGGATGAAAATATTTTGGGGAAAAAGCCCCAAACAATAAAAAATAATAGTATGACAATAAAAAATAATAGAAATAAAAACAATATAGTATAACAACTATTCACACAGCATTTACATTGTATTAGGTATTATTTAAGTTATCTAGAGATGATTTAAAGTGCATGGGAGGATGCACATAGGCTATATGCAAATACTAGGCCATTTTATATAAGGAATTTGATAGGCATTCAAATATTTAAAGGAAAAAAAAAATAAAGGGACTTGAGTATCCTGGGGTTTTGGTATCCCCTACAAATACTGAGGTACGACTGTATATCCCTTAACAAAATGAACCTAGTGTCATTTTAAAAGTGTGTCAATTGGTTCCAAAACAGAATCACAGTGAGAACTTCTAAGGTAAATAAAGATATACTAATTAAAGCTTAAAAAATGGAAAGAACTAGCCATCATTATGGAAGTTCTGAGAGTGTTTTATCTTGTTTACTTTGGGTTTTAACTTTTAATAAGATAAGACAAATAATCAGATCATTAGATTTTAATGTAGAGAATAAAGAGTCTCTTTTGGTTGGGGGCAGGTAGTGAGGAGATAGAGAACAGTAATAATAACTTACTTATTTAACAAAATGGTCAGAAAGTATAATTCTTAAAGATTAGCAAATCTTTTATCTTTTCAATTGTCTATTTTGTGAAAAGAATGTTTATTTTTGCTTTTCTGATATGAAAGCAAAACAAGATTTTGTAGAAAATGTAGGAAATAAGAAAAGTATAAAGAAACAAAACAGGGCCATATCCAGAGAAAAACCACTATTTTTGCCTAGTCTTTTAGTTGTACATCTATAGATTTAAAGAATTAGAATAATATTTTTATTATAATTTTGTATTGTCTTTTAAAGGTAGCACTGTATTACAATTATTTTCCAAATTTACAGTATGATAGGTTGTATCATTATTTGCTTAGCTTATTACCTTTTGAGTGGCCACTGAGGTTGTTTCCAATTTTTTGCTATTGGAACATTAATGTTTTTAATGTGTTAAATTGGGCCAATTTGTACTTCTATCAGCAACTACCATCTGGCCTAGAAGAGCAGTAACTGTTATAATATTTTTAAAAAATTAGCTCAGTTAATAGACCCAAAATGGCATTTCACTGTATTTTAATTTGCATTTCTTTGACTTCTGATGAAATTAAATAGGTTTTTTTTGAGACAGGGTCTCCCTGTGTTGCTTGGGCTAGAGTGCAGTGGCATCATGATAGCTCACTGCAACCTCAAACTCCTGGGCTCAAGCCCTCCTCCTGCCTTAGCTGCCTGAGTAGCTGGGACTACAGGCGTGCGCCACCACACCTGGTTAATTTTTCTATTTTTTGTAGAGATGAGGTTTCACTCTTGCTCAGGCTGGTATCAAACTCCTGGCCTCAAGTGATCCCCTCGCCCTGACCTCCCAAAGTGCTAGGATTACAGGCATGAGCCACTGTGAGCTAGGCTGATGCCACAGCACTCTAGCCAGGGCAACAGAGTGAGACTTTGTCTCAAAAAAAAAAAAAAAATTAGTTGATTGCTAGATAAGAGCAAAAAATTCTATGAATAAGAATATTAAAATAGAGGATGGAAGAACACAAAAGATAAATCTGACAAATGCAAAGTAACTTGAGGCATAAAGATTTGTAATTATTTAAGAGTGCTCTGGATGGTACCCATTCCTATCCCTAATGACCCATCTAATTAAAGAGATGCCATTTGTCCTTGCCATACCAAGTGAGCAAGAAGGAAGACTGGGCCATCTGGCTCAGAAAAGTTTCTGGGTTTTGTTTTGCTTTCCTTTCTTAGTAAAGACTTTGTCACCTGGGGCTTTTTTAAGAGAGTGGAACTTTGAAACTGACCTAAAAAATAACACCAATCTGTTGTCTGAAAAAAAAAAATCAAGAAGATAACAGAATTTATTCACAAAATTACCACTACAGGTGTGGCAGTCATTCTGGAGTTATTCCTAACAACAGATGAGAAAGTTATGGTGACCTTTCCCTTGGGTTTGGCAGGTATGAGGATGCTTGAGAGCAGAAGCAGAACTGGGATAATCAGTCCATGGCTACCAGAAGAAGTGCACCACCAAGGAGGGAGGAGCAATGGCTCCAGAACAATGTAAACCAGCCCATGAAGATTTTGGAAGTGTGGGAGGGCTGCAAAACAAGTGGAGCTGGCAGGCAAATTCTCCAGAGAGCAACAGCAATAACCATCATGACTCATGAACAAATCATCACAGGTTTTAATTCCTTTGTTGCATAAAATTTGCTGTTATTAGATGATGAGATTGGAATTCTGTTCCCCAAAGCCTGACAGACACCACCCTATTTTAATTAAAAAACAAAACAAAACAAAACAAACTTAAACAAGAGTGGGCCTATTATTTTCCTGGCACCAGATTCTAAAAGAGTTACTTTGTACATATAAGAGATGAAAGTTTTCCTTATGTCTTTAACCCTTTGCACTCGGATGTCGAGTGTGGATAATGTTGAGTGGATAATGAGAAAAAAGCAAGCGAGTACAAAGGGTTAAGGAGGCTATTTGTAAACCTGGCCATTACAGAGGTAGCTTCAGAAAGAAATCCAAACCTGGAAGTCATAATTAGAAGTAGAAATTAGTAGAAATTAAGTAATTAGAAGTAGAAATTCATAGCCAGTCACAGTCTTCGGCTGATATCTCTCTCCTACCCAACCTCCCTTCTGATAATAAATCTTTTTCTATTACCAGTTATATAGATTTCCACCTCTACCTTTCTGATCCTGGCCATGTACAGTCAGAATTGCAGGGTGATCACTAAAAGCCTATTCATTAAAGCAAAAACATTTATTTATTAACTATTTATTATGTACCAGAAACTGTTCAAGTGTTTTACGTGAATGAACTCATTTAATACTCAAAACATTGCTGAAAGGTAAGACAGCAGTAACATCCCGACTTCACGAATGAGGAAACAGAGGCAAAGAGAGAATGAGGCTAAGGTTATGGATTCAGTCTCAAGGAGAAGAGTTACTGCAGTCTGTCCCATTGTAAAAATAGCCCTCCTAACCAAAGCCAGTCACATTTCAGATGCATGCCCTTACTCACAAGGGGCTGTTCTCAAGCATGACTTGCTCAGTGAAATGCCCTCCCCTTTACTGAGAAAAGACTTCTGGTGTGTGACCTACTGCTAGTGGTTCAGTACACATGAAGGACAGTAAACAATACTCCAAAATCTTTCTGTGATTTGTAGAGCACAATTCATACTTCATTGTTCAGAAGAAGTGAAAATTGTACTAAATCCCACACTAGACTCTCTCTCTCTCTTTTTTTTTTTTTGAGACAGAGTCTCGCTTTGTTGCCCAGGCTAGAATGAGTGCTGTGGCATCAGCCTAGCTCACAGCAACCTCAAACTCCTGGGCTCAAGCAATCCTCCTGCCTCAGCCTCCCAAGTAGCTGGGACTACAGGCATGCGCTAATTTTTTATATATATATTAGTTGGCCAATTACTTTCTTTCTATTTACAGTAGAGACAGGATCTCGCTCTTGCTCAGGCTGGTTTCGAACTCCTGACCTGAGCAATCCGCCCGCCTCAGCCTCCCAGAGAGCTAGGATTACAGGCGTGACCCACTGCGCCTAGCCTAGACTCTCTCTTAATGTGAAAAAATTTCAGCAGAAAACAGGTGAGAATTAGAAACAAAAAGTTTACCTGCCCAGATCTGTAAGAATCTGGAGAAAACTTTAAAACAGTAGAGTGAAAAGAGTAGAGATCCTGACAAGCACCATTACTTGTAAAAATTAGGTAAAGTATCATAAATAAGAGTTTTTGAGTTTAAAATGTGATGTCTTCAAACAAAACTATCAACATAAGCCCTCCTTGCCCTGAATTTAATACAGAATAATTTCCAGCAAAAACACCCTTTTTGTCATGGTTTCCCTCTCTCATAGAGCAGGAGCTGCTCAAGTGATACTACAATGAAGTGGACAGTTTGTAAAAGTACTTCCCTCAGACTACCAGGAATGAGTACTCCCACTGCAGTCAACAGGATGCAATCCTAAAACCTTCATATCCATTAAAGCTTCAGAAGTCCTAATTTTGAAATCTTCATAAGCCTAACTCTGTGGTATTTTCCAAAGGCAGCCACCAATAATTCCCCTCAATACACGTGTCTTTCCTCCCATCAAGAGATGGAGTCTATTTCCCTCTCCTTGAATCTGGGCTGGCCTTGATCATACTGTGGCAGAATTGAAACTGGGCCAGCTTCGAGCCTAGCTTTAAGAGGCCTGGCATTTTTCACTCTAGTACCCCTGGAACCCACCCACCTGCTGCTGAAGAGAGAGGCTCCACGGAGAGGCCCAAGGAAGAGAGCCAAGCAATCTGGCTGAATACAGCTGCACGAGGAACTCTGACCACTACCATGTGGGGCAGAAGAACCACCCGGTCAAACTCCACAGAATTATGAGTAATAATAAATTTCTGCTGTTTAAAACCACTAAAACTTGGGATGGTTTATTGTATAACAATAGATAATTGGAAAAACCTCTATCCTGCTACATACTGGCCATACCATCGTATCCATGGGCCTCAGCCTAATATTAGCTATAGATAGAAAAGGGATTGGAAAACTGCAGTGTTGAATTCCTGAATGGAAGTCAGTAGAACATGGTCGCTAAGAACATGAACTCCAAAGAGACAAGCCTCGGTTAGAATACTGGCTCTGACATAAGCTGTGAATTTCAACAAATACTTATTAGCCTTCTTGTATATATAATTCCAACTAGATGATAGTCCAACTATGTAACATTTTTCTTCAAAATTAACAGAATGAGATGGCAGAAACTCTTCATTCTTAAGTAGAACTAAGATAAGAAAGGAAAGAATCATATAATTTTTCTCAGCTATTCTGCCAGAAGCAGTCTATTTCTGACTTGGCCATTTTCAAAGAATATGATATAAAAATAGAACAGTTGGGCCTGAATTACCCATTATGGAAACTATATCATATTCAAAAAGAAGATCTGAGAATTGGTTGAGAATAATCTAACTCAAAGTCACTGTACTTTTGGAGTTATAGTAATACATCATTTTGATGTCATAACACAAAACATTAAAGCAGATTTCTGAACTATTTTCCATGCCTTTTTGTGGAAGAAAATTACATTGGTAAAAATTAGCATCAAACAGAGGCAGGAGTTTTGCTAAAGTCTTGTGCAATGGCATTTATAATATTTAAGGACAAAGGGTTTATTTTTTAAACAATTTACCTCGGTCTGAAATAAATTTCTGATAGGCTGTACTTTCTGTATATAGAATATGTTAAGGTGGCAAAGAGGGAATTAGAAAAGAAAAATCTCACCATCAAAGATAAAAATTAAAATTAAAATGTGTATTGACAAAAATATATGTAATAAGTATGTACATACACAGCACTTATGTGCACATAAATATGTATGTATCCACAAGTTGCTTATGAAGAATAAACGATTGACACAAATGCTATGTTTATGGGCAAGTGGAGTCTGCTTTGCAGTGGGAATGCTCTCTGCTAACAACAGCACAATCACATCCTACTTTTAGTGATAGATGTCTAAAATGTACCTCGGTCCTAAACGGAATGTCTTCTGTTTCTGCAATTTCAGAGCTGAAGGTATATTCAGACTCATTGCTGCTGTGGGTGGAGTCAGTTCTCTTGTGTCCAGGCTTAGGCACATTCTGCAAGGCAAATAACCCAGGTATAATTAACACAACATAATCAAACTAGACATAGTTAAGACAGCATCTGCTTTGACTTGGTTCTAATCCCCACTCACTGACTTCTTGTACTGATGCCCAAATGATGTGTTCCATGTTGTTTGACCAAATCATTACAAAAGGGTCACCTCCTCAAAAAGAAAGGGTACACCAGCACGGCATGACAAAAATAGTTGCAAAACCAAATACCCAAATGAAAATCACCTAATATTGGCAGAGTCCCCTTTAGGTGTTTGGAGTTTTGAGTGGTCAGTCACACTGGGTAAAGCATAGGTTTGATGTCTCAGCATCCATCCAAGCACTGACTTTAGTGTTGCAATCAAAACTTACCAAAAAGTTCACAAAATATATTTAATAACATGCATAATCATTTTACTACATGATAATTGGGCATAAATGGTAAAAAAAAAAAAAAAAGGTGGAGTGGGTTCACAGAGGTAGCTATAATTTCTGTCACTTTTACGCATGAAGTTAAACTGCTAGAGTAAGCAGTACAGGGGAGGTAAGAAAGCTGATCTAAGAATCTTCTGAAGATCCCTGGGTTATTAATTCAGGCAATCCAGGTGGCACTTTTTTTTAAGTAGAGATGAGGTCTTGCTATGTTGCCCAGTCTGGACTCCCAGCAATTCTCACAACTTAGCCTTCCTAGTAGCTGTGACCGCAGGTTTGCGCCACTATGTCTGGCTGATGACACTTTAATGACATGTGATACCTATGAAATTAGTGTTCAGAAAGCTTATGGGGAATAGAAAAGTTAAGCAATTACAACCCTTTTCCCTCTGTAGGAGAAGATATTAGAAAGTCACTTGAAGGAAGAAGGAACAGAAAGGTTGGGTTTGCAACCTTCACTATTAGGATGCGCCCAGCAGGTGAGGTGGGAAGTTTCAGTGGCCTGAATCTCCCAGGGTTACAAATCCTGAGAGCTTTAGAAAGGCCTCTGAGAGCTTTCTGAACTGTCCAATTTTCTTTACACCTTCTACCAGCTGCAGGAAAAGAGCTGGAAGCCACAAAGGGCTTCTTTGTCTCTTTCTTTCCAACATCCAGGCTTATAAAAAGCAGACTCACCCAGGGGCAGTTAAAAGTCTCCCATACCAGGTCAACCTGTACTCTAATGTGAAGGAAGACCCAAGAACACCAGAACTTCTGGAACTAACTATCCAGAAGCACATTAAAGGGGAGAATCACCATACATGAAGTCAAAGGCACTCAGATCTACTGTTTATATACACAGGCACTCTTAAAATTCCCAGGCCAAGCCCACAGTTGTATGGGATGGCATTTATTTAATAAAGTGGTTATGTCATTAACCACAGATATGTCCAGATAAACACCAGGATGAAGATTTTTAATAAGCATGTTAAAAATGAGAGAGATCTCTATTTTCCCACATATATATCTATCTTTAAACAACGAACACTTTAAGGTATTAATAAAAGCCATGCTGCTATTTGCTATTTAATGTAACTTTTAGATGCAGGGTAATGGTTAAGTGCTCTGGGTCTGAAACAAGAGAGAACTAGGTAGGAATCCCAGCTCTGCCACTTACTTGCAACCTCACGCAACTTCTCCAGGCCTCAGTTTCATTATTGGGAAAGGACAATCATTTCTGTCTCATAGAGTTTATGTGAGGATTAGATAACAGTGTGCAGTGAAGCCTTCAGCCTAGCATATAACAAGCATTTGATTAATGTTAACTGTTGCCGCTATGACTCTTAGGGCCCTGTAGTAAATCAACAACCTCCTCATTGGTGATCTTTCAGTTCTCCAAGTTTGTAGGATTCTGTTTCCCTGTTCATATGTTATTCAATTCCAAGAACATACCTGAACATACCTGAACATACCTGACTCGACCATTATGTTCTCCTTTGAGATTTGCATCTCACTCCTCTCCTGCTCCTTATCTGTCATTTTCCCTATAATTTCTTTCCCAGAACCTGTTTATTATCTTTGTCAAGACTAATGACCCCATTGTTGACATGCTGGATTCCCTCCTAACTCTGGAATTAATTTATCTTTAAACAATTAGTTTATCTTTAAACACTTCACAAGCCTGGATTCCCTTGCCTCATTATCTTTTCATTGTCGACTTGAAAATCCTTAGCCTTGAATCAGTGTTTTCTTCATTGCCTCTGCCCCTAAATTCCCTGGACAATTCAATGTTTCTGGAGAAAAATTCTATTTAATATAACACTACTTGTACTAGGGTTAACCACTCTAGAGCCTGGTAATCAGCAACACTATAAACATACTTGTATTCTTTGGCCCATATATCACATAGATTACAGGAAACCCTTGAAGTAGTAGTCTATCATTCCCCTTCCTAAAGTTTCCTCCATCCATCAGAGGAGTCTATTTACAACAAAATGATTCATTAGCTCTGGATTATGGCAGTGAGAGCTCCATTTGCAGAATAGTGTTAGTGAAACATTAGCCAAGTACCCATCTGTTAATTGTGAAGTTCTATCTAAACATAAAAATAAGATATTGCCATTAACATTTTAATTGTCCTAAATTAAAAAGCCAAATTTCTTATTCTCTGCAATTCTTGGCAAATATTCTCTGCAAAGGTTATGATCTTGATGATATCTAGAGCTAGGAAATGAGACCTAGGGCAGAGCTGAGGAGGAAGCAAACAAGTTCTGATCTCCCTTCCTCTGCTTTCTCCTTTTCCCTTCCTCCAACCATTTTGTCACCCAAGAGCAATGACAGTGAGTCACAGGCATACCATGGAGAGGAATAATGACTGAAAAATAGGAAATCAAGTAGCTAAAACTAGCCCTGGAGCACTGCTGGGAACAGAAGGAGAGCAGGCAGAGACGCTGCTAGCAGGAAGGAGGAGCCGTATTGAGCTGCTGGAGGATGGCCATCACTGGAGGGCTTTTTCTAGGGAGATGACTACCTTGTTGACCAAAAAGACCCACAACCTCACAGATGTCTCTGGAATATGCTCAGAGAGGGATTAGAGAAGCATGGCACATGTTTCTGTCATTTTATTTTCTGAGATTCACAAGGCATATAGTACTAAAGAATTGAAGAAAATTCTGTAGAAGAAAAATCTGTTTGTCTCTGTTCAACCTGGTTGATTATCATGTTTATTTGACCTCAGAATCATTTCTTTTCCAATGCCACTTATTAACATCCTAAATAACTAGGGGCCTCAGAAATATTCAGTGGGATACAAAGCTTAGCTCTAACCATAACTGAAACACATATTAACTATAAATGTTGGCATGGTTATCTAGTAAATAGAGTGAATAAAAATATACAGAAAAATAGAACATGCGGAACATGAGTGTTGGAGAAGAAAAGGATGCTAGAGAAAGTTAAGAAATAAAGAATGTAAAGGAGAAAAGGCTTCAATGGGGCCAAATGCAGTATGGCAGTCAAGGAAGAAAGGCTTGACAGAGGCCTTAGATTTGTCAATTGTATGGATAACAGTGACTTGCTCCTACTTCTAATTTGTCTTCATCATCACATATAAATCAGGGTAGAGTAGTGAGATTTGAAATAATACTCTATCATGAGATGTGTGTTAGCTTTTTAACCTCTTTTAGACAATATTTTCTCATCTGAATGATGATGGGAACATTTCTTTTGTGTTACATAATCTTTTTTATTTTGACTTTTTAAGTGTCACATTTTAAAGAACTTTGTCAGCAGATCCAGATAGAAGCAAAATCTGAAGCAAATACTCTACCCCACAGAAATCGAATTACCTTGCTTTTTATAAGAGATTATTTCAGAACAGTTCTGGCCACCTGTACCATTAGGTTTTACCTTTAAGGCTGATACCTGTAACAAACAAGAGAGCTAAGGAACTCTTTGTTTCCTGCTAGCAGGATAAACAGAACAGGGAGTGTGTGCAAACTACAAGTACAAAAGGTACAGTGGCAAATGCAGAAGAGTCTTGGAATAGATAATTTATTATAAATAGAGTCTGAATTTTCTTTTTATAGGAATATATCTTTGAAATAATAAGAAGAACCAGTGGAAGAAATATTTGCTTTATATGCAAATTTTACTTTAAGCCATTTGATAGACAAAACAAAGTCTATTTGTATTGACATTATGCTAAGTTTATAGTCCAGTCTTTAAAGTGTTTGACTTTACTGAAGTACTTGTGAATAGAGTTATATGATTTCTGGGATTTGCTTTAAAATAATCCAATCCATTGGATGGGGTAGGGTGGGGTGTGGAATGGGAGGTACAGATGTGTTGACCATTGTGGAATTGGGTGATGGATACATGGAAGATATGGAAGTTCATTCTACTATTCTATTTACTTTTATATACCTTTAAAGTTTTTCATTTAAGGCAAAAAGTAGCTGGATGTGGTGTTGTGCACCTATAGTCCCAGCTACTCAGGAGACTGAGGTGGGATGCCTGCTTAGCCCAGGAGTTCCAGACCAGCCTGGGCCACGAAGTAAGACCCCATCTCAGGGGAAAAAAAAGTGTCTGACTCACCACCATCAGGGTCATCTCTTCCTTGAGATCATCATATCGTTCTTCCAGGCGACTGAATTCATTCAGAAGGTTCTGATATCTCAACCTCTCATCATTAAGATCAAGTTCCAGCTGTTTCGTTTCTTCTACTAACTTCTTCTCCATAGTTTCTGAAAGAAAGAAGCAGGATATGCACCAAAGATGGCTCCACAGAGTGCAAGAATGTAAACATGTACACTAACTTCTAATTGATCTGCAGGGGATTTTAATTTAGCACCACTATGATCTATGAGGAGTATGTTAATGAATGTAGGGAAAGAAAAAAATCATGACCAAAAAAGGAAATAAAGTCATCTACTGAGTTCTTGCATGTCCTACAGCCTTAGTCCCACTAGTTCATATGTTGGTTATAGCACATCCTTGAAAAACTTCCTAGTCACTGTCTAGTAACTAAAAGTATGTATTTTTTTTATTCCAGTGGTATTCATAAAATTCTTTTGTCCAAATTAGTGTACTCTCTCAAAAAGCCAGAGGTATTTTTCAAGGGAATGGCAAGTTTTCAGTGGACCTGGCTATCCTACTCTACAGAGCCTCTCTCAGTTCACCTTAGTCCCATGGTTCTATCTTATAATTTTCTAGCACTTTGAACTCCCTTGCTGTCCTATTACTCCCCCATTTCTAACCAGATAAAATGCTCAGGCCTGGTCATCTGAGTTGTGTACTTCTTGATCATTCCCTATGTGCTGATTGGGAAACCCTGGCTTTTCTACTCGCTCACCCCACTCTGCCCTCCCAGTTGCAATAGTCTGCATTTGGCTAGGACACAGTCTGGAGATTGGAGATTAGCCCCTGACTGCAGATAAAGCATAATAACAAAGCCTCAAATCTTGGTTATATGTTTTAACTCCATGAGCCAACCAGTCACATTTATATCAGTAAGCTTCCTACCACTATACTCCATGTTGTCCTTCTGTTTTGTGGCTAAATCTTAACTGCCCTGCCTGCTCTATTGCTTCACCATTCTTTCTCTGTCAGCAGCATGAGGCATGGGCTGCCAGTGTCTTGGTCAGAAATGCTTACCTGGAGCCCACCATAGTGCTTCCCTAGAGTAGGGCTTTCATAATTTGTCAATGAATGAATGAATGAGTTTCTTCTCTCTAAAACATTCTACAAATTGCCTTTTATTCTCATCAGTTTGCAGAAGCTTCTCCAAGACTACCAACAAATTTTCCCTAGGCAAATTCATGTTATTTCTTTGTTCTTATATAGTTCAATTTCAAATAACATTCTGTATTTTCCTAGAAGATTCTCAGGATTCTGGATCCTTCCTTCATATTCTGTATCCTAGAAGCCCTCTTTCCAGGTCTTCAGTGACTCTGTTTTCTACTTCCTTTCTTCATTTTCTTTTCTGCCTTCTTTTTCTTCACCTTAGCCCTTAGTATGTTCATTAATTACAGGTTTTGCTTTCTTTCCATTACATCATCTCCTTCTACCAGGAGGGAAGGGGCAGTATGGGGAAAAGCACAGAGGGCTCTCTTACCACCACAGTTTTAATGGGTACCTGAAGGCTCATTTCTTATTTTCTCTCTAATCTCTAATGTGGAATTGCTTTTGGAACACCTCCATGGTGAGGCCCTAACTGACATCCAAAATTTAACACTCTAACAACTGATCTCAATAATTTGTCTCATGAACAGGTACTTTTTTCCTCAATTTCTTCATTACTAATAATACACCATCATTGTTCTGGTACTTCATCTTAAAACTTTAAAATATTTTTGTCTTTTCTGAATACCATATAGAAACGATAACATTCTGTTGATTATTTTCATATATCCTCATTCCAACCCATCTCTTCCATTTCTGCCATGAATTATTGTAGTTTAGATCTATATCTTTTCATCCTATATATATGGACTTTGTAAATTTGTCACCATTCTAATCTACCCCACAAACAGCAAGTAGAATAAATGTTCACATCTAGTTTGTTCTCTATTCAAAACTTTAGAGTGTTTTCTTTAAATTGGTGGCAAAGAATGGTGAATCTTAAAAGAGTAATATCTGTTGGGTTTAGCAAAAAAAAAAAAATAAGTAAATACAATATATACACACATATACATATAAGCTCAAGAATTCTTATTAAATCAGTAGGAATCCTATAAGCCATACATGAACAAATTAATTTCTTAAAAAATTACATATGACATTTGACTGAACATGAGCTCACGGCTGTACACAGAGAGACCAGATTTACAAGTTCACCAACTAATTCAACCAAAATATTTGGAACTCTTGCCTCTTGAAACTTTGTGAATTTACTGAGAACAGCCTCAACTTTTTAAAATATTTAAGCTCTAACCAAGACTGTAACTCATAAAATAACCTTGTAACTTATAAAACTTTGCTAAGAGGTTGGCTGGCTATATATAGTGGTTTGGGCTCACATGAGCCTTACCTGTCATCTCCTTAGCCTGCTCCACAATACGGTGATTGAGGGCTTCTTTTTCCTGCTTCAGCGAAATATTTTCTTCCTTCAGATTTGATACCAGCTATGAAATGAAACAATAAGCTGAGATGGCACTAATGGACAGAAAAGGCCTGACTGTCAAGTCTAAAGATCACATAGCAGTTTCTTCTTGCTTCCACCATTTCTTACCTCATGTCTTTGCCAAGTTGTGTCTAGTCACCCTTCAGACTTGTCTCCACTATTATCCCCTCCAGAAAGCATTCCTGGAAACTCCCTCCAATTAGATATTTTTCTCTCTGGGCTACTGCAAGACCTTATATGTGCCTCTTATAGCCCTTATAAATGCTTTACTTTTCTGTCTTCCAGAATAGACTAGAAATTCCTAGAGGACAAGAATGGTGGTACTATCGTTTTACTTTGTGCCTTAAACATTTAGCTATTTCCTTGCATCTAGTCATCATTTACTCATGAAGCAATATTACCTTCTCATCTGAGCATCTTACCACTTATGTGCACCCATAATTCAAGTGGAGAGGTTAAGGAGGTTAAGAAGGATATGAGAGCATTTTAGTTTGGGAAATTCACTGAAGACCTGACACTCTCTGCTGTCAGTCTTGAAAAAACAGAGTTTTCCTTTCATATCCTTTAAAGAGTTTTGACCTTATAGCAATGTCAATGTACTTAAAGTCACAGAACTATACATTTAAAAACAGTGAAAGTGGTAAGCTTTATGTTATTTTTATTTTATCACAAGTTTAAAAAAAGCACGTAACTTTCTAGTTTCTGACTAGATCAGGATTCACAGGAAGCAAAAATCAAGGTAACTTTGCAAAGTACATAATTTACTCAGTTCATCTTTGGAATAAAATATGTGTTTGCAATGAGTGAAATGTGAAATCCTTTCTCTAAGCATAAGTACAAGCTCTCTCAGAGTGAGAGCTTTAATAATAAAGAGAAAGATGGCAGGCAAATCTCTCATGTCAGAGGTGCAGAGACAGGGAAAGAGGGCTCTGTAACTAAAGGATCCTGGGAAGCCAAGAAAATTAGATAATAACATAGTACCACAGCAAAAGTCAGTCCAGAAGGTATACCTTCTGAGGGTTCAGTCTCTTCCCTCTGTACTGATAGGACCTTAACACCTACTCTCAGTAAAAAGGCCGGAGTTCTCTGTAGGCTCTGAAGAGAAGCTTCTCTTTGGCAAGGGAGTGCAATCAATCACCTGTGGTACTTTTTCAAAATACACATGCCTAGTCTGCACTCTGAGAGCTCGGATAGATCCCTTTTTTAAAAACTCTCCAGCAGATTCTGATACACACTCCTGATTAAGAACCATAGCTCTAGTAAATTCTGGGCTCTTTGATCAGGCTGAGAATGTCATTTTATTGACCATGAAGTTGGCTGTCATAGTAAAATATTTTCCTTCTTCCCCTATCACTACACTCCTTCACAAGGATTAATGGTAGTGCCTATAGCTTTCCCTGTGAAAAGTAGAAGATAATGAAACAAAATGAAAGGAGGACTCTGAATCTGTTATATACTATTCTATCAGACTAAAAAGGCAAGAACTTGGCTTTGAAGAGGAAAAGACACACCAAGCTTAAATACTTTACACATTCAGAGAAATCTAGAAAGACTCAGGAGACTTAAAGGAAGAAGAGTTCTTAAAAATTCAAGAACATCCTTAAAAATGTACATTGAAATTCAGAGAGAACAATTTTGCCATGTCAAAACAACAACACATTAAAAAGGAAAACATTACATAGTGGCACGTTTGTTTCTATACACAGAGTCTACCAGAGATATAGAAGGAATTATTTTATTGGGACTCTGAATACCATTGAGGGATTGCAATTTTACTAGATACTCTATTCTAACTGAACTGTATCTGAGCTCTCACTAAGGTTCTCTCTGCACATGCTGCTGTTAACATTCAAAAATCAGTACAGAAAAAGCTTGCCAGCAGTTATAGCTGACACAGTCAACTCTGTTTTCATTTAAAGATGGTAATACCAGTGGAATTTCTGAAAACCAATTACTTTTTTTCCAATAAACCTAATGTTGAGGCACTTTCATGTTTTAACAGTACTTCTTATTACTATTTGAGAATGTTAATGTTTTTTGTAGTTAATAAAGTTTTTATATAAGTTAATACAAATTTGTAGCATTGAAGCACTGATCAATTTGTAAACATTTTTTTTTTTTTTTTGCATCGTGGTGGGTTCTACCTGCATAGCAGCTCTTAGCTATGATCTTCATACAGTCATTTAGATTTCTCCTGCTTGGACTTCTTAATAAAACCTTAATGCAGGTTTCCACAAGGATCGCCACTATCGGGTATTAACAATTCATTGTTTGATTTGCTTCTTAATCCCATTAATCCTACTAGAAAAAATGGAATCTATACTCCATCTGGATCAATATGTTTAAAAAAAAGAACATTCACTAGGTACTTGGCCACTAACTCTCTTCTTAAAATATTGCTTTGCCTCCATTAGTCAAAGGTTCTGCCAAAAGACCTACACTCTCATTGATCATGTGGGAAAAATGCTTGGAAAACAGTAATAATGAACAGTAAACCAATAGAAATTTGTATTATATCTTCTACTAAAACCAACATTAAGGAACATGGATCAGGTCAAGATGACAGCATATTTCCTCTGAGTAAGGATGGAGATATGGACATAGTTCCTACCTGGTCTGTTTCTTGTTTGTACCTATCTGCACGTTCCTCAATGCATTTTTTCTCTGACTGAGTCTGTTCCAGGTCTTTCCGGAGCTTAGCAATTTCTTCCTGCAGACTAAGGACCCTCCCAGTGGCAACCTTAGCTTCTTCTTCACTTAGTTGAAGACGTTCTAAGTCACTTCGTAGTTTCTCAGTCTCCGAGTTATATATTCCTTCCAGATTGGTCAGTTTCTCCATGAGGCATTTGTAATCTTTGTTCTTTAAACACACACATAAGTAACAATAAGTAAATATACACATCATCAAATGTATTTAGTAAGAAAACCATGCGTATTCATCATATTCATGCTATATCATAATAGTGTTGATATAGTATCTAACCAAAATACTAACCACAACATTTGCAGTAACACAACCAATACCCTCTTGATGACACAAAGAGAGAAGAAAACAATTAATTTTGCTTTACATGATGAGTAACATAGATATGATTTCTTCATAGTCACAAGGTGAGTTACATAGTAAATTCTTAATTTCCTGATTCTTAATCCAAAGTAGGAGAATTTATACCTGCTTTTGAAAATAGATCAAAGTGCTGCAAAAGACAAATACTAGTAAGTGATGCATAAGAATGAAAAAATAGCCTGAAAACCACAAGTTTTTACAAATTTTTGTTTACTACCTCAAAATTTTCCAGTCTCACTCAGAAAATTTCTGATGAGTACCATTTCATTCTAATCCCTGTTTATCTTTGATCTCCTTAGTATTTATACATTCTTGATTACCTTTATGTCATTTGCATGTACTAAAATATTACCTAACTACCTCTAGGTAATCAAACTTATATTTCTGCAAATAGACTTCAAGTTCCTTAGAAGCATGAACATCTTCATGCTTCTTTTACCATTTCAATGCTAAACAACTCATCTGAAAAATGAATACAATACCAAATGCAAATAAATAATAATGGTGATAGAGCTCTTCAAAGTACAATACAATATGACTCCTGATCATAAAGGTTTGGAGTGTCAGTAAATTTGAACCGTGTTCTCAAAAATAATTTCCTGCCTTAGTCCTTACAATTGTAATCTAATTTATAAGCTCATCATTTCCATGCTCATTACTATTATTATTTTCTTTTTGCTAAGACTGAAGGGTAAAGTCAAGGAGTAACAATACTGAAAGCAATCCCAGTGGATTTCTTCAGGCATGCTCCACTTTCAGGGCTCTTTTTCAAAACACACCTGTTCATCGACTTTGCGCTGTAGCTGCATGATCTTGTTCTCCATGCCAATGTGGAGCTTCTTATAGCGTTCCACAGAGCGAGCCTCAATTTTGAGCTTCTTTAGCTCACGCTTGGCCATCATCCGCCGGAAGCAGCACTGAAGGTAGATGATGGCATGCATGCTCCTCTTGTAGTGTGTGCGAGCCAGCCAGCCCCGGACCCACTTCTGAATGATGACTGCTTTGTGCTCACGGAGTATCTGCAGAAAAGGGTAAGGGCAAGTAATGTCAGACACTGGACTGGACTTAAAGTTCAACTTTATCAACCTATGTCAGGCTGGGAATCTATATATGACCTAAAGGAAGAGACACAAAAGTTGAATCCACAATATAGTATGTGGATTATACATATCATAGATATATTATATAAAGGTACAAAATTATTTTAAATATGATTTGAAAAGTAGACTACAGAAGGTGATTTGAGAGACACATAAAAATATGTGTTATATTCACATGTTAGAAGTATGATTCTAAGCAGAGTATATAGTTGGAAGCTGTCTAAATAAAAAGCACCAAATTACTAAAAGAAAAGAAAAACAATTCTTAAAAAAAAGAGAATATATATTAGGTTTCTTATTGGTATATGATTTCTGTTAGCAACGGGTGATCCTCTATAAAATTAACAGAAGCAGGCCCCCTGTGAATAAAAGACTTCCCCATATGCTTGCTTGTGACACCATCTCACAGTGCAATAGGCCTGTGCACGAGGATGTGGGTGTGGGCAGCAAACTGTGACCATAGAGGCTAACTCCTGGGGTACTACAAACTTTGTTACCGATTATTGATTTACTTCTCAAAAACAAAAAGATGACACTCTTATTTGCCATATTTGAGAAATACCATCTTAGGATTTTCCATTGCTGTTTCAAATGTAGCAGAATCCACTTAAGGGATTTAAAGGTAGGAAGGATGGGGCTTTAAAAGGAAAGCTAAAAGTAAGAAGACGTGAAATAAACAAATCTTACTTTTGATGTTATGTTTTCTAGAAAAACCATGATATTTCCCTAAACTTATAGACAATTTACACCAAAAAAGTTGCCTTATGAGATGAATTTCTTTTATTGCTAAAGACTATCAAGAAGAGATTATATAAACATTTTCTAGGAAAGATGGAGAAGAAATTCTTGAATTTGAAGAAAGGTTGAACTAGAAACATCTTGAAGTCCTTCTAAGTATATGATATTATGAAATAACTCTTGTATGACATAAATGATATTTAAATGTTATGCACTGAAGTACTTATTAGCGATTATCACAAATGGACACAATGTATCTCTTATCAAACTTTTAAGATATAAAAATTTCTGCAACCATCTACCCAAATAGATATCAGTTTAATAAGATCATTGAAAGAATAATTCCTATTTTTAGCTTAAATATCTGAAAACAAAACAATTTAAAAAGTACCATCCTAGAAGATACATATAAGAAATAAGTGGTTAAGTTTTAGACCATCAAATACAAAATAGACGTAGGCATTCAGGAGACCTGAACAGTATCGTCAGACAACTCAAGCCTGCCTTTTTGGGCTGTTTTTTGAATGCTAAGGCAGCCTTCAGCTCTCATTAATTGCAGCCACTGCATCATGCTGCACTGAGGTTGGGAGTTCTGAACTGTCATTGAACATCATAATCCTGAGGGAAGCCTTCGTCTTATCCAGATGACTAAGGAGCAACTGGATGAGATTTAGTGGCTGGTAAACTGAAGGCTATCAGACTTTAAACCTCAATTAGCACACAGTGGCAAAGCTATTAATGTCAATTTTTCGGTTCCATTTGCTTCTCCCCATGTAAGTTTGGACATTTTCCATTTTTGTAATTTTAGTCAAATGGAAACAGCATATAATCAGAGCTTCCCTTTTCAATCTCATTTCCATCAGTGAGTCAGAGAAATTAAAGAATACCTGTACCCTCTATAAGACCTATCCCATCCCCCTCAACATATCCACAAAGGGGAAACGTGGACATGAAATACAGCTAGAAGGAGCATTAATGGGGTGGCTTCTAGCCTATATGTGAACAAGCCTCTAACCTGCTGCTCCCACTGCATCCAGTCACAGTGGGAGCCTCAACTGGGCAGAGACAGCCACTGGTAGACCAGTGGCCTCAAAACCCAGTTTAGACGTCCCTAAGAAGAGTACTGAGGAAAACAGGAAGGTAACCTTGCTAAAATGACAGAGATTAAAATCTTCTATCAGCTGTCACAGGTAATGATTACAACTAACCTGGTGATTCACTATCTACAGTCATGTTAATTATTGCTAGATACATATTGCATCACATCCTTGTCAATACAGTTTTAACCACATTAATATTATAATTTATTTCCTCTTCACCATGGTAAATTTTCTTTTTCCATTGTCTTGTTAAAAATACATATAATTATTTAATATTTTAAAATACATTTCAATTGCTGGTTGTTTCCATATAGCTCCTACATCTACTATAGCCTCTGTGGTACTTTATACAGCTATGGAATTTGCCTAATCTTAGTGGAATGAATAAACAAAGTTGAAAATAATGCCTCACCTTGCGATACCTATTTCTGGCCAAGTAGCCTCGTAAATAAGACTGAAGAACAACAGTGGCAGCTCGTCTGATCTTGTACCTCCTGCGGACCACATACATGCGCCAGTACTTCTGAATGGTGGTTGCTGCATTGGTTCTGCGCAGAAACTTAGCATAGCTGGTCAAAAAAAGTAGGGTGCATTGTCAGTAATCAGAAAAATGCAGGAATGTATTCTTTTTGTTGTTGTTGTTGCTGAGACAGAGTCTCGCTTTGTTGCCCAGGCTAGAGTGAGTGCCGTGGCATCAGCCTAGTTCACAGCAACCTCAAACTCTTGGGCTCAAGCAATCCTTCTGCCTCAGCCTCCCAAGTAGCTGGGACTACAGGCATGTGCCACATGCCCGGCTAATTTTTTCAATATATATTAGTTGGCCAATTAATTTCTTTCTATTTATAGTAGAGATGGGGTCTCGCTCTTGCTCAGGCTGGTTTCGAACTCCTGACCTCGAGCAATATGCCCACCTCAGCCTCCCAGAGTGCTAGGATTACAGATATGAGCCACCGCACCCGGCCAGGAATGTATTCTTATGTTATAGAAATTTAGGAGTGTCAATGTCTTAGGCATAAGTAGTAGTACCTCCATTTTATTATTCTAATAATGTGTATGTAAAAATCAACATGTATATTTATTTATATTTGTATAGCAATTTATAGTTTCCTGAGGTATTTCTGCTTTCATTATCTCATTTGAGCCTTCCCTAACCCTGAAAAGTGGGATGGCCCATATTGCTAGATTTGACAAGAAAGAAAATGAAGTTCATAAAAGCTCATTCTTTCTAGGACAGGACTCATTACCCCTAGCAATGTCCCCTTTACATAGCAGACCATTGTATACAGTAATCCCATACTTACATACACCAGCATTCTTAGATCTAGCCATTGTTAATGTACCATATTTTTTTCTGAATCTAAATGCAGGCGTCCTCAAACTACAGCCCACGGGCCACATGCGAGTGTGTTTGCCCATTTGTTTTTTTACTTCAAAATAAGATATGTGCAGTGTGCATAGGAATTTGTTCATCGTTTTTTTAAACTATATAGTCCAGCCCTCCAACGGTCTGAGGGACAGTGAACTGGCCCCCTGTTTAAAGTTTGAGAACTCCTGTGTTATAGTATAAAATTTATCTTTAGTGTATAAGTTCTTCATCATTAATTCATTTCTACTTATACTTCTAAATTAAAATTATCCCAATATGTAATCACACTAAAATATTCTCTCCCAGAACCTCTCAGTTAATTGCTCCCCCAAACTCCTCTGTTTTAATTTACATATGAATTCTTCCAGTCCTATATCAAAGTATAAAAAATTCTTAGGACATAGGTAGCAATTTATAAATTTTTGAATATGAATCTGAATCACTCATGAGGGTAAGTGAAATTTTATTATATTTAGCTATCTTATGAGTTAATTTGTTTTCCCTGGGAAGTAAGAAGGGTGAGAGTTGCCCTAGGGTGACCATTCAAAACTGTCCAAGTTGGACAGTGAATTAGACGGCACCCTAACCTTAGCGGCCTGTCAGCTAGAGTGGACATGTCGGTCCCCAGGAGACCTACCATCGGGCCTGGTAGCCCCGCACATATCTCTGCACAGTGATGGCCGCCCTCCGCATGCGTAGGTACTTCTTCCTCAGCAGCCACCCTCGGATGGTCTTTTGGATCCGGATGCAGGCAGCCCTCAGTTTGTCTGCTCTCAATTTTTCTAGATAGGCCACTTGACCGGCACGGAAAAAGATCTTCGTCTTACCAAACTGGTATTTGTCCTGGTCCTATTTTTGGAAGAAATTGTTTACTCAGAAATAATGACCATATAAATGAAATTTAAAAGAGAAAAAAATATGTCTAAAAGCAGAGTCAGTAGAGGGATGAATCTATTAGCTAAATCTTTGGCTACGTCGCAATTAACTAATGGAGTCATATTTTTGATCCTATGCAAGTTGAGCAAATAGAAGGGATTTTAAGGAAAACTGCAGTTTAAGAGTTATTGTCCAGAATTATTCTACCTGGAATTATTATCTGAGGCCCAACACTTGGTTGTGGGTTATAGGCAGCTATTATTTGCTTGTTTGTATTTTAAACATCTCAAGGGAATGGAGATGCTGACACTCTCTCTGACTGACTCAGGCTGTAAGGATTACATCAGGCTGTATATTCCATGAGAAAGCTGAAGGGACAAAAACACCAGTGTAAAGAATAAAGAAGGAAGAAATGCACACGAGATAAAATTAAAAAAAAAAAACAACCAAAAACAGAAAAATTCTTGGGTATCCATATTAAGAGTCACATTTCTAAACACTAATCTCTTGGCTTTATCAATAGGATCTGAAAACAAACAATCAAAACCCCATAAATGTGTCTAAAGCCCTACAAATTTCAAACTCCTTTTACAAAAACATAATCATTGACATTACATATTGACTTTCGAGCAAAAGCAGAGTTGAGCCATAAACACAGACATACATGCACCGTTCTATTGCATTTTGATTCACCTTATCCAGAAACATGCAAATTATTAACCATTCTCATATCAAAAGAATGGAATTTATGTATAATAATCACTACTGTGATCTAAAATTCTAAGCAAAAACAGAGAAAATCACTTCTCACTGTAAGCATGTATCTCCTACCTTGTACATGAAACCAGAATCAGAAACCTCCACATACATCTAAAAAATCTAAAATTATTTCAATTTAAATCAATCAAGTTTGTATAGGAAACCTAGCTAGAAAGTGGTTCGCTCCCCACTAAGCCCCTTCCCACCTCAGTTTCCCCCATTCCACCCCACACCAACCTCGCCTCCACCTCTCAGCCTCCTCTGCTTAAATTCCCTGCAAAGCCCTGGTCCAGGCCAGAGTGGCCTGGGTGAGGCAGGCCAGGCATAGCACCACTCTAACTTTCTGCTCTACATTCCATCTGAACCCAGCTTAGAAGGGAGTTGGGCCAAACTCAAAAAGCATTAGTTTTCTTTTCTTTATTTTTAACATTACTAAGAAAATGGCCTTAGCTCTTTCAAAGAAAAAAATATTATTACCAAAGAAGGGGTACTACATTTAGTTAATAGTAATTATCATTAATTATCTCAGAGTGAGGTAATTTATACAGACTAGTGTTAAACAAGTGAAAATATTTTTTAAAAAACTTTTCGTGAATCTTAAATTCTCTAAGACCTAGATAAGTGGCTCCCAAAATGCAGTCAGTCCTCAGAGAACATTTGCTGGGAATTTGTTAGAAGTGCAAACTATTGGGTCCATCTCAGATCTACTGAATCAGAAATTCTGACGGAGGGGCCCAGCAATCTGTGTTTTTACAACCTCCAGGTTATTTTGATACACAATAAAGTTTGAGAACTCCTTAGCCTGGTATGTAACATTTTTTATAACTCCAACCTATATTTCCTAACCATTTTTCTACTGTCCTATATACAAATCTCACGCTGCAAAAACTGCTGTTTTCTAAGTGAATCCTATGCTTTCCTACTTCTTCACACTTTGCTCCTTACAGTATATACTCTTTCCATTTTTTTTTTTTTTCCTTTTCTGTCAAGGTCTTGCTCTGTCACACAGGCAAGAGCGCAGTGGCCTAATAATAGCTCACTGTAGCCTTGAATTCCTGGGCTCAAGTGATCCTCTCATCTTGGCCTCCCAAGCAGCTGAGACTAAAGGCATATGTCTACCCATGCCTGGCTTTTTTTTTTTCGGTAGAGATGGGGTCTCACTATGTTGCCCAGGCTGGTCTCAAACTCCTGGGCTCAAGTGATCCTCCCACCTCGGCCTCATAAAGTGCTGGGATTAAGGCATGAGCCACCATGCCCAGCCTCCTTCCATTTTTGTACAGTTGTATCCATACGAGGCAGGGACTGACTCAAAACATAATTCTTCCATGAAATTATTCCTCCTACCCATAGCTGGATGTGGCTTTGCCTTCCTCTAATTTCTTAACCCACTCACTCAGCATTTCATATAGACACTAAGGTATATTATACTTATCTTTAAAATGCATTATTTTCTAATAAAGACTACATTACCTGAGAATAAGACTTACTTTTTCTTAATCACACAGCATCTGACATGATGTCTTCCACAAGTAAGTACTAGGTAAATTTTTATTAATAATGATCAAACACTCTAAAAGGAATGTGTCTCAAGTCTGGGTTCAGGCCTCAAAATTCTGTTTTCCTGACAGTGGACCACCATCCTCACTAGTTCCAGCATCCTTAACACAGTAAGCCAAGACTGTGTGCCCCTCTACCATCCCACGCTCAAATTATCTGGATTAGTGATATCTGAAATGGAAATCCCCAGGGCTTTCAAAGGTCAGAACCACAGGCTTTTGGGCAGTATCTGTGCAGATAAAAGTAAGTGAAATCTTTCTCACCACTATCAGTTTCTCTAACACATTCTTGCATGTTTGCTTTCTGTCACTCAGCACATCTTTTTGCTTCATTAGGACACGGTAGCGGCTGAAAAATTCCTGGTAAGTCCACCTATAAAAAGAAAACCATATCAGCTTATTTAAAGAACTAGCAATCTCTCCCATTAGGATCCCTTACATTTGAAAAATGCCAGGCTCACCGTGAGGGGAAGCCCGCTGCACTGATTCGGATGGTTTCCAGGACGCCGCACGCTCTCAGCTGCTGCACTGCTCTCTTCTCATCAAACCTACACATGAAAACGAAAAGTCATTAATCCAATAAGGACCTAGCTGCAGCCACAAATTACTCTCCTCAGTCTGGGTTTAAATTCTTTTGCAAAGAGCAAAATGGATAAATCAGGAAAGAAAGCATTCAAAAGTTGGAGCAGTGATCAAAATGGAAAACTCTATGAGAGTGGGGGGGACACAATTAACAATAAAAATAAGCCGTAAACATTACCTGTGGTTCATATCACCAACTCATGAGAAAGTCCATTAAGCATATTTTTAAAAACGCACAAAATTCCCTTGCACTTTGCACACATTCATTACATGGCTTGGCCTGACTAGAAATTCTCAGAATTCATTTGCTCACCACACATAGTTCCCCTGGAAAAAAGATTGACTAACCCTGAAGAATTCTCTAACAGGAAGGACAAATTAAGTATGTCTCATTCAGTTATTTTTAAAAAAGTATTGGTGTTCTAAAAACTCTTTACTGTGTACCGACTAAGCATATATGTAGTGTCCACATCAATAAAAAATACTTTGACTTTGTATAATATTTCATGTTTATTTCACTAAACAAAGGGCATCTTAAGGTTAAACTGACACTAACAGAAGTAGAAAGGTTTCCCTTCTGTCAGATGATTGCTCCTATTACTCCCATAGTTAAGCTCTGGGCTATAATCCAAGCCTTTTCCTGTGCTGTTTTTTTAGGTATTCTGTTGTTGGCAGGACATGGAGTTGGCTGATGGAAGGCCATGGTCCCTGGGGCTGTCCAGCAGAGTGGCCCAGGTATAGCAGCTTCTACCTGCTTCCCACTTCCTCCAGAAAGGCCTTCTGGGTGATGAGGAGGATAGAATGATGGCAATCTTTCAGAACTGCCCTCCAATCTAAGGCAAAATCTCCAAAGTAGGATTGGCAGGGGTTAGTGAAAAGGGCACTCCTACACTGTGGAGTAGGGGTGGGAGTTGATATTTGGTCAATGTGTCTTTGACCTACAAATTTCACTTCTAGAAATACAATACCCTAAAGAGATAATCAGACAAATATTCAAAAATGTTTGGCAAAGATGTTTATTATAGCATTGTAGGAACTATCTAAATGGCTACCAATGGAATAATTTAAAGGATGGTATGTCTATACAATGGGATAGTCTGCAGTCATTAAAATGGTGATGTGGATTTCCATATACTAACATGGAAAGTGTCCACAATCTATTAAGTTAAAATCGGAGAAAAACAGCAATTACAGCCTGAGTTCCTTCCTTTTGTTAGTGTCTGTCTCTTTCCCTCTATTCTTCCCCTCTCGCCTCTAGCACACATGTGGAACAGGAAAGGAAGGGCTATTGGTTAGTCAAGAAGGACCTATGCCAGTTAACACCAGTTATCTCTCTGGGTATGAGGGATGCTTTTTCATTTATTATTATATTATTCCATATTTCCTAAAAATTGTTTTTATAATGTACATATATTACTTTTAAAATTAGAGAAATATTTCCGTTTTGGAAAAAAACGTCCAGAAAGATTCATTCTCCCCTCATTCATGGTATTTGAAGTAGGATGAAATGTTGGTAAAAGATGACATTCTCTGATGGTTTCAACAGTTGAAAAGCAGCAGGTAAGTAATTGCCAAAGGTAGCTCTGGTTTTAACTAATACCCAAATTAACAAAAAGCCCTATAAAATCTAGAATGGAGACAAATTGAAAACAGAACTAGAAATGTTTGGTTAACCTCAACTTTTCAAGTCTTCAGAAGGCTAACTGCTAATTTGTTCTTATATTCTCAAAAGGAAACAAAAACTGAAAAAAAAAAATTCTACTAACTAGTCATTTCCCTGTATAAAACATGAAGATTTACCCCAAGTTTTTTCCTTATGTTGGTTTGACACTCCTTATGAGATATGGGCACTTTTTTATTCAGTAGTTAAGAAATACTTACATGGGAGGGGGGGAAATGGGCATTTATTGAAACCTTAAAATCTGTACCCCCATAATATGCCGAAATAAAAATAAATAAATAAATAAATAAAATTAAAAAAAAAGAAATACTTACGTGAATGGGAACTTGAAGTCATTAGGCTTAATGCAGCGCACGTAGTGAGGAGTAGTGGCATTGAGTGTCTCCATAAGCAGGTGAAGGGAGTTTCGGAACTGCAGGAAAAGGGGCAGAAAGGGGCATCGAGGTTTTGTCAAAAGTCAAAGATGATATAAAACAATTTAAAATTCTCTTCCTATGACACTAATGGAGATGACTTTGCCACCTATGAACCTGACCCATCTTCAGAAGAGGAACTGCTACTAAACAAGAATGCGAGGGCTTTCAGTTAAAATTTGCCAAACTTTACCATTTTTGTGCTAACTCTGTTAAATATACATTTTCTCTATCCCTACCCCTTTTCCCTACTCCCCTTTTTTATATAGGTTTCTGTAGCTTCCTGCTGTGAGCTCTGAAATCAGTCACATGTGGCTAACAATATAACCTTTCTTTAAGAATATTAAGGCCATTTAATAAAGTGGGAATTTTGCTGTTAGATATCGAAAAAAGTAGCTGATGACTTAGAGTATAGGGGAATGGGTGGGAGAGTGGGAAAGGACAACCAGAGAAAGGGTATCATTAGGCACATGGGATCGGGACTGGAGGTTGTGGACCTGTGTCAGGCCCTGCTCCTATCTACACTGGGCACATGATCCCTTGCACAGGAAAACAAGCTGACTAGCACTTAGCTTCCCAACCAAAGCCCCTCCCCTTGCTCAGGCACTAAGCATATTTGTAATGTTTCCCACTCCCACAGAGCACAAGACATCAAAGAAAGGACAGGACGCTGTTCTTGCACTGAGCTGAACCACGTTCTGTACAACTACTAGACAAAACAAAGACAGTAGTGGTCTAAGAGAGACAATATGCACTAGAAGAATTAAGCCATAGAGAAATAATTTGGGGAAAGGCTTAGGCAGAGTCACAGGTCTAAAACTGGGTGGAGAGAAGTTTGAGTGGATGGTGTTATGTGATCTCACAGTGAAAGCTCTAGCCTCTCCTTACCTGAGAATCCTACCTGAAAGGCTGAAGGAAGACCTGAGGCTTCAGCTGAGCCAGAGGGGAAGGAGCACAGCAGCAGTGGCTCCCTGAACTCACCTGGTGCCCCACCGTTTTCTTGTGCTCTTTGGCCGTCTGGACTGGTCTGCCTTTGGTAGGCTTGGCAGGAGTGCGGCTGAGGGGTATGCGCCCTGAAGAAGTGGCTGAGGTTGGACTGATGGCCTTCTCATCATCTTGAAATAGTTCTGGTAGCATCTTAAACTGAGTCAGAAACAGTGAAAGGAAGTTACATTCTAAACTCAAATTCAAATATACACCTTCACAGAAGAAACACCATAGACTTTCAGTAAATAGTGACTCCTTTCCTTAAACAACCCCCTGTCCAAGTCACATTCTAGAAATAATCAATATCTGGGTTAGGAGCCAAAATATGAGAGGAAGGAGAGATAAATGCTACAGAAACATGGGTGGAAAATGCAACAATTCTACAACCATGTTTGGGGAAAACAAAATCAACACTACTGCCCTCAGACTTGAAAACCTAATCCACAGGAAAGGGCCACTCTAAACATAATACTGATTTTGAACTACAATTATTTTATGAGCAAAATAGCAATTGAAAGTCCTATTGTATTACTTCAGTTCCACAAACTGTTTTATCATCAGGTGGAGAAAAACATTAGTCCAGGTTTGCAAGTTATCTATCAAGCATAATTCCCACCTGCTTCATTTGTCTACCCACTCACGCCAGTGCTGAGCAATGACTCAAAACGTCACTGAAAATCTCAGCAGGAAGGGTGTTATGAACATCTCTATAATATTATATAATTAAAAAATCATGAATTAATAATTTTTAGAATATAGTTTGGATTGTAGGGAAAAAAAGTTTAAAAGCTGTACCTTTATACTATAAGTTTTTCTATTTGTTTTCAAGCAATTTATAACTTGAATACATAATTCCTGTAATCAATTTTGTGTTCTGTTAGGTTAGCAATATGAAAGACTATTAAGAGATCTGGTACTTAATAAACAGGTAGATGGTATTGGTCAATATACCTAGGAGAAATTTTATGAAACAAAAGAGATTTCAAACTAATCCACAGGAACATCTGATACCTGTACATCTCTTTATAACAGTACAGCATCCCATATAAATAAAATCAATTATTCTAAGTAGTTATGTTTGCAACTAGCAATTATTTGTCTAATGATGTCAGACTATCTCCAGAAAAAAATTTTTTATTTTCTTTTTTAAAATTTCCTTAACAGTGAATTTGAAAAAAATAATTTTCTATGAGAGTTCTTTCACTAAGAAATAAAATCATATAATTTCATTTGCTATTATGTTAATATGTATATCAATCATAAGAATAATTTAGAGAATCAAAAGAGTAATTTAGTAATTCATGATGTATATAACATACCAATAATGGTTGCTTGCTGCACAAATGAATATATTCCTTGCTTTACAGAATAAATAATATTAATATATTCTAGCTTGGTTGGCTATAAACCAAGAAGAAAATTAATATTTTAACATTATCTTGTATTACAATGTTACAGCTGTGTTCCGAAGAAGAAAAATGTGAGTTCCTAATAGATTTGATTCGAAAACTCAGCATGCGGTTAAGATGCTAGACTGTTCAATGATAGGCCATGTACTCCAGAATCTTATCTATGATGTCTTATTCCCAAATAAATTGCTGGGTTTACATTAGAAGTTGCTTAAACTTTTTCTTTCTTCTGTGTGAAATGGTTAATAGAGTTGGGCTGCAGTATCGTATTCGCCAGTAGGTAAATTTAACTTATTTATTATCTATAACATATACCAGAAAACGACTTAGTTTTCAGAGTTCAGAATACACACACACACACACACAGACACACACGCATACATGCCTGGTGTGACTTCCTCTACATAGAAATTATAAATTTAAAATTCCCTACATTGACTTTTGTTTTTTAAAAAGTTACATTTTAAATGGTTATATCAGAAACTGTTTTATAAGTTCTTCTTTAGGCAGTGTCCTGCTTCCTCATAGGCCATTTTCCTTAGACTTCTTTCCTGGCTTCTCCTCGGTCCAGCCTCTACAAGTAGTAATGCCTAAAGATTCTGGCCTCAGCTCCACTATGCTTCATCTATATGTTCTCCTTAGGCAACTCATCCAGTCTCATAGCTTTAATGCCATCTATTAATAGTTCTAAAGACTACCACATTTCTATCACCTTCTCTGACTTCCCCCCTGATCTGCTGACTTTCCTTTCCAACTTTATAAATGACATCCCACTTGGCTATCTTGCCGCCATCTCAAGCAAAACATGGCTAAAACAGAACTCTTGAACATTTTTCTCAAAGTCTGGTCTTTCACCCATCTTCACTTCAGTAAATGGCACAACCATCCATCCAGTACCTCAGGCCACAATGCAGAAGTCACCCTCAATTTTTCCCTTTCTCTTGCTCTCCGTGCCAATCCATCAACAAGACCTATCAACACTACCCACAAACTACATGACATCTCCACTGCTACAATCTCCATCCATCTTTCCCTCTAGGTCACTCTGGCCCCATCTCCACCTGCCCCAAATCTACTTCTGCATAGCACCATATCATTCCCCAATGGAAAACCTTCCAGACTTTCCTCTGCAACAGGAAGAAAATCCATACTCTTTACCAAGTCTGCAAGCCACCCTCCAGAAAGTGGTCCCTGTCTACCCATCCTATAAGTCCTATTTACCTACCACGTTCCTGCCACACCAGCCTTCTTTTTTATCTCTAATACAACCCGCTTATTCAGTCTCAGCTCTCCTCACTTGCTCTTCCTTCTGTCTTGTGTTTCTTATTATTCAGGTTTCAGGACAAATGTCAATTTTACAGAGAGGCTTCCTAATCACTCCAGCCAACACAGCAGCTTGCCCTGTCCAAGCTTAGTCACTCTCTAGCTTGGCGCCCTGTTTTACTTTCTTTATAGCACTTACTACTTTATGATGTGCTATTACCTAAATATTTGATTAATATCAAATATTAATATCCCACAGGTGCAGGTACCTCTGCCTAGCTCATTTACCTTACTAAATCCCAATTTTCTTAAATCAATTCTTGAAAAATTTATCCATTCTCCACTCACTGGGCTGCCAATTTTATCTAAAGATAGATAGATAGAGAGATAAGTAGGCAGATATGCCTGGACATTCCATCTTATTTCTTTGAACTCTCTATTCTTATGATAGGGCTCTGACTTATTTAGGACTGAACTTAGATGTCTAGTAAATAGTGAAAAAAAACCCCAGCAGAATCCAAGTAATAGTTTCATGAAGATGTTGGAAATAATCTCATTAATGATAATATCCTTATTCCGTAGGAGGTTTTTATGCATGAAGCACTGTTCTAAGAGCTTCATACGACCTATTTAATCCTTTCAACAACTCCATGAAGTAGACACTACCCCGATTCTATTTTATAGTTGAGAGATCTAAGGCATAAACTCAATAGACAAATTGTGCTTCCCCTCTTCGATCAGCAAGACAGCAAGTAGGGGTTAAAATTCATTGTAATGGTATTTGGGAGAATTGAAATTCAGTAGTATTTAGCTAAGTTCCAACTTATTTATATGCTTACTGATATTACATGTGGCAATAGAAAATTTCTTGATGGTGGAAAAATATCAAATAAGATACCTTCTGTTAATTTTATAATTCCTTTTCAAGTTGTAAGTTTGGCCAGGGGCTGTAAAATTTTAAAAAAAGACAAAACACACATACACACAAACAGATCCTACACTGTATTACCAAAAAAAGAATTCTATTCATAACACATAACACAAATATTAATCTTCTAAAATTAGTGCTTCCAAGAGAACAAATTCACACTATAGTATAGTTGCTTCAATTAGGTATAGAGAAATTATAAATTTCACACCCCCAGGTTTGGTTTCTGCAAAGATTGGGAGCAGAGGAGGCCTTGAAGCTATGTTAGGTAAATCATACACTGTCCCCACTTCAATTGCAGCAATGCTACATAGACTGCTCGTCACTCCAAATGAGTCGTCAGAACACATAGCACCTTCTGATGACTAAAGACCCACTGGCCAATTAGAAAATTAAGTCAGAATAAAGAAAACTGATTAAAGGTGCCTCAAGAATGAGAACTTGTGAGTGTTCTGTTTAAGCTAAATTACTCTGGCAAAGTGATAGCACTAGAATTTCATGGTTTTTAAAATCACCATTCATAAATCAAAATAATAAAGATCTTTAACTGAAGAATATCCAAGGATTGGCACTATGGAAATTTTCTCTCATATATCAATCCTAAAAGGTAGGATGCATTACTGCCCAGTGCCTGTTAAATTAAGAGAAAAAAAACAAACCTTGATTTTGCTATAGATACTTTGACTCATCATTTTTGGAGGGTTAAAACTCAGAAGGGACTCAAGAGATTTTGTCTTTATATGATCTTAATATTACCAAAATAATTGAAAGGAAAATTTTTATTTCAAAAACAAGAGTCAAAATGTTCATATACTATTTCACTGAAGTTACAGGGATTCTCTTAGAATAAACCAGAAAAACAGAGTGCCACAGAGTGCCAGTCAGTAATCTAAAAGAGTTGCATGAAGATTTTTACTTTTACACTGAATATTTGAAAATTCATTTTGCTGAACTAAGTAACTGGTTTCCTGGTTTGCTCCCTGAGCTGAGCTCCCCTCCCTGTCCCTTCTGGATGAAAGTCAAAGGGTGGAGGTAGGGATCAACCTAATAATGCATAGCCATCATAATTCTTTGCCATCTGGAATACTCTTTTCCCATAGGAAAGCAGTGTTTCTAGTATCTATGCCTAAGAAATATAATTTCAAAGAGCTTTGGGCCACACCTGGAATTGCACACATTGGTGATCCAGAGATCAACCTCCATCTGGATGGAGTCATAAGGCCATGTTTCTAGCACTTCCCTTCAAAATGACACAGCAGAAAAACTGTTTTCTCTCACCATCTCTCACAAAGGCATAAAAGAGTCTAGAACCAATATGGAAGCAATAATTTCACATAAAACTGAAAGACAACATTGCACAGTGGTTAAAATTAGATTCATAGATTCTGAGGAAGATGGACTGAGTTTTAATTTGGCTTGAAAACTCACTAGCCATGAAGTCTCTGTGCCTTAGCTGCCTCATCTATAAAATGAAAGTAATGATAATACCACCTCATTATAAGGATTATATGAGTTAACATTTGTAAGACATTTATTAATAGAATAGGACCTGACATGTGGCAACTGCTATATATGATAAATTAAAAACTAAAAGTAAGCCTTATTGTTAAAAAGCTAGTGCTTAAGTAATTAACATGTTATTGCATATATCCCAATTACAGTAAGGCTATCCATGGTTACCTTGCTTGATTTAAGAACTTTAATTTGTTCTTCAAAAACAGTGTCTTTATTCTTTTCAAGAAAGCCTTCACATTGGTATTCCACCTGAAAACACAAGGAAAAATCTCCTTAACTGATAAAACTTTTCAGTAGATCTCATCATCATCAACAACAAATTTATTAGGATCAAGCTATATGATCAGCTCTCATTAAAGAGGTATCATCAGTCTTTTCTAAGAAACCAGTACCACTCCCGGTAAGAAGTGTGTTAGCTCTAGAGTAAAACACTCCCAACATTGTTTTTCCCAGGGAACAATGATAGTGCAGAGTATTTGTGGCCTAAAAGATCCTCCCAATTCATAGGTAAACAGACTCATGGAAATAAATGCTCTTTTCTCATCTCATAAAATTGGCCATAAAGAGCTCCTCCAAGGCTGACTCCACGTATTTCCTTAAAATGAACCTCAGGAAGCTTACCCTACAACCTTCTTGAAATATAAATTAGTCTCATGGCTCCTGATTTGCTAAGTAGACTACAGAACTTACGAAGCAGCAAGACAGCATGCCTTGTTAGAAGGGACCCAGTGAATCGCTCACAGAGGATGTGATGCAAGTCCACAATCTCTACTCTGAAACCCTTGAGATCAGCTATGCTTTAGAATGCAAAATTTTTCAGGCATTTAGAGATTCACTATGTTTTAATACCTCCACCAGGGTCTAAGACAGCAATCTATAGCCACATTAATATGTATACACTGAAATATGTAAATATCTAGCCTAACTAGGATAAAGAAAGACTACAAATAATCTTATGTTATAATAATTCAGATCAGAGATTAGGTTTAGCCATTAATTGAAGTATAAAAAGACTTAGTTTTTAGAGTTTCCTGGATTTAAGAAATACCGATGGATATTACAGAGCCATATTTATTTTGTATATCATTCAATTTAGGTAAAAGAAAGAGAAAATTAAAGAGTGCTTTTTCTATATGGTCCTAAAGAATGGAAGCATCAGCAAAATAATAATAATAATAATAATAATAATACCTCTTTTTAGTTCATGGAGAGTTTTAGTGTAAAGGGATACTGGATTTTATTGAGCTTTTCTTGCATCTATTGAGATGATCATATGGCTTTTGTTTTTATTAATGATTCTGTTTAGGCAGTGAATCACATTTACAGACTCGCATATGTTGAACAATCCTAGCATCCCTGGGATAAAACTCAACTTGATTGTGGTGCATTTGGTTTACTAATATTTTGTTGAGGATTTCTGCACCTATATTCATCAGGGATATTAGTTTATATATCAGGTGTCCTCAAACTATGGCCCCGTGTAGCCTGCTGGGTGTTTTTGCCGTAGTCGTTGCCTGTTCTGCTTAGCAGTTGACTGCTCCCAGGCCCACAGTGCGCATGTGTGGAATATGCGCATGTGTGGAATGTGCGCCGCACCCTCCAACAGTCTGAGGGACAGTGAACTGGCCCCCTGTTAAAAAGTTTGAGGACCGCTGGTCTATAGTTTTCTTTTATTGCTGCATACTTTCCTGCCTTTCGTATCAGGGTGATATTGGCTTTTAGAATGAATTAGGGAGGTATTCCATCCTTGATCTTTTGGAAAAGTTTCAGTAGGATTGGTACCAGTTCTTTGAACATCTGATAGAATTCAGCTATGAACCCATCTGGTCCTCAGCTTTTTTTCGTTAGGCAATATTTTATTACTGACTCAATCTCACTATACATTATTGGTCTGTTCAGGATATCTATTTCTTCCTGATTCAAGCTTGGGAGGTTATGTTTCCAAAGACGAGGACAGGCTCCAGCCCTGACTTGCATGACGGAGGGGTTGGGGAACTGGGACGCTGCACCAGCTCCACATCTTGGGCTGGCAGGGACACAATCTGCTTCTCTATCATGACCCTGTCCCAGGGCTCGTGACTCTCAGTTCAGTCAGACACGGTCATCTATCTCCAGGCCCCAGTGTTGCTGAGAGTTGCAAAAAATGTCTTCCTCTCTCCAACTTAATGGTTTTGAGGCAGAACCTCTTTCCTCAACCCAAAAAAGACAGCTTTGTGGCTCGCTTGTTCTCTGTGGAGAACACTGCTGTTCTGTGTAGAGAGGCAGAGGAGCCCTGCTTTTTGGTGCATCCAGGTGAGTACATGCTGTGGTGTTGCTGGTAATTTTGGTTAGCCTGACCTCAAATCTCTGGAGGAGTGTTCAGGTGCTGGCAGTGATGGACTAGGTTAGGTAATCCCCAATCCCCAAGCCCCTAGACAGTGTGCTGTGGGGTCCTGTGGGGACCTGACCAGGACTGAGCTGGCAACCTTGTGCTCAGGCCCCCCTGTGATAGGGAGACACAGGGTGATCCCTTGGTTGCTGGTAGAATGCTCAAGCCAGGGCAGGGTAGGTGTGCTACAGGCCTAACACCAGGGAGAGTTGGTCCCTCTCAGTGGGATTAGTGGGTGGCAGTACAGAGCATATAGGATATAGACCTCTGGAGACTGGCTCCTAGAATGGTACTACCAGGCTGCAGCCGGAATGCTCAAGCGGGAACAGGGTATTGGTACCTTAGGCCTACCACCAGGGAGAGTGGGCTCCTCTCAGTGGAGGCAGGCCACTGTGGGGTGCATGATCTTCTCCTACCTCTTTCCCTAAGCAGTAGCAGTGGTCTCTGTTCTTGGGGCACACAAAAACACCTGATTCTTAGTTCTCTCCTGGTCTGGTGGTGGCAGTGATGGGGGATCAAACTGCTGGGGCTGGGCTCCTAGAATGGCTGTTGGCCTCAGCAGGAATGCTCAGATGGGAGAAGGGCAGCTGTTCCAGGAACGTGCCACCAGGGAGGGCAGCTTCCTCTCAGTAAAGGCAAACTACTGTGAGGCTTGCACGTGCCTCCCTCAGCAGTGACAGTGATATCTGTCCTAGAGGCATATGAAAGTGCTCAACCTCCCCGCTCCCTCAGGGGCCCTGCTGCTGTGGCAGCAATGGTAGAGGGCCCTGAGCAGGACAGAGACCTCTAGGATCTGGGCTGTCTGAATAACACAGGGCTCAAAAGCCTGTGTGACTGCATGTGAGTTTGAGCAATGCTTCTGTGCACTCTCTAGGCAGCTCCTTGCATTAGGCTGGGGGCCGGAGAGGGTCTAAGGGCTCCCTATAGCTGGGATTTTAAAAGTCCCTGACATGAGTGTGGAACCCCAGGGATCTCTTACTCATGCTTTTCCCACATCAGGGAGCTTCTCCCATTTTTCCTTCTATCCTGGCTGAGCAGACTGTGTAACTTCCCACTCCTCTGCTTTCCCAATTCCTGTCACTTCCCTGTTGAATTCCAGTGTTCTCTCTTAGACTACCTATTTGAAATGTGAATATCCACTCACTAACTTTGATTCCTCTCTGTGGGAGAGGGATACACTGGTTGTTTCTAGTTGTATCTAGCCATCTTCAACTGGGGCCCCTATACCTCTTGACTGTTGAATTTTTTGCACATTTAACTTAAATATTCAAAAAGAAAACAAGATATAAAGCTTCCTTACTTTGTCAGCAAAATGTTGGATGATGAAAGCTTTGTTTGATAGACGAGGCTTTTCAAAGAGAGCACATTTGTTCAAATGTGTGTTGTACAATTTTTGGGCCCAAGTGTCATCTGTACCCTTAGGCATCTACATTCAGCGAAAAAAGAAAGAAAGAAAACAAGGTGAATACTGAAAATCTTCTAATGTATCAGCTGCAAAGAGACCATTTTTTGGAATTACCTAAAAACATTTATATTCAATTTAGGAACTCATTCTTTCCAAATTTCTTTCTTACAGGCCAAAACCCAATTACTAGTGAAGAGTATGACTGAGACTTTTCCATGGTGATACAGTCCAGTCTGTGAGCAACTCAATCTCCCTATTCCAGGAATCATCAAATAAACATTTGATCTGCTTTTAAAACAACAAAAACCTCACACAATAAGATAAAATATCATGGCTATTATGTATGTTCTTAAAATTTTGTTAAATAAAGGTAAAATTTACACATAGTGAAATATTTATGTGATTCAGAAAGGTATAAAATTGAGAGTGGTTTCCTCTTGCCATTTCCTCTAACTTCATTATCTCTTTCTGTCTTTTAAGGCATGTACATGAATGGGATTGTACTATGTACTCCTTAATTTTTTGCTCCTTCTTTTTTTTTTTTTTGAGACAGAGTCTCGCTTTGTTGCTAGCTAGAGTGAGTGCCGTGGCATCAGCCTAGCTCACGGCAACCTCAAACTCCTGGGCTCAAGCAATCCTTCTGTCTCAGCCTCCCAAGTAGCTGGGACTACAGGCATGTGCCACCATGCCTGGTTAATTTTTCTATATATATATATATTATTGCCAATTAGTTTCTTTCTTTTTTATAGTAGAGAGACGGGGTGTCACTCTTGCTCAGGCTGGTTTCGAACTCCGACTTCGAGCAACTCCGCCGCCTCGCCTCCCAGAGAGCTAGGATTACAGGCGTGAGCCACCGCGCCCGGCCTCCTTCTTAATAATAGCATTCTCTTATTTATGGCTGCTAGGTTGTTAATGATTTTTTATTACAACAATAGTCACAGCTTTCTTCTTACATATATATGTGTGTGTATATATATACACACACACACCTTGGATACTTTTGTAAGTACATTCATAGGCTGAATTCTCAGCACTTCCACTCCTGGGAGAAAAGGTATTATGTATTTACAATTATGATAAATGGTGTCAAATTTCCTATAAAATATGTTGTAGGAATTCACGCCCTTCATCAAGGGTATATGTGCAACATTCATTTATTTAGTATTGCAAATGAAAGGTAGTCAAGTTTAAACTCACCTATTCGTTTTGAGACAAGGTCCCACTCTACTGCCCAGGCTCGAGTGCAGTGGAGTCATCATAGCTCACTGCAGCCTTGCACTCCTGGGCTCAAGTAATCCTCTTGCTTTAGTCTCCCAAGTAGCTGGGACTATAGGTGAGCACCACCATGCCCCGTGAATATTTTTTTAATTTTTAAAAAATATTTTGTAGAGACAAGGTCTTGGTATGTTGCCCAGGCTAGTCTCGAACTCCTGGCCTCAAGAGATCCTACTGCCTCAGTCTCCCAAAATGCTGTGATCATAGGCATGAGCCACCATGCCCAGCATTAAAATGCCTATTTGATGGGCAATAAGCAGTATATCATTTTTGCTTTGCTTTGCATTTTTTAAAATCTCAAGTGAGGCTGAGTACCTTTGCATTACATGCATCCTTAATGTGGTAGAATGTCTGGATGCTTAGGAGGATCAATCTGTGGTTAAGTTGTAACTTATTGCATATAAACTAAAAGGAAATTAAAAGAAAGGATAAGTTTTCCTAATATCACTCAGTTAGTGGTAAAGCTGGGGATTCAATATTTTTCCCAACATGCTGCATCTTCAAATGCATCCTTATCATATGTCAGTAATAAAAAACAACTATTAATCGAAATAGTTCTTTTTGCTCAATTTCTTGCAAGTCTTTAAATCTATCACTGAACAAAAAGTACTACATATAAGCAAATTAGTAATAAATGTGGCTAAAATTGGTAGTAACTGTATCTAATGTCAAATTTTCATAGACTTTTACAATCAGCTGAAAAGAGAGGGGAAATTCTCCTAGTTTCACTTGTAATTAGAATGCCTAGAGTCTAGCATCCCTTCAGAATGAAAGTATCGTGACCCATCCCCCATTGTTGCTACAATGGCATCTTATGATATACTAATGAATTTCTGCTTGAATCCACTTATCTGCTGACCTTGATACATTTGTTTTGATAGACTACATACCCCAGAAAATCATATTTACCTTGCACTCCTCATCCAGCAAATCTAGAATGCCCAGTTTAGATTCTATAAGATTAATACAAGGCTGATTATCATAAAAATCTATGAGTGTCCATGGAATTTGTTCCTTCATATATTCTTCTTGTTCTAATTTGAAGACATGCTGAAATGAGAAAGAAAAAAGCAATCATTACTTGATCATTATAATAAAGAATGTAGTCAAAAAGCAGTATTTATAAGAAACACTAAGATGATACCAACATAATTTGAGATAGTCCATGGCTTCCAGCAATAACAATCTCATGGGAGAAGCATGATTTACACAGAGAATGCAAATAAAAGCCACAGACAGTAAAACCTCAGCTATACAGGATTCTTAGTGAACAAGTAAATCTAGGTATGTAAATGTTTTAAATAGCTGACAAATGGGCCAGGCATGGTGGCTTAGGCATGTAATCCCAGCACTTTGGGAGGCTATGGTGGTAGGATCATTTGAGGCCAGGAGTTTGAGACCAGCCTGGGTAACATGGCAAGACTCTGTCTCTACAAAAAATTTCAAAATTACCCAGGCATGGTGGTATAGCCTGTAGTCCTAGTTATACTCAGGAGCCTGAGATGGGAGGATTGCTTAAGCCCAGGAGTTTGAGGCTGTAGTGAGCTATGATAGTGTCACTGCATTCCAGCCTGGGCAACAGAGTGGGACCCTATCTCAAAATTTGATAATAGTTGGTCTTTTGTGTCTGCCTTGATTATTCTCTACAGTCAGGGAATCTATGGCTCAGTTTTCTGGATTCTACATCCAATTCTGCAAGCAGCTGCAACCACTACCAGTCAATTGCTATTTCTGCTAAAGGCTTTGGCCACCATCCTCACCATTGCTTCTCATGTCCATTCACTCATTTAAGCAAAAATATGTATTGATTACATACTATGAGCCAGTCACTGCCAGTTGGTCAACAACATAGATTCGGACACTGCCCTCATGGAGTTTGGAGACGAAGGGAGAAGCAGACAGAAAAAAATAACTACAAGTTATAATAATATGATAAAGAAAAATAATGTGAGCTATGAGAATACGGGTCCTCATCTACTTTGGATATAGGCTGGTCAGGGTAGGCTTCCCTGGGGAAGGCGGTATGACCTGAGATCTGAAGATGAATGGGAGCCAAACTAGCCCAAATGGGAAGGGCAATCCAACCACTGCCCGGTTCCTGCTTCAAGGCACTGTCCAGCCAGTGCAACTGACACCACGACTTCTAGTCTCTACAGATGCTAATGACCACTACTTTCCTTTACTTGTCTCTTTTGTCTCCTTTGGTTCTCTTATACATATTACTGTTTTTCTAGGAAGACTAGCCTTTTGTGGCTATAATCAGACAACCCATATAGGACCTCATGCCCCATGAAATTTCTGTGCTACTAGATTTCCAACGCATACTTTCCTCACGCACCTGGAACTTTCCCACTTTATACTATGCTTACTGTGATATCACTCTTGGCTCATTGGCAGTATTTACAGTCTAATCTGCTATAATATGCTTTAGTAGAAAAAGGTCATCTATATGAGTATTTATGTCATACTAGTTAGAAAGAAAATTTCTTCTGTTCTTTTGATTAATGAGAAGGCAAATAGGGCACCATATGTCAGGAGGATGCCTTGACTGATGGTACCAATATCTTCCAAAAACAATGAGCTGTGTCATTTTTAAAAATTTCATTAATTTATATGCAGTCTCCACAGACAACAGAAGCACTGTTCTTGTCTTTATAAATAGGGCTTATTTCTCACACCATCTCTATATCTAGTTTGGAAAGTTCATGGGGTCTCAAAAATTTTGGCTGTTCAATGGTCAAAGAATATAGGCATAAGGTTCAATATGGCAAGGGATCCTTGGTCAATACACCAAAGCTTCCAAAAAGTAAACATGCCTATCCCAGTGCTTCTCATGCCAATACACCCAACCTACAGCCCTAGAGCAGGGAGCAGCCCCATGCAGCCATGTTCTTTACTGTGGGACCCACATTCCTAGTCATAGCTGACTGATGGCCAGAGATGTCTGATGAAAAAATGAACTGGGTTAATCAGCTTCTGTCTCTGTCTCTCGCTCTCTCTCAGGTATCTGAATTGGGAAACAAAGAAATAATGAGGCAATTAGCAGTGGGAGCTGATGCTGAAAGAAGCCAAAATGAATGGGGCCTAAGCAAATTAAGAGGACCAGAAGAGCGTTCCAACCACTGCTGGGTTCACAGGTAGTTTGAAGTGAGTGAGGAAGCAGAAACCTGCAGGTAGAGAAAATATATACCTATGAGAAGGAAAGAATATGTCATCTGATGGAAAAAGGGAGTGGAGTAGTTGTGCAGAGAAGCAAAGATGCACTATGAGGGTAGAGAAGTGTGTGAAGACAGAGAGAAAGAAAAACAAGTGGATAGAGAGAGGAAGCAGGAAAGAGAAGGAAAAACACATGCAGAGACAGTGAGGCCCCTAAGAAATAAACCAGCCAGTTCCTGAAGTGGCTGGCATTGGTTCCTCATATTTCCAGTCACCTCATGCTGAAATATACTAGGGAAGTGTAGAAGGCTGTGGCATTGAATAAAGTATTAAGAAATTCAGAAAAACCTTGAGAAATGATAATGCTAAGTTGGGTTTCTGATAGGTTTTTATAGTGTTCCTTACACAGAGGTCAAATATACACCGATCATATTATGGAAACTGTCATAAGTCTAAGGTTTTAAGAGCACCTCTACATTATTTCACTGTGATAAACAGCTTAATTTGCTTAAATAAAGATGGCTCAAGTTTTTTCAAAGTATATGCAATATTTTAAAAAATCAAGCAGTCTAAAAGGTTTTATAATGACAAGCAAAAATCTCTTGTCCCATCTCTCTCCAACCCCAGTCTCATTTCCTAGAGGCAGCCATTTTTAATTCCCTTAGCTATTGCTTCTGATATTCATCTATGTATTTCTAAAGAATATGCTTATCTGCTACTTTCTCTTTTTACTTTTTCTCTTTTTTATCTTATTTATTCCACATATAATCATTCCCAGTACTTTCTGATTTCAATTTGAAAGATTATCTATTGATTTTGTGATAAGATAAATGAGGCTAAATTTACACACATCACCTCCCCACTGCTTCTCTGTTATTTTCCCAATATTACCATTTTCAGATTCTCTTTTGGTTTTTATCAATTTTGACACTTTGTCTTTAAATTTCTATTTTTCATTCATCAACTATAGACAATGCTACTTGACCTCTTTCTTTATAAGATGAGGATATTAAGGGCACCCTTCCTGCTCTTCAGCTCTCTTCTATCTTCCAATTCCTATGGTGACTCATTTTTAATATCTTCTTCCATCAATACTAATAATAACTACCCTCAATCTTGCACTTAGAACTGTGCCTAGCACATGATGAGCACTTGACATATCCCAATTCATTTAATCCATAAAACTATATGCAGTAGGAACAATTATCATCTCCATTTTATAGCTGAGGAAGCTAAGACCTAGAAGTCAATTAACTTGCCCAAGGTTTCCTGGAAACCAATACAGAGCAGATTCCAACCCAGGGAGTTCATTTATGGAGTCTGTGCCTTTTACTACTACCGTCTGTTGCCCCTCCTTTTTAAGTACCTGCACACCTTCCATCATGATCATTCTCTAAGATATTTAATATTACTACTTCATGAGAGCTACTAAAATATTCCCATGCCATTGTCTCAGTGAATGTCCCCGGTTGTTGAAAACAGAATATCTAAAGTTCTGGTTTTTAGTTCTGACATCTTGCTAATACAGCAAATAGGGAGTTAAAATAGTCCTAACTCCACAGAATAACAAACTGAAGGATATCCCTAGGCCCAAATGATCATACTCCCTATGCTACTACCTAACGTACTTCCTGCTTCTCTAAATTTATTTTCATAATTATCAGACAGTAATCCAAGGATGACCTTGAATTTCACCTGGACCATAAAAAATTTTTCTAATATTACATCCTTTTATTAATCATCAGTTCGCTGGCAATTTAGCTTTTCTAAACCCCATGAAATAATTATAATTCACAATTTCATTTCAGAAACCAGGCTTTAAACAAAGAATAGGAACTCAAGAAAATAATTTATAACAGAATATTATTCAAGGAAGAAAATTCTTACCATATTGAATTGTTGCTGTAGTTTTTCATTTGCATAATTTATGCAAAACTGTTCAAAACTATTTATCTCAAATGTTTCAAATCTGTGATAGCAAAAAATAACATGGGAAGGGAAAAAAAGGAACAAACAGCTTTTTAAAAATATTCAACACGTTCATATCAGGATGAAAGAAATGGGAAATCCCCCAGCATTGTGAAATTTTCTTTCTATATCAGTGAAGACAAAGGTTTGTTTTTTTTTTTAAATTTTTAATTTAATTTTATTATTTTTATAGATTATGGGGATACAATTGCAGTTTTGTTACATGGATATATTTTGTAGTGATGAAGTCTGGGCTTTTTGTGTAACCATCACCCTAACAGTGTATACTGTACCCATTAGGTAATTTCTCACCCCACACCCTCAGCCCCAAGTCTCCAATGTCTAATATTCACTCTCTATGTCCATATGTACATATTACTTAGCTCCCACTTATAAGAAAGAACATGTGGTATTTATTTGACTTTCTGTTTCTGAACCATGTCACTTAAGATAATGGCCTCCAGTTTCATCCATGTTGCTGCAAGAGACATGACTTCATTCTTTTTTACGGCTGAGTAATATTCTATAGTGTGTGTGTGTGTGTGTGTGTGTGTGTGTGTGTGTACACATTTTCTTTATCCACTCATCCACTGATGGACACTTAGGTTGATTTCATAGAAGATAAAGGTTTACAAGTCAGCAACATGGAATATGTACCCAGCAGGTGAGCATCAGCCAACCACAGAGAGGTTATTTTTTTTTAAGCCCCCGGCATGCAGAGATGTTCAACACTATGAGTTTTAGAGGACTCATCCACCCTCAATGGGGATAACAGAATTATTATACAGCCACATACATAGAAGGGAAATAGAAATAGAGATCTCATAGGTTCTTTCAAAAAGCTGAACCAGAAAATGAAAAATTAGGTATCAAATAAGCACAGATGTGCAAGAAGGGTTTTACCAGTTAAAGAAAGGTACTCAGGGAAGGCAAACTAGCAAATTAAATCAGATACTTAGAAATTCAGTGATAATTTACCATGTGAGAGTCTGAAAACCAATAATTCCACCCGCTGGCTTGGTAAATTAGCTCCAAATTTGAACTAATTTTTTTTTAAGTTACATTTTAAGCAATGTGGCCTTGTTTCATCATTAAGTTACTCTTGAACTGTCATAGGCAGGGTTTCTCTTCTCTTTACCAGAAGGAGACAGAATCTAATACCCACTTAAGGGTTACTAGATACGTCCTAGAAAGAAATGCTCTCTGGGAGACCAGTAAGCTAAATACACTTACCCATAAATGTCCAGTACACCAATAAAAGAGTGCTGTTTGACAGCAGAATGGAGGGCCTGATTGACATGATCCACAATCCAGTTAAAGAGCTTGGCATAGATGTGCTTGGCCAAAGCATCACGGGCATTTGTGGCCTGCAGCTTGGAGATGGGCTTGATGTATGTCTCTGTGGCAGTAGCCAGCTTCCGATGGCAGAGCCAGTGACACATCTCCTCGTAGTCCACGCCCATGAGGTCACAGAAAATGGTGAGAGGTTCATGCCTGGGCTATCAAAAGAGAATGGGTTATTTCCTATGACCAGATAAATCAAATAAGAATTTCCTGGAAAATGTTAACAAAGAGCTAACAAATAAAACTCAGCAATTTCTTTGTTATAATAAACACCAAGATCACTCAAAGTGGATTAGTGATAATAACCACATTCATCCATCAAACCAGCATCTAGATAGCATTTTGCAATCTCTTCTAGGACTCATTTCAAAAATTACCTCTTCATTGACTCTTTATAGTATTTGTATCTCTTAGGGAGCCTTCATTTAGTCAATCAGAAAATCAGTCAGCTAATCAACAAACATTTACTGAGTGCCTATTATGTGCCAGAAAACAAAAACAGACATGGTCTCTGCCCTCCTAGAGTTTATAGTCACTAGGGGAAATGGATATTAATCAAATTACTGCTCCCTAAAACATAGACTACCACAAAGAAGGACACTATGCTCAGAGTCCATTTGAGAGGAGTGTGGTCTATCCAGGCAGGCAGGAGAAAGTTGCCTTGAGAAATGGAATTGACAACTAAAGGAACTGAGGGTAATAACTGGGTAAAAGAGGAAGGAAAGGGTAGGGTTTTCCAAGCCCAGGAAACAGCTGTAAAAAGTTCTGTGGTGGAAGGGAAACCATCAGTAGGAGGAATGGAAACTGAGTGAGGAAGAAAATGTGTAAGATAAAGCCACAGAGACAGGCAGAGACTACACCATGACTGGTCTTTATCCTTAGAACAGTGGGAGGCCACTGAAGGGTTTTAAACTTGATAGTTATTTATGAGACTTCTTAGAGTCTCTTCAATGACTTACATATCCCTGTATCCCCTAGAATGTCTTCCATCAGCCTTGCATGAGTAGGTATTCAATAAATACTTGTTTAATTTAATCCATGTTAGTGAATTTTATTTTTCAACATCTTCACTTATATGTATTAATATCTATTAAATCTGATAACATTCTTGGGGAATAGGCAGGGTGAACATTTTCATCTCTAATTGATAAATGAGGAAACAGAATCCAAGAGAACAAATAGCTTGTTAAAAATCACATGGCCAATTGATGTCAGAGTTGCCATGGGATCCTGGGTCTCCTGACTTTCTCATCCCTGACCCTTCTCATTTAAACAGCCCTTCCTTCTTTCCTCCCAAGTAATCACTTCAGATACAAATCAGCATTGCTGCTAACAGCCTGGCTCAATTTCTTTAAATAAGCAGCTATGTATATACATTTTAAATGCACTATATATATATATATGTATATATGATCTGACATTATTGAGAAGTAGATCAGCACTCTGTAAACATTCTATTTGAAAGTTGTTACCATATTATTCTATTAGATCGAGATTGTTAACCATTTGGTCCAAATTTTCTATAACTTTACTCATTTTTAGACTACTTCACCTATAAAAATTGAGAAAAGTCGATGATTTCCCACTATGATAGATTTGTCTATTTGTTCCTGTGGTTTCTGGTGATTTTTGTTTATATATTTTGAGGCTATGTCATTAAGTGCATACAAGTTTAGAACTATCACATCTTCCTTGTGAACAAAATGTTTATCATTACAAAGTGACTCTGATTCCCTCTAGTACTGCTTCTGGCCTCAAAATCTATTTTGTTTGATATCAATATATAATAGCTCTGCCAGTTTTGTTCTACCTAGTATGCTTTGTCTTTTCTAAACCTTTTCTTTTCAAACATTCTGCACCTCTATGTTTTAGGAATACTTCTTTCAAAAGTGCATATTTGAACTTTTTAAATAGTCTAACAATCCATGTCTTTTAATCAGAGCATTTAGTTCATTTTTAATTATCTATCTGTTGTGCTTTTATTTGTCCCACCTTTTCTAAGTTTCTTTTTCTACCCCTTTCTTGCTATATTTGGATTTTTTCAGTTCATTTTCCTCCCTACTAGTTTGAAAGATTTACTTTCTGTTACTATTTTTATAATAGAAGCATTAACTTACATAATTAACAAAATATAATTAAATAAGTGACAAAATGTAATTAAATGTAATTAAAGAAGTAATTAAAAATGTAATAAAATAACTAACTCCAAATACCCTATCCCAATGTGCAATGTATGTGTTTTGTTATCTAATACTTTAGTTTTATCTTTTTGTGGGAGGTGGGGGAGTAGGCAATTCACCTTATTTTCTTTAATTTCTTATTTTTAACTAATTTAAACTACGAGAAAAGTTAAATATTTGCTTTTCTCTTCTCCCTCACTCTTTTACAACATAAACATACACATTATTTTTTCAGAATACTTTGATAGCAAATTGTAAACACAATGCCCCTTTGACCCTAAATATTTCAGTGTGCATTTCCTAAAAACCAAGGACATTATCTTACATAACCACAGTATAATGAACAAAATCAGAAAATTGGCAACAAAACAACCCTATTATCTAACTTGCATATCTAATTCAATGTTTTCCAATTGGCCTACTAATGTCTTCTGTGGAAAAAGAAAACAAATTTATAGTCCAGGAAAAAATCCAGGATCATGCATTAAATTTAGTTATCATGTCTCATAAGACTCATTTAATATGAACAGTTCATGCCTTTCTGTCTTTCATAACCTTGGCATTTTTGAAGAGTCTCTCAATTTGGGTCTGTTGATGTTGCCTCATGATTAGATTCGGGTTATACCTTTGATGTTGCACTCTCCTTGGTGCATCATATCAGAAGTTATGTGATATTCATTGGTCCCATTACTGGTAACGTCAATTGTGATCACATGCTTAAGGGAATGTCTCCCAGGTCTCTCTACTGTAAAGATAACTATCTTTCCCTTTGTAATTAATCTTGTGGGGAATTCTATCTTTTCCCAGCATAATACACTATTCATTATTTTATTATTTTTTTTGAAGAGATGGAGTCTCATTCTATCCCCTAGGCTGGAGTGTAGTGGCGCAACTGTAGCTCACTGTAGCCTTGAATGTCTGGGCTCAAGCGATCCTTGGACCTTAACCTCCTGAGTAGTGGGGACTATAATAACATGTAACCATGCCTTGGCTTATTTTTCTAACTTTTTTAGAGACATGGTCTCACCATGTTGCCCAGGCTAGTCTTGAACCCTGGCCTCAAGCAATCCTCCTGCTTCAGCCTCCCAAGTCTCTGGGATTACAGGAAAGAGCCACCATCCCTGGTACTATTCGTTATTATCATTATTATTATTTTGATTAATCAAATTTTATCTATATTTGGTCATATTTTATTAGTTTCTTATTTCATCATTTCTTCTTGAATCTTAGATTTTCTTTCTTATTGCCTAAACTATATCCTTTAATATTTCCTTTAGTGAGGGCCAATTGGTAACAGATTCTCACAAATTTTTATTTGTTTGAAAATGCTTCTATTTTTTCCTCATTCTAGAAAAATATTTTATTTTTTAAAGTATTTTAATTTAAATATTTTAAATTTTTAAAAATATTAAAAAATATTTTAATATACGATTCTAACTAAATAGTTTCTACTCTAAGTATATTGAAGGTACTATCCCACTGTTTTCTGGCTCCTACTGTTATAGTTGAGAAGTGAACTATCAGATTAATTGATATTTCTTCAAGAGAAATCTGTCTTACCTCTGTTTTAAGATTTTTCTCTCTGTCTTTGGTATCATTATGATGTGCTTAGGGCTGGATTTCTTTTTATTTATGCTAACTGGGATTTTTTGGACTTTCTAAATCTATGGTTTAGTCATTTTCACAAGTTCTAAAGTTTCTTAGTCATTATCTCTTTGAATAGTATGTCTGCCTCATTCTCTTTCTTCTCTCCTTTAGGAATTCTCATTAGATTAAAGTCAGACTTTAGTACTTTATCCTTCATCTCTCTTAACTATCTCTGGTCCTATCCTGCATTTTGGATAATTTTTTCACATCTATCTTCTAGCTCATCTGTTTTCTCTTTAATTGTGTCAAATCTGCTGTTAACTTCTTTTGGCCTTCTTAGTAGGCCTGTGTTTTGCTATTGTTTCTCCTAGCTCCTTCTATTTTGTTTTATTTTATTTTATTTTTATTTTTCTCCATTTTGTTTTATTGTAAGACTTGTGATTTTTTACTGTGAGCCAATATTTCTTTTGTTTTTAATTTAAAAAATTAAGGAGGTAGAAATGTTTTTGATACATAGATACCTTATATAATGCTTAATTAAGTTGGGGCTTTTAGTGTGCCCATCACCAGAATAGTGTTCACTGTACCCAATAGGTACATTTTTACCATTCACCCCACCTCCACCCTTCCCCTTTCTTGGGTTCCAATGTCCTTTACATCTCTTTGTGCCTATCTATGCCCATCATTTATCAGTGAGCCAATATTTTCTATTACTTTTCCCATTGAGGCCTAGAATGAAGGTGTAGCCTCCAAAGTACATTTGCATTTGCTTCTGTCAGGCACCCAGGTCACTACCAGCCCATCATCAATTTAAGCTTAGTTTTCTGCATGTAGCTTTTTGGGACCTTCTAGGAACTATGTAATCAGGCTGGGAACATGTGTGAGAGTCAGTTTGTTGTTACAAATTTTTAGGAAACACTTAGCAACAAGTGTGGGTCAGATTAGCTTTTCTTTTTTTTTTTTTTTTTTTTTTTTTTTTGAGACAGAGTCTCATTTTGTTGCCCAGGCTAGAGTGAGTGCCGTGGCGTCAGCCTAGCTCACAGCAACCTCAAACTCCTAGGCTCAAGCGATCCTCCTGCCTCAGCCTCCCGAGTAGCTGGGACTACAGGCATGCGCCACCATGCCCGGCTAATTTTTTGTATATATTTTTAGTTGGCCAATTAATTTCTTTCCATTTATAGTAGAGACGGGGTCTTGCTCTTGCTCAGGCTGGTTTCGAACTCCTGACCTCGAGCAATCTGCCCACCTCAGCCTCCCAGAGAGCTAGGATTACAGGCGTGAGCCACCACGCCCGGCCAGATTAGCTTTTCTTTATATTCTTGAAGTGAGTTGTGGGCAAGTTTATTATTAGTTCCCCATGTAGGATCTCAGCTTAGGGAGGGGTTCTCCTTTGTGGTCCCCTTTTTATAGTCCTGTACTTTGCTGTTGTCTTCTGCACCCCACTTGGCTATGAAAACCAAACCTCAAAGTCATTAGGTTCAACAAATGTCCTCAAGGTGGGGTGGAACCATCAAAAACAGATGTTTTACCAACAACACTGAAAGCACATTTAATCTCTACCTACCTCAAATAGTGAAACTGAAGTACTATAATTATCATCAAATCAACAAAATGCTGATTACAAAAAAACAATCACAGAATTCTAAGAGGAACTTGATAGACATAACTTCTGGACAAGTCTCATAAGGTATAAGTATTCTTTCTCTAAGAAAATAACTCCTAGACATCTCAAGTAGGAAAGAGTACACTGAAATTTTAGGGAATACTCACAGTGAAATGATATACTTTTTAACATTAATGATGACTTTCTTGATCAGGAGAATCTTGACATTTGGGGAAAGTTCACATAGGCAAAGATGGTGATGTAGAAATCAATGAGTTTATTTTTTTAAAATCCATCCTATACAGTAATGTTCAGAGTAGCACTATTCATAATAGTCAAAAGATAAAACAACTCAAAAATCCATTAACTAATCAATGGATAAACAAAATATGGTATCTCCATATAATGGACTATTATTCAGACATAAAAAGGGGTAAAGCACTGATACATGCTACAACATGAGTGGATTTTAAAAGAAGCCAGTCACAAGAATATGTATGATTCAATTTACATGAAATGTCCAGAATAGGCAAATCTATAGTGGTAGAAAATAGATTCATGATTTTTCTGAAACTATGGGGCCTTGGAGAATGAGGGTATAAGGAAGCAATAAGTAAAGGGTATTGGGTGTCTTTGTGAGGAAATGAAAATATTTTAAATTGATTATGGTAATGGTTGCAGATATCTGCGAACATACTAAGAACCACTTAATCGTTCACTTTAAATGAGTATACTATGTAAATTATATCTCAACAAAGCTGTTTTTTTAAAAGGGTAGTGATATTTCATTAGAAAAAAATCAAAGTTTAAATCAGAATCATCATTTTGAAGGAGAAGAGGTTGGGTGAGGAGGGGAATCATGCATCTAAAATTAAGATCTATGGCTTAGGAAAATTACACACCAACTATCCATAAAGGAGTCCATGAGGATCAAGCTTTCTGTAAACCAAACAGATCTAGATCCTATCTAGATCTTGCCCCTTTGACTAACAGATAAATATTGAATAGAGTTCCTCTTCAAATCATAAAGTCATTTATTTGATATTATGCTTCACACATCCTATGTAGCACAAAACAACTATATCCAGAAAAGGCAGGGAATAAATTCTTTTCTTATAGGAGTGGATAATCTGTTTTTACAAAAGGGGCTATAGATCCAAAAAAGGCAAGCAAGAATAAGTTGAATAAAAACCATCTAAATTAAGCCCTTAAGCCGGGCGCGGTGGCTCACGCCTGTAATCCTAGCTCTCTGGAGAGCGGAGGCGGATGCTCGAGGTCAGGAGTTCAAAACCAGCCTGAGCAAGAGCGAAACCCCGTCTCTACTATAAATAGAAAGAAATTAATTGGCCAACTAATATATATAGAAAAAATTAGCCGGGCATGGTGGCGCATGCCTGTAGTCCCAGCCACTTGGGAGGCTGAGGCAGAAGGATTGCTTGAGCCCAGGAGTTTGAGGTTGCTGTGAGCTAGGCTGATGACACGGCACTCACTCTAGCCTGGGCAACAAAGTGAGACTCTGTCTCAAAAATAAATAAATAAATAAAGCCCTTAAGAATACTAAAATAAATAGTATGGCTCCATCCACAGGGATCTCAAATCCTAGTGGGTAAAGGCAAGCAAGAGAGACCTTTTCAGAACAATGTGATTTGAGCTACTATAAGGGAAAGCAGAAGAAGGAGCATACATCTAAGAACAGATGCTGCCAGATCTGCATGTTAGAAGTGCCTAAGAGCTAGCCAGGAAAGAAGAGCAATCAACCTACCCCAGCAGAGAGAATATGAACTAAGGCAGGAGAGAGAGGCAGCTTGGCGTGGAAATGGCTGGAGTGTGACGTGTGAGAAGCGATGAGAGAGAAGCTGAATAGGAAGTCAGGGGCGATCATGATGGGCCTCCCATGTCATGCCAAATAAGGTGTTGGGCCTGTTCCTGAAGGCAGTGGGAGTCCTGAAGGATTTAAGCAGGAGCATGATATATTCCTTCATAGCTCTAATTTTTATGCGTTTCTGATCTTGTAGAGCCATGTATGTCCTAGTCACTAATTTCATCTATCCATCTATCTCTCTGTCTCTCACATACATACATACATACACACACACAATCACTGTGTACCAGGGATTATAATCTGCATTTCTTTATTCTCAGTTCATGAGAATAATTCATAATAATTCTCAGTTCATGAAAATAAAAAAATAATTATCTTTCTGATAATGTTAACAGAGAGACAAACTATATTGCTACTATAAAGCATCTACAAAAATAAAACACAATTAAACTGCCATCCCACTCAGTTTGTTCTGAACTTACAGGTATTGTGCAGCTGTCTGAATCTCGAGATGTAAATCCAACATTTCCTAAGTGAAGAATGCCAGCAAGTATTCGGAAAATTCCCATTTGATAAGATTCACTAATTCCTGAAACAATAGATTAAATGAACAAGTAATTAATTTCAGGACAACAACTAAAAAATTATAGCAGACAATTTTAAGCCTATTGTTAATTCTTTTTTTTTTTTTGAGATGGAGTCTCAAATGCACCACCATGCCCGGCTAATTTTTTCTATATATATTAGTTGGCCAATTAATTTCTATTTATATAGTAGAGATGGGGTCTCGCTCTTGCTCAGGCTGGTTTCCAACTCCTGACCTCGAGCAATCCACCCGCCTCGGCCTCCCAGAGTGCTAGGATTACAGGCGTGAGCCACCGCGCCCGCCTGTTAATCCTTAAATATTGCCAAATGTTATGCTCATTATAATGTGTCACAGCTAACAACAGTACTTTCACCTTCGTTGACATTAACACATTAGGCAGTCATGGGCGATAGCCTGGTTGTTGAGTGTGACCAGTCTGGGCTGGATGTCTGTCTCTGCTACTGACCTACCAACTCACATGGACAGGTAACTTCACCCTTCTATTCCTCCATTTTCTCATTTGAGATATGGGAATAATAGTAAATACTTCAAAGGGTATTTTTGAGGATTAAATGAGTTAATGCACATAACACACTTAATACACTAATGACAAATGGTAAGTGCTACACAAATTATTGTCATCATTTCCACACATTGGACTTAAGTATTTTCTTAACATTATTACCATTTCTCTCTACTCCAAATGAAAGGTTGTTTTAAGTCAGATTATTTAATTACTTCTTTTAACTACACACCAAGTAGAAGTCAAAGATATCCCAAGATTAGAAGTGTTCAGGCTGGTATTGTGCCCCAGCCTGCTGAATGAGTGTCGAAACAGCATTACAGCCTTAGAGCAGAACCCGAAGGATGAGGCAAGATGAGAAGGCAGGATGGTCTTTGACTTGTATCAGATCTGGCTTCATTTTTTAATAAGGTAACAATTTCCAGAATATTATATATAATTATATGCAAATAGAAGTAGTAAAATTATTTCCAAATATGTAATCTTACACAGCATAGCTTAGAGTTGGCCTCATAATGAATGTTTTTGTCATCTCTGGCATTATGGCTTTTTCAAATTCACAATTTTCTATTTATAGATTTCACCCCAAAACTAATGTAGTGTTTTTCAAATTTTAATATGCATATGTATCACCAATAGATCTTCTTAAACTACAGAGTCTGGTTCAGTAGGTCTGAGAAAGGGTCTAAAGATTGTACATTCCTAGTAAGCCCCGTGGTCCTGATTAGCAAAGCTTTTAAGCTAAATTAACTCACCTAAGGGTACTTCTCAAAATACCAACATAGCATTTTAGAGTTATTTATATTCTGAGGTACTAAAAAACAAATTTGCCTTTAAAAGTTGTAGACTATAGTTCTAAAGATTAATTTATTCATATTAGGCCCAACATTTTGTAAGTCCCAGAAACAAGATAATGATATCTGACCTATTTCAAAAGTGTTGGAACTACATGTAATACAGTGTGCTGTTACCATGCCAACTCAGCCATATTTATCAGCTACAAAAAGCTCCCCCCACAAAACAAAACAAAAAACCCAAATCAAACCTACAAAATATGAACTTATACAGGAACTCATTTCATTTAGCTTTAGGATTGAGATTTTACAAAAATTTAAGAGTTACATTTAGTTCTACTTTCCCTGATGGCTCAAATATGTTTTTTGAAACACCTATATTGAAGGCTAATTTGCATAGTTTCCACTTATTTTAAGTGGGCAATTCAATGATTTTTAGTAAATTTACAAAGTTGTGCAACCATTACTATAATCTAATTTTAGAACAGTTTTGTCACCCCAAAAAAGATACTTTGTGCCCATTTGGTGTCTAAATGTGTTCTACATAGAATACTAAATCTCCCATCCATACTTACCATTAATACAAGACAAACCAATATTCTAAATAAAAGTTGCCAGAGTCAAAAAGCAATTCCTCATAAGAGCTCAAGAATAAAACTACATTACCCAGCAAAGTGCAGGCCTGCCTGGTGTGTGCCATCTCCTTTGCATCATCCACTCCTTCAATCACAGGACTGCCTCCTTGCATCGTATAATGAAAGTTATCTGCATTTTCTGCAATGAAGAAAAATAAAAGTTTTTTGGCCTATGAAAAAGCCTTGACTTCTCTTATGTACATTCTGAATTAAAAGTAGTGATAACACAGTTAAGTGTATAGGGTCTGGAGTCTGGCAGCCTGTGTTTTCAATTACATTTTAACGTAAAACAAAATTAAATAATAGAGTAAAATGTTTACAGTTTATCTATCTTAATTGGTGAAATGAATAGTCCTTTCCTAAAGGTTTTATTCCAATCTACATGTTAGAATAATTTCTTCAAACACTTTATTCCCTTCATCAGAAACACGGGCCTCCATCAGACAAACTCCTTTAATTTTTTTCTTTTAATCATGGCAAATTTCAAACATATACAAAAGTAGAGAGACTAATATAGTGAATCTCTATACATTTGCTCATCACCCATCTTAAACAAGATCTTAAACACTCATCTTAAATCATTTCAAGGCCATTCCTGTTCCATTTATATGGTTACTCACTCCTTCCCTACTCCCCCATAGGTTATTTTTTATAGCCACCTGCAGACTTTTATACATTTTATCCATAAATACTTCAGTATGAGATAAGCTCTTTTTTAACAAGTTTAGGAACTCAGAAATTAATGGAAAACAATACTAGCACAATGTATCTAATGTCATATTCATACCTAATCGCAGCATTTTAAATTCAGGTAACTTTGCTGAGGCACAAAGCTGATAGAAGATATGGTAGTTTCTCTCCTCTTCTGCCTTTGAAATGACAAGAGTTTTCAATTATAGCACTTTAATTTAAAACTCAAAAAAATCTAACATGAAAGAAAATTTTAATATTTAATTATCTTGGGGAAATAAATTGCCCTTTCCCAAATTTACTAATACTTATTTACAGTTATTCAACCCTATGATTTGTAGTCTATATGTATATACGTCAGTAGGTATGTGTTTGTAACACTCAACATAAAATATTTGACAACAATGCTTTTTGAACTAGTAAACAGCTTGATATATGGCCCCAGTCATAAGATATCAGTGCTTCTAGAGAAAGCTAAAACTCAATACTATTTTCTAATGGAACTTTTTCGATTCCTGGTCTTCCTAACACTTTGAAAAAGAATAATCCCATCTTTGTCATATTTTAGAGAGTACCATCTACCATGGTTGCTTGTAAAAAATCCATAAATGCAACTATATCCTCCATATCATTTTAGTTTATACATTTTAAAATCAATAACTATTTTATAAAATAGAAAATAAGTTATGTACAATTTTAAGGTCATTCTTTAGTATTTCCTAAAAGTCTTTTCCTATATTTGTATGTGTGTGTGTGTGTGTATATATATACATATATATACCTAAAAATTATAATTGCAATAATATTGTTCACATAAAACCAGACCCTAATATTCTATCATCATTTCCTTGAATTCTGCTGTATATTCAATTGGTTAAGAACAGTATTATTAAGGCCAAGGTCAGGTTTGATGTCCAAAAGGGACTGACGTCTGGATGAGAAAACCTATTACAGGGACAGAAGACACTGAACAAATTACCAATGTATCAATGATCACAAGCATCATTAAATAAGAGATCAAGTGGTTCAGTACATAAAAACTAGAAAAGCAGGAGGGTCTGCAGAAACGCTTTGGTCATCTTTGTACATGAAGAATAGTACCAAGCATGTTTTTTTCTGACTGTATGATTCATTTTGACCAAACGTCCTTAATATTCTATATCCCTGGGGACTAGAAGCAGCTAGAATTGCTTCAACATATTTTAACACAACAATAAGGATTAGGCCTTACCATTTTGTATTAAGCACTACTAACCTTTGTTCACCAGAATGACCAGCTACTGTCTTTTTTACCCGCTAACTCACTTACCTATCAATCAAATCTCTCTATTATTTGAATTCAATTTTCTCTTAGATATACCTATGTCTCACCCATTCTTTCTTCTAGCTACTAAACTAGATGCTTTTAAAAAAAAAAAAACCTATAGAAATATTCATGTGTGTAGTAACACTGCTCTGTGTATACCCAGATATTAGAACAATAGACTACTGTTTTACTATACAAATCAAGCATTATATTTTAAGGAGACCACAATCAAGCACTACCCAAAGTCAAAGCCAAGGTAGCTACAGCCTACCCAACTCACGACTCGTGCAATGTCCCAGGTGCTTTCAAAGCCATAACAGAGTCAGGCAATGGAAATTGTGGACACTGCTGCATGGCAGTGCCAGGGGTGTTTGAACCTCAATGCAGTGAGCATCCAGTTAAAGGCCTACTGAAATCCCAGATCTCACAGCATGAATCATGCAGTGGGTCAATAGGAGCCTTATACTGGGAATTTTCTACTGATAAATCAATACTCCCTTAGGATACCTGTAAATATGTGCCTGCCAGTGTTGTAAAGATATAGTATTTCCCACTTTCATGTCAAAAAGGACCAAGAGTGTATGTGTGAATGCAAATCCTACACAGATGTGACTGAGTGTATTTTATGACAGAAATTCATAGCTGGGTTGTGAAGATTTTTAACCCTTATTATCCTATGTGATAGGTATGTATTGTAAACAATAATATAATCTAAGAAAGGAAAGAGGACAAGGATAATTTCTTTTTCTTGATCTGAGTTCAAAATATAATTCGTCAAAGGGAGAGGCCAAAACCTTCTCTATCATTTGGAAATATGAGAAGGCTAAACTCATAGCACCTCTTCTTAACTAAGCTTATTTACAAGTATCTGCAAGAAAGAGTCAAAACCATTAAACCTAAAAGTGTCCAATCCCAAAGAATAGTAGTCTAAGGGTATTTTCCTGCCTGTAACAGGCATCATTTTACATGCTTCAGTCTAAGTGTGGTCTGTGGTAATATTGTCACAAGATGCTTAAGAGTATCTTAAAAGAAAATGCAGACCAGCAAGTATGGGCTGTGCAATTACACAGCAATCTAGCACAAGTATATATGTGTACATGCCCAGCTTACCTGGAACACCACTCTGGATTTCTCTAAAAGGTAAGTTCTCATATTGGCACCAATGATTCGATATCTCTTATCAAAGCCAATCTCAATATACTTCCCAAAACGGCTGCTATTATCATTCCTGGTTGTTTTAGCATTTCCAATTGACTAAGAAGCAAGAGAGAAAATAAGATTTTAGAAGTGCAATTCATAACATAACATTTACAGAGTTTGTTCAGGGAAAGAAAGGATAAAATAGAACACAATTCCTTAAAACTGATTCTGTTAGCCAGGCACAGTAGCTCATCCCTGCAATCTTAGCACTCTGGGAGATTGCCGCAGGAGGATTGCTTGAGGCCAGAAGTTCAACACCAGCCTGAGAGACAGAGGAAGATCCTGTCTCTCAAAAACAAACAAACAATCCCCTCCCCCCCCACCAAAAACAATACAGATACAGGTATATGCTTTTCCCACTGCACAACCACACAGATATATACTTATAGTTATTATTTGTCTTGTTATTATCACAAAAATGATTTTCAGAAACAGCAAACCTAAGCCCAGAGGTTGAGAGATTTTTATATAAAATTTGAGGTGTCCAAACATACTCATTCATGCCAGCAAAGAAAGAGACAGGGTTGAGAACTGCCAAGGCACAGTTAGTTAACCATCAAGGTTTTTGAAAAACTTCATTGGTTTTATGTAAATAAGATGGTTAAAACAAATTAATATTTTCCTGGAAATGTTGCTCAAGTGTTCAGGGGCTCTTTAACCAAGAATTTCTATCATCTTATCCTATGGCAACAAAGGTCCAGTTAGACTATTAGCAGAGTTATCAGTATTACCCACTCAATATAAATGCCATTTTCAGCCAGGCGTAGTGGCATGCACCTGTAGTCCCAGATATTCGGAGGCTGAGGCAGAAGGATTGCTTGAGCCCAGGAGTCTGAGTCCAGCCTGGGCAACATAGTGAGACTCATTTCTAAATAAATACATACATATATATTTTTAAATGGAATTTTCAGAAACTGGAGAAAGTAAAATTTGGTTTTGGATTTTGACAGCTGTATCTAACTTATAAAATATCTGCTACAGAATGCAGAGAATTTTGCAAGTTTGCTGCTAAATTTTTTATATAACCTTGAAAATTTAAATGGCGTATGTCTTCTCTCTGATTTAGGTGACATGCTTCTGTAAATTTTTCTTTTAAGGCAAAGCAAAAAAAGAGGCATGTAGTTAGAAAAGCAAGTGTTTACATAATGTTTAAAATGTTTAATAAGCTAGTTTCACATAAGATTAATATTTTTCATTTGTGCAAAGCCTATGTTAGGATTAGTACATCAAACCACAGCAGACAGAAAGATGTGAAAATACTCTGGAGCTTTAAAAGAACAATACAAATACAAGTGATGAAAACAGTAGTAGCATAGGCATTAAAGCCAACATATTAGATTCTCTGATCAATCAAGAAGCAGGTATTTTCACTTCCTGAAGTAGAGAGCAGATATCATCCTATTTTGTTTTGGCAATGAGAACACTGCTGTATTTTGGATTAACATTTTAAATGCTTTTTCAGAAAAAATAAGAGTATCTTCCCAGCAAAATTAAAGAATTATCTAATGTAGTCTGAGATAATTTAACTATCTAGACATTTACTCAGACATTACCCTTCTTGATATTATAAAACAACACAGGAAAAAGTCTCTATACATTCCCACTATTTTTGTTTAGAAAACCTTTGTTTAGAAAAGTCGATTATAAAATTTTCTTTCAACACAATGTATTCTGTCAAAGAGTACATGAAAGGTTACACGTAGTAGAAGTAGCAGCAGCAGTAATGTTTCTTGAATGCTTACTAGGTACTGTCCTAAGCACTTTCCTACCAGCAACTAAGCAAACTGGGAAAGGGTGGTCTCCAGCTTCTCTTCCTTCCCTAACTCTTTTCCTACCTTCCATATGGCATCTCTCTCCATCTACTTAGACTGGAAGCCAGAGTGGTCAATTTTCTAAAACAATAGTACATTCTGTGAGAAGAGGCAGTGAGTAGGTGAGGGTTGAAGCAGACCCTTTTTTGTCTTTGAGAAAAAAGTATTTAAACAGAGAGAAAGAATGGTAGAAGGAACAAGTGAAATAGAAGTCTGATGACCTGGGTGTCAAATCAGGCCCTACTACCAACTTGCCATAATTTACTCTTTTTGAGGAGTGTTAATTGTCCTCAAGTCAGTAAACACTGACTAAGATGAATGAGCTCTAGGATCCTTTAAAAAAACAAAATTATATGATTTTAAGCTCTGAACCTATAGAGAAAAGAAGGTGCTATATATAAATAGTACCTTTTGTCTACTCCCCCAATCATTCTTTCTACCCTATAAGTACTGTATTCACAACAGATTCCCTAGTACTATTTTCACTCTAATCAGCAAGAAATTGACAAATGAAAGAAGAAATTTTATAACCTCGATTTTACTATTTTAATGAAATGTTGCATGAGTTACTTTTCTCTACTAAGCGGAAATGAAAATCTTCAATGCTGATTACTAAAGATAAAAAGGAACCATTAAGATGCAGACTTCCCTGAGAAACTTCCCTGTCCCTATCTTACAATGAAAATTTCCAGGAAAAAAGAAAACATAATAAAATAGAGTAAAAATAATGCTGAGGATGAGGAGCTTCCTTTCTAAAGGATAATATGCAAATCCCTTTAGCCACTGGGCTGTGATGTTAACCATGTAGGAAGCTCATTATCCAATGAGGAGTTTTGGCAAATCACTGGAGACCCAGATATCCCTGTCTTTATTTGCCTTTTTTTTTTCCTTTTCCCTTCCTCCCCTCCTCCTCCCTCTCCCCCTCCCTTCCCTCTCTCTCTCTCTCTTTTTTTGTTGAGACAGAGTCGACTGCAATGGCATCATCATAGCTCACTGCAACCTCCAACTGAGGGGCTCAAGTGATCCTCCTGCCTCAGCCTCCTAAGTAGCTGGGACTACAGGCATGCACCACCACACCTGGCTAATTTTTCTATTTTTTGTAGAGACAGGTCTCACTCTTGCTCAGACTGGTCTCAAATTTGTGAGCTCAAGCAATCCTCCCAGCTTGGCCTCCCAGAGCACTAGGGTTATGGGCATGAGCCACTGCACCCAGTCTCAGATATCCCTTTCTTGACATCACAGTAAAGGGCTCTGATACAGAGACAGTCTTGAAGCAAGTTCAAACCTACAAGTTTTCTATGCTATGTACTCAGTATTTTACCTATGTTTTCCTCCAGTGTTTTTGTAAACCCTTTATCACGATTCTTCAGGTCCATATACCATTTTAGTCTTTCAAATTGAGTTGCCCTTTTCTGCAGTTGTTAAAAATTAGTTCTCTAATTCTTTACCAATTTTTTCTTAATCCAAATTCCTATAGATAGACTAAACAATAATATAGAGATAGCTAAATATAACTGATCCCTTTATCCTTTTTTGTTTATCCCAGCAAATAAGACATATTCCATATAACTGCATGTCAAAAGTAGTTTCTAGCTTTGGTTTAGATATGATTTGGTCCCACCAAAACTCATGTTGAAATTTGATCCGTAGTGTGGCAGTGTTGGGAGGTGGGGCCTAGCAGGAAGGGTTTGGGCCATGGGGGTGGATCCCTCATGAATGTCTTGGCACAGTTCTCCTACAGTGAGTTCTTAATTTAAAAATTACCCAGCCTCAAGTATTCTGTTATAGCAACACAAAACAGATGAAGACAGTGGCCACTCTAAATTTTTTATATCATTCCTACTAACACAACTCAAATCTGTGTTGTAGAAAATCCAATGAAGCTGTTTTTTGAAAGGGGTCATAAAACAGTTCATTCAACTTTTGAAAAATTATACAGGGTTCATTCCAGATTTAAGTGATCCTCAAGACAATTTTACATCTTAGTATAATAATATATGGTTCAAGCCTAGAAGAAATGAGATTCCCTAATGCCATCACAATCAAAACTTTAGGATATTCTAATATAAGGAACTAGAATAGTCTGAATGGTTGCCAAATACCAAGAATCCGTTGTTATGACCAAAACCAGTCAAAACAATGGTAGAAAGCAAAGAAAGCCCTGTTCTTTTCTGACCCCAAACCAAAAACTGGCTCCAAAGATTTTATTTCCCCAATATTAACACCAGTGGCATCCACCACTGTATCTGTAGCTTAAATTCTTCCAAAACCTTAATATTTGTTTAAAATCTTCACTACCCTCTTTTGACACAAACATCTGTTTCTTCCTGTCCATGCTATTTCAGAAAACTTTTCCAGTTTTCTTTCCATAGCACACCCAGCACAGGAAGCCTCTCAACTTCCCCATCATTTCTTGTCTTTTGATCCCCAGAATAGAAGTCCTGTTGCTCTAGAGAGCAACCCTATAGAGAAGGAATCACAGCATTCGGTTTTGAAGTGTCACACACAGCACTGCAAACCAGGCACAATTACCTCTAGACAGATTATTGCAAAAACCACTTGTACCACAGGTGCACCAGGCCAGTTTTAACTCCATCTGTGTTTGGGTGACAAATAAGACTTCACAAAGGAAAAAGACAGGAATAAAAAATGCTGACTTGAATTTCTAACAAGAAAGGTTTGTTTCTGCATGTCCAAACTCATTTCTGTCCATTTAATGAAACTTATTTTCTCCATTTCATGGGTCTTCTTATAAAACTATAACTTTCCTACAACTGTATTAATAGACAAATAGTACTCCAGTTACAAACCTTAAAATACTCGAATTCTCATATAACTAGTTCCATTTTCTTTGGTGAAGGCATTTATACTTTGTATATCTATTTGACTTTTAAAATTATTAATTTATCCTTTCATTGTTCTTCCCCTCTCAAAAACTTAGTTACTGAATTTCTTTTACTAACCTACAGCTGTGTGATTATGATATGCTTAACACAACAAAATCAAACAAAAAAAGTTTACAAAGTTTAAGCTCAAACCTGGAAAAAAATAAAAATTTATAGCTGAACAGGTTACACTAAGTACAGAAAATAAAATGTGGGTAAAGGAACAATGAAATTCAATTCATGCTTGAGCATAATAAATCCTATGTTTTGGAAGGAGCATAAATAAGAACTCAGGATAAGGGGAAATGAGGAACTTGTACTTCTGGTACAAGGAACAATAGGTATGATTGAATTAAATAGGAGAAAGAAACTTCAGAAAATGAAGTACAACAGCCTGGTATTTAGTGACAACAATTTAGTTGGCAAGGTTAAGAATTCAGGATTATGGACTAAAACAGATTTATGGGCTTTACTCAAAATGTCTACCTTATTGAATTTTCACTTTTCCTAGATTTCTTACTAACATGTAGCAAAGCAGTTTCCTAATTTTAGTGGCTGACATCTGCTGTATCAATCAATTCTTTGAGCATGTTTCTTAACAAAAGAATATAGTAAGAAAGCCAAGGATGCTGCTGTCTTACCTCCATGATGGGGTTGGAGGCCAAAACCTTCTCCTCAACATTGGCTTCACTGGCAGAACCACTTACAGTTGCAAAGTATCGCATGGCATATTTAGCTGAGACTGTTTTTCCTGCGCCAGACTCTCCACTTACAATGATGGACTGATTCCGTTCATCTCTGTAAAACAAGGAAAAGTAAATGCCAGTGTTGCCTACTTTAGAATGTGGTTAACATTATTTCCTCCCTGTTTTCATTGGTGAGGAACAGTGAGTTTTTACTGGCTCATATATGCCACACTGTGGAAAGAAACACAGAATAATATTTCCTAATAAGTATGTCTACTTATAAACTAAAAATAAACAAAGAGGAAGAAGATATCAAGTATTAAATTAGAGAGCATCACATCTAAGGATGAGTCTGCAGTAGAGATTTTCTGAATCTGTTGGTGTGTACACATCTCAAACAAACTATTTCATTCCTAGAGAACTACTTTGATATCTTACAGTACTGTTGCCAACCACCTCAGAAGAGAAAGGAGATATCCTTTGGAGTCACAGCAAAGGAATTTAGAAGAAAATTCTATTTAATTAAAATTACAGAACTATTTTCAAATTGCCTACAATTTCAAATTGCTAACAATCCATGAAGTGGTATCTCCCACAAACTCCAGCTCCTACTAAGGTATCCTCATCACCAGAGAAGAAATAGTACATTTGCTGGCTGATTTCATTCAAATACAAGTTAAATAAGCCATGATCTGTTCTCCTGCAGTTGACAGATGCTGTGGTTTGAATTTCCAAAACTCGTGTTGAATTTAATTGCTAGTGTGATGGTATTGGGAGGTGGGGCTTTTAAGAGGTGATTAGGAGCCCTCATAAATGGATTAATGTGTTATTATGGGAGTGAGTGAGTTATCATGTGAGGTGGCTTCTGATAAGAGGATGAGTTCAGCACATGCCCTCTGTCTTGCATGCTCACTTGCCTTTCTGCCATGGCATTACCCTGGCCAGATGCCAGCACCATGCTCTTGAACTTTCCAGCCTCCAGAACCATTGATCTAAATAAACTTCTGTTCTTTATAAATGACCTAGTCTGCAATATCCTGTTATAGCAGCAGAAAACAGACTAAGACAGTGGTCTAATAGGAAAGATGGGGCAGTAATTCAAGATTATAATACGTGTGATGGTACACTGAGAAGAGGAATAGGTGATCAGGAAAGGTTCCCTAGAGATGACACCTGAGCAAGGTCTAGAAAAACAAGTAAGAGAAAGGAAGCAAGGAATGGGGATAACATAAATAAAGGCTCAGAAACATAAGAAGTTAGGAAATAGCAGATAACTCAGTTTGGCGGGAAAATAGTAATGATACATTTCTGATTTCTGGCTTGGCCAGTCCTCTCAAAGGCTTCAAATGCAATTCTAAATTGCCTGGGTACTGAGTGCTCTGGAGTAGAGGTAAGCTCTTCTGTCTTGTTTCAGTCAGTGGCGATTCCAGAGGTTCTAATGTGAACTAAAAGCCCCCCACTAAAAAATACTACTTCATTCAGTCATTCAACAATATGTAATGAGCAGCCACAATATGCCTACCACTTTATAGAAATAAAAGATCCTAGGATTATAGCCTTTTGGGGGAGACTAAAAAAGTACACAGTTAAAATATAGTTGGGAGTAATTACTATAAAAAAGGCCCACCCAGAACACTATGAATATAAAAGAAGGGCATGGAACTAGTAGGAGATGTTATAAAGGGATATCAAGAAAAGCTTTCTAGAGAAGGCAATTCCTTGAATTGACTCTTACATGATAATTAGGAGACAAGCAGGTTGTGTGGGAAGAAGAAAATGGGAATCAAACTATGCAGAGGTACCTGAAACCCCAGAAAAGAATTATTCAAGCATGAAAGAGAGATATGTTGCATTTTAATCTATTTTCCTTTTATGGTCATCAGTGACCCCATATCTATTTGGTTTGTCCAGTCTTTCATTATATCTATAAAGTTTTCATTTTGTAACACATACATTATTTTATAGATTTTCCTTTTGAACTTTATCCCTCAAACAATGTACTCTCTCTAGTTTATCATGGTCATACTGAATACTATAGATATCTTCTAAGACCATAAACTTGACCTCTGTAAACTTAACCAGCATACTTTCAAATACATCCAGGTTATTAATGAGCAAACTAAGTAATGCCGGCCTCAGCACTGTGTTCCTAACATGGAACACAATTTAATATTTCCACTCATGTTGCTGTTAATTCTCTGATAACCATCCATTGGGTGTTGCCACGTACCTTGATAAAGTATACCACACTAGGTCTAAATTTTTAGCTTACAAGCAAATATGTTCATATGAAACAAAATCTAGAGTTTTACTATTTTGCAGGCAAACAGTCTGCTTCTCCCTTTATCTGACCCCTTGTTAAAGATAGAAAATAGTAAGTTAGTATAATAAAATGGTTTGTACTAAAGCTGTGTTTTTACTGTGCTCACTTAAAGCTGTGGCATCACTGAGACTCTAATCCCTCTCTCATTAGACAGATGTTAAGTTTCTCTACATTATCACTCATGAAAATCAAGTTGCTCTGTTCTCTGTCTCTCCATGATTTCTACTTTTAATTAGTCTCAAGAAGAAAATACTAAAACCTTAAAGTTGAAAATAGACAATGAGTTAACAATTATAATATTTTAGTTTTATTTTTGAAGTATAAATATTTACTATAAAAGAGGGTGCTGGCACTGTTGAAAGCTGCATTGTATAGACAGGCAGAGAGACTATTCAGGAAATGAAAACAAGTATTCCTTAGAATGACTTGCTATGGTCATTCAATTCCTGGTGAGAAGCCTGTCACATGGCTATCAGATCATCTCATGCCAACCTGAGCTTTCTGTTCCATCAGTACAGAGCCTATATAATATATAAAGATGAGAAATAGACAATTACATTTGTTTATAACTTTTACACACTATAGTGCTCTAATTCACATTCTATTTTATTCCTACTGCAATCTTACATGGTTGATAGTACTCAGTAAGTCCCAAGTGAGCAGCTCAATGCTGTAGTTTGAATGTATCCCCAAGTTCATGTGTTGAAAACTTAATCCTCAATGCAACAGTGTTGAGAGGTGGGACCTTTAAGAGGTGACTAGGACCTGAGGGCTCTGCCCTCATGAGTGGATTAATGCTATTATCTGGAGAGTGGGTTAGTTACTACAGGAGTGGCGTCCTGATAAAAGAATGAGTTTGGCCCCCTTTTTATCTCTCTCTTGCCCTTATACCTTCTACCATGGGGTGACGTAGCAAGAAAGCCCTCACCAGATGTGGCCCCTCGACCTTGAACTTCCCACCCTCCAGAACTGTAAGCCAAGTAAGTTTCTGTTCATTATAAATTACCCACTCTGTGGTATTCTGTTATACTAGCACAGAACAGACTAAGATATTTATATAATAAATAATGTTAAGAGGAATCATGCACTATGAGCTGGGGTGATCTGAAAGTAAAACTTGAGTGGGGTCATGAAGGATAAATATAAATCAGCTAGATAAAGGAGCACAGAGAAAGATATTTAGGTTGAATAAAAGATGCAGAAACCAAACTACATAATGTTAATTTGAGGGAATACACCTGTTTGAACAGGCCCAGGTATTCAAAAATAAGAAAACTAAATGACAAAGAGGATTTTGGAGTCTCAGAGATAGATTCAAATCTCAGCTCCCAGATACCACTTATGAGCATTATAGCCTAAACAGGGTACTTTCCTATTTCCTCACCTGTAAAGCAGGGATCATACTGTCTGCTCCCAAGAAAATAATGAAGATTAGAGGTGACATGCCTGACCCCTAATTGACACATAATAGGCATCTAAAAGTGGTAGCTATTAACATAAATTAATCCACCTGTATATACCATATATAAAATGTTCCTTATCAGGCACCATGTATTACGTCAAGCCTATTCGCGTAAATAGGACATCTGGCACCACATGGCAGCTGAGTCACAGTTGCTAACAGGAGAGATTTTACAATCTGTAATAGTCAGCTTCCACTTGGCCAGTGAACCTCAGGACAGTGGCACATTCAGAGACCACGTAACCAAATGAAAGAAGGGGCCACCCTAAAGAAAGGTCTGACAATAAAGTCAGGAAAACTGGATAAGAGGCTAGTGTCCATGAAAAGGGAACGTACACATGACATTCGGTAATGATGATTATTATGATGATAGAAACAGCTTATATTTGCATACTTAGTATTTTTCAAAGTGCTTTTGTGTTTATCAACTAATATCATTTTGACCTCTGAAGTTAGCAGAACAGACATTATCTTTTCCTTTTGGGGGGAAACAATAACACAGAAAGGTTAGATGGCTTATCCAAGGCTGATGACTTGTGCAGTAGAGCAGAGCTGGGTTGTTAGACCCATATCTCCCAATTTCCAGGGGAAAGTCTATATACTATGCTCCTTCTGCTTTTCCACACAGCTCCTTACCATGGTCTGCCATGGAAGGAAGTAGAAGAAAAATGCTTATATCTCCATCAAACACACAGATAACAAATGTATACCACAAAATACTGTAAATGCAAAGCTAGACCATTAATGAAATTGTTCCATTTTACAGGTGATAGATAAAACAGAGATCCAGAGAGATCAGGAGATTTGCGCTTATATAGTTAGTTATTGGTAGAGATGCAAATAGTACAGATTATCTTTTTCACTATACCAAGGTTAATTGCATACAACTAACTTATTTCAAGAAAACCTACAAGTGAAACTTAATCAATAAAATTGATTTACTCTACCATTCACAGTAGAGAAAAAACATAGCAAATTAAAGGAATCAATGCTACCTGGTTTTAAGGAAAAAAAAAACCCCAAAACCCTGATTTTTTAAGAAAAATAATATTGTGACTTAGTTATTAGAGAACAATTAGTTCCAGCATGAGAAAAGACTAGCAAGAATGTGAAACAAGAACATGAGAAGAAA